CTTGTACAAATGTTATTTTCTATTTAATTGGTACTATGTGGTCAGTTTGTTTGGTATATAAATCCAGTATGTTTGAAATATAATAGTTCATACCACAGAGGCTGTTCTGGACCTAACTGACTGGGCTAGGCAGAGGTAGGACCGATATGCACTCTAGACTGCTCATAGGGTTTTTGTGTATCATTGCTCTGATCGATAATTCACTCCTCTCTGATTGGCGGGAATCAGCACGTTCATATATATATCAACTAGGCAAGAACGCACGCACTCTGGCAATCGATATAACATTTACATACCCGACATCAATCAATCACCGATTGACTATGACAATTAGATAGTAATATTGGTGATATCTAATAGACTACCGCTTTGTCTGACTCCCACCGAAAGTGATTTCTCATGAGAATCACAAGAACTCATCTCGAAACAAATCACTAGTGATAACACAATTACATGTTGATTAGAAGGTTTCGTACGAATGAATATAGTTTGTGAATATTTTCCTCCAAGGATTGTAATCACATGGAGTACCATTGAGAATTAGTACTGATGTCCGTGTATGAGGAAATTCACCTACAAATTCAAAGCTAATCTCTACAAAGCATTTCAAGAAATATATATGGCTTAATTTTTCCAAAGATTCTTTCAAGTAATACGTTAGTATGAAATTTTCGGTGGTTTGGTGGAATAGTTCCTACAACAATAGCAAAGTGGGTGAAGACCTAACCCCCCGTTTACCCATTTCCTTTCATCATTGAAGAGACTTAAATGATATTGAAACAGAAAAATAAAAAGGCGAAGTTGGAAATTCTCCCAATCTTAACACAACATACCACTCGTTTTTGTAAGAATGAATCAATTTATGGGAATAGTGAACGACCAAATAATTGAGATTAGCTAAATGGCCAGTGTATGAAGCAGTCATTAATCTACCAAACACACTTTTTGGTATTGATGAGAGAGGGAAACAAATAAATTTAATTGTGGTCACTTTAATGTTAGGTATTATTCATGCAGTTATCGATGCTCAATGACTACTATTCAGTATCTAACAATTTCGTGTTTACTTAGTGGGTGTGCTGAACGTAAGAGTGTAATTTTCACTGAAGATTTCATTTCAAGCCTTAACGTTTGCTCTATTCTGAGTTTTTGGCTCTTTGGGATGTAAAAAACTGATCTGTTCACAACTGATACATTTGGATAATTTTTGATGCTTAAAATGAAATTTCCCGATAAGAAATGATTTCCACGCCTAAATTTACTGTGAACATGATGTTTAAGTTGTAGGAACACAATATTTCAGTTGAAGCTTGTCATACTGACATTTGTACGTGTAATGAGAAGGACAGGTACAAACATGAGCTTATATATCATAAATACTGAACAGGTATAAAAGGTAGCCAGACTATTTCAATATGGGGACAGGATATTAGCCTAATGATTAGGTAATAATTTCATTGGTTGTCAAGTGACCTACAGAAAATTAAATTCTAGTCGCGTGTATTTTAATTGGCTCTTATGCATGTGAATTTTTGTCTCTAGTATTTTGTACGGAAGCTAGCTTTTTCTCATTATGAGAGATAAGTTTAATGGACCGTACCTTTAACCACAGACATTAAACAATAGATAGTCGTACAATATCGTGAATTCATTGAAGTCTGGCAATGTAAATCATAGCATTACAGCTCAGACGTCTAAAGGTTAAATGTTTGTGCGTGGGACCAACTATCTTGGGTTCCATTTCCCTTTGATGTAGTCTTGAATGAACACAAGTATGAAACTGCTATCAAAATGCTTCCAGGTTTTCAATGAGAACCTAATTAAGATCAGTCCATGATTTAATCGATAAAAGTTGACAAAATTTGAATTAGTAAATAGAATACTAACATGTTTAATCACGTCATTATCATATCTGGCAATGATGGACTACATACTGTGTGTCTCATGATTGTTATTGTTAATATGGATGGATGTCAATAAATATGTGACATACAACGTTATTCAACCATACTTCTTTATATATTCTCTGAATACCATTTAAATTTTGATGAGAATATAATTTATGAATGACCTTATAGCGACGCTAGAGTAACCTCGACAGTATCCGAATAACTAGGACTAAATGAAGGTTATAAAGTAGTGTGAAGAATTAGAATTTTAATTTACAGTTAATGATCAGGCTTAGGAATTGGATTTAGGGTTTTCATTACGAGCTGATACCAGCTAAATGCCAAAATATTATTTAGTCAAATGGATGAATGAATTTCACACCAAAATCTAAGACTTGTTATCCTAAATCTGATTGGTTTGACTATAAATTATAGTCACGCCTAAAATTCATTTTCTCTGTTCTTTAAGACATAAATCATTTCTTATTGTAAACTATCTATTCAAAGTCCAACTTATCAGAAATGATTAACTCATATTTTAGTAAGGATATTTACTTATATATAAATTGGATTAAACTGAACTGTACTAATAAAATTGAATGACGATTCAATAATCTTGAAGGTTAACTGAACCTACTATTTGATTATAAAATTAAGGGTAGAGGGACTGACGATCTCTCACTTTCTGAAAATACTCCTTCTGGGAATGTTAAGTCCCGATAAGAATAATGAATGGTAACTTTGGGATCCATTTGTGGACCAGTATTATGCATATATTTTTTTATCGTATAATTGCTAAATAACTAAACTATTCATGTCCCCCTTATTATAAGCTTCATTTTGGCCTATAGACTATTATTATATGATTTACCATTTCTTAGTTATCCCTAGTCTATTAATTGCTGCCTCCCACATTCACAGCCATATTTGGCTAAATCTTGTACAAATGTTATTTTCTATTTTATTGGTACGATGTGGTCAGTTTGATTGGCATATAAACTCAGTATGTTTGAAATGTAATGGTTCATACCACAGAGGCTGTTCTGGACTTAACTGACTGGGCTAGGCAGAAACAGGATCGATAAGCACTCTAGACTGATCGTACGGTTTTCGTGTGTCGTTGTTCCAATAGATAATTCGCTGCTATCTGATTGGCGGTCTTTTCACGTCATACTTTAACAGGGCATCCACTCTGTCACAAGTTATAACAGGAAATTTGTTTCTTAAATTCTGTAAACCTACTAAAGTTAGATAAAAGTTACATAATTATGTTCAAGACCCCAAATGCCTTAGTACGGCCAAGAGTGGGGAGAGTCACCTCTCCCTCTCGAAATGCTCTCATATGGCCAGCGAATATATAGCCTCTGACAGGGAAGTCCTACTCACTGCCTTCTCGTGGCGGGGGTGTTGTTTACGAAAGTGAGAGGACGAAAAGCGAATGTCCGGCGCTTTAACCGGGTTGGTGGACATGGAGGGTCCACCTAGGGGAGTTGGAAAACCCTCATTCCAAACCAGTAGTGCACATGGGCTCCAGTATCCTGAATAAACAAATGGCGTACGAATCAACCGTTGATCACCGGCTACCATGGGACTGCATCTCCTCACGATGCTCCACTGCCTTGTGGATGAGACATTCAGGTCAAAGGCTCCGGGTGTGGCCCTCTAAGAAAACCACCTGTTTCAGTCTGGGCACCTGGGCAGTATCACAGCCCTCACACAAATCGAATGAGATTTGTGAGGCGCATATTTATCTGGTGCTTCCTTGTACCAATATTTATGTGTTTAAATAAAATAAAATAAATCCTGATAACAATTATCGAACCAATATATTGCCGACACTATTTAATGATAGCTTAACTCTGAAGAGCAACAGGAGAATATAATTTCAAATTTAATATAAATGAATCTCTACAGAAAATACGCTTTACTTTGGAGAGCTACGACTATTGGTAAAAGGTCGTTCCGCACTGCTTGATCTGATGAAATTTAGTGGCTTTTCATAACAGCAAAAGGTGTTAGTAGTCGGGAAACTGAATTCATAAGGATTTACAAAGTTTTACATTATACTGATAAAACTGGTTATTCACTGATATATATATTCTCAGATAATCTAAGTAAACTCAGAGAAACTTGTTAATTGATCAACAGAACCATAGTAAAGTGTAGAATATTTGTCTAATGTCGTAAGGTCTCTTTTGTATCACTAACACTCATGACACGCTAATTTTAAGTGTGAAGAGATAAGATATTTGAACATTTACTAACCCAGAAGTGAATAATTCCTCACATCAAGAAACTAACTTAGGTTGTATTCTAGAACAGAGATAAGAATATAGAAGACGCAATATGTTACAGGAGTAAGGAATAATAAAAGCACAAAATAACACGTACGCTAACACTTTAACAGTTGACCTTTGGCTAAAACATATAACTTTTCTTAATTCAAACAAATCACATTTTAGTCAACTAACCAACCTATATTATCCTCTTAATTTTCTTGATCAACCATGTCTCAGTCATTCAGCTACAACATAGAATCAGGCACATATATGTATCGGTTCAAGTTGCCATACCTTGTTAGCACCTACGCCATTGTGATCGATTCTGAGCCATGTCACAGTCTCCAACCATTAGTTACGATAGTCGCGCGGACCCCAACCAAGTAGTCTGCATCTACCAACATGGCTCAGACTAGAAGTTAATGACTTCAAGCACTGATGCCACGTCTTAGTTTGGCCGCCCCATACACTAGTCAGCATAGCGCGTCGTGGTAATCGGTGTTCAGGCATACGTAACATATGACCCAGCCATCTCAGTCGATGAAGATTCGTGACCTCATCAACTGATTTACCATCATTCCCTAATGTCCTGTGTCTAACCTCATTATTACTTACCCGGTTATCCCAGCAGATGCGAACAATATTTCTAAGGCATCTGTGGTCAAATACTAATAACTTACGAGTATCTTCTACTATTAATGGCCATGTTTCACAGCCGTAAAGTAGAACAGAACGAACTGCTGCGCAGTATGCCATGTCTGCGAAGTACAGAAAAAAAGACAATTTACCATTGAACAAGCACAATAACAACAAAAACGACGAAAAACACAGGAAATTGCACTAATTTTGATTATTGAGTAAGAATATACAACTTCTAAAAAAAAAGAAAAAAAGAGAAAAATATACAAATCTCTGTTGTTATACAATAATAATACAACGATGAGAAATGGTCGAAGGAAGAGGAAAAGCAAATGAACAATAGAATTTTTTTCTTTCTGAAGAATAACAACAACAGCAACAGCAACAACACCAGGAAGCGATTAACACACATTCTTCACAAACAGAAATACGTATGTGTGTTATCCTTACATTATTGCAAAACAAACAGTTCAGATTCATACAATTTTCGGATTTCAAAAGGAGAACATGATACAAAAATACATTAGTCGGTAAACAGAAATAAGATAAAAGTGGTGGTGGTGTTATATAGTTGTGACAGAGGGATACTATAACTACTACTAATACCAATAATAATAGTAATAATGATTAGTAAGAAAAATGAAAGATTTGTTATTAAATTTTTTTTATCTGATTTGTAAAGTAAACAAATACGACAGTGAATTTCAATTGGCTTCTTCTTCTCCTTCTAGATTAAGGAATGAAAAGTGTACCAAACCCTTCTTCTTTTATGAAGATAAAAGACTGTTGAAAATTACACTGAAGGACTAGATATAATAAATGCGTTTATTAATACAAGTTCACCATAATATATATGCAATAGTAATAATAATGCATGCATATATGCAGGCGTAAACAGATAATAAATAATTGTTTACCGGATTAATAGTAATAATAAAAAAGAAAGGTTACACAGGTATGAGAATAGATAGATGTATATATATATAAAGGAAATCTAATAATCTATGTCACAAGCATATACAATACACACAATGAACAGAAAAAGCACAAATACGTTCGAAGATTAGATAATGTAATTGAGATTTATCATGATTTATTGCTTTTCAGTTTTATTATTATTATTATTATTATTATTATTATTATTGCAGTTCTGTGAAGAGAAAAAAACAACAAGCAAAAACGTTATATAAATGATATGAATTATCAGTAAACAGTTAATAGTTGCAAGCGTGAGTCAATTGAAGTTAGACCAACAAGGAAAACCTGGAAGCACTGGACGACCGTTTCGTCCTATCATGGAACTCTTCAGCCTCGTGGATTGGTTGAAGTTAGACATAAACACCGTTGGATGTCGGCCGGCTCAGTGGTCTATCGGTCAAGTATTCTGGCGCGAGACTGGTAGGTCCTGGGTTCGAATCTCGCGAGTGCGGGGTCATGGATGCGCACTGCTGAGGAGTCCCACAATAGGACGGAACGGCCGTTCAGTGTTTCAAGGTTTTTCTTGGTGGTCTAGCTTCAATTGACTTGCAACTATGGAAATACTGAATCTCCATAAAATCCTTTCTGATAAAAACAATTAATAGTCTAGACATTCGATACTGACCTATAGAATATTTAAAGCAACTCCCAATATTTGGAAAGATGTGAAATAAATTCGACAGCCTGACAGTTAGAACACTCGAATACTGAAGCGGAGAGAGAAGCACTGGACGCTACTTTGATTTAGACTGTTATGTAGTACTAATCTAGACGCTTAGGTTTTGTTGGGATGATCCTGCAAATTTCTCGCAATCGACATGACAAGCTCAGGATATATTAAGAAGCATTTTATCCAATCAGCGTTTGATCAGAAGTTTTGCTAGAAATATCACGAAAATGAAAAGTCACATGTAGAGGTTCTGATTGGCTGATAACTACACTGCTACTATATTGAGTAGTATTCTGGAATTTTCAAGAAAACCCAAGGACTTCTAAAATACTATAAAAACCCTATATTTTCTGTACGTAAATAAACCTTTGGAGTAAAGTGCTTCCAGCATATTTGTGCCTTTTCTCTCGTGTACAAGTTGCTGTGTAGTTCTAGCTTGGGGGTTACGAAACTAACTTAGGATCCGAATATAGCGTTCAATCAGTAAGACGTATCAGGTATGTACTTGGTAAATAAGCGAAATGATACGTCCAGAAAGTAAGATAGCTAGGCAATAGAGATAGTCATCATTATTAATAGTGAAAAATCATTGTTCTACGAATATGACGTTGAGCTGAAATCATACAGCATGGAAAAGGAAACAAAAGATGATCCCGGATCAAAAAAGTAATTCGTAATTAGTGACTGTCTTAAGTTGAGCTTAACATAATCGCAATATACAACACAACATAGTCGATAAGCATTAGCTTGGACTGGACAACGTGGTTGTTCATACACTGACATTAGAAACCTAGAGAGTAATCATATATAAAAACATTATGACTGGTATATTTCAGTGCATTTGATTAGAAAACTGTTTTTAAATACTAATGCATAGTGACACAGTTTAGTTACTGTCACATCAAAATTTAAATATATATTTATGAGTAATTTTGCAAATTGATTTTCAGTTAACAGGTAACACACACAAATACTGAACTGTTGCGATTTGGCAATATATTTAACTCTTTGCAGTATTAGCGCGACTTATTTACCAGATAAGTTTATTCGCTTAATCAGCTGGTGATGCTGCTACTCGACAGTTCAAACCGAATAAATTGAACCAGGGTTTGAACTCGCGACATTAAGAGTGACAGAGGATAAGTGCCTATTTTCAACTATGTACGCCTAATTTCAGTATATCAGTCATTCAGCTTAGAAAGAAACCTAAATTTCGGTACATAGTGATAAAGAATACATGTATGACGGAGTTTATCCAGACAACCAGGGTTTACAGTTTTATTTACAAATTAAAGTTGGAAGATAGTAGTTCACTCAAACGTGGATAAACAGCCAAACCCTCAGTGTGCCAGATTCAAGAAAGTTGGTTGAAGAAACATCACAATTCCAGACTTATCACCGGCAAGTTTTGTCCATATTTTTAAGGAATAACAAACTTTTATCACAATGATAAGCTTGTGTATTATGCAAATTAAGCACCATTAACATATAATTGGCACAAAAACAATACAAACCATACCTGTACAGATTTTGGAGTTTTAAGAGGTAACGTCACTGAATGTGCTGATGATAAAGGACAAATACGTGAGTTTTTGGACGATAATAATTTGCGCTTGCATAAATGGGAATTTCTTGTTTGTGATGGCGGACACTTGGGTGGTTTTACGGTTGGTTGATTGGATTGAGTGCTAAGCTTAGATGTGTTAGGTGTAGGGCGATTTATAGGCTTCAATGGCTGAAGGCAAGTTGGTTTGTCCCGCGGTTGTACACAATGCACTGTGGATTTATGGGGTCGGAAATGAACTGATGAATGTGCAGCGAGACGGGATTCTAAACGAAGACCTAATTGGACATCTAAAATAAATTATAGTTTAAGCATTAGTCGTCATCATATGTTAATCTCGATTGTGTGAAATCATGATGTCATTCATGATTTCAAGCATTCGCAAATGTCGTATGAATGAGCTATACCATCAATACATGATCAATTAAATTTTAAGTAGTAACAATACCCATATAAACCTAGTGACGAGAATTCTCAACTATGAATTGTTAACAGTTAGATCTAAATAATCGGGGTGTACGAAATAATGATTAAAAAAGCCCCAATATTATCTTAAAGTGCTGCGAACATTGATTATATGATGAGAATGATTTGCCAGAAGCATAACAAGCGATATCGTTGTCAACATAGCATAGAAGAATACTCATATATAGAGAAATCTGAATTATCAGAGCGATTTCAGCGCTGCATTGACAAATAATAGAGATTTCAAATGAAGGTTGAATACGTCAATACAGATGAATCTTACAACTCTAATTTTAATGTCTCGTAGAAATATAGTCAAGCTGTCGGTTGATAGCACTGTTTTATTCAATCATTGATATTTCTGTTGGTCCGAGTTATGTTGGTAGGAGCAGATTCTTTAGTTGAAGTCCATGTGATCATCATGATCACTGAATAAAGTTGGGTAAAATGGTTCCTAATCAATCCCAATAGTAAAGTCTTTTTGATGTTAGGTCAAAGTATTATGTGGTTTCTTAGTGAGTGCAGACAGGCACACCTTCCTTATAGCTCACATAAATAAAAGAAATGTTTATATTGCAAACGGCATCCTTTGCTCATATTCAATAATTGTATCAACATACGTCTTATTACTGATACCTAGTTCTTAACTAAACGATTGCACTTTGAGTGACTGTTCATGTGGTTTAGTCTACACTCATATAACAAAACTTTCCTTAGATCAGATTCACACTCCACCACGTAATCATTTTTTGCTACCACTGATACTACTAAGACTACTTCTACTTTGATATCCATTCTGATGGCATTACATGACTGTGTTAATATGGTGTGGTAACTTGAGCTGATGCTCACATACACCAGGTTTTACGTTGTCTATAACTTGTTGACTAGATTGTTGCCACAGAAAAGTATGATGATACAGAAAATGAATAACCCATAAAAAGCCTAAAACATATTGTAAATAAGTAGTTTACTAATATGTAAGCTACAAATTACTCAGAAGGATTTTTTTATTATGATCAGAATCATAATGAATATCTTTGAATGAAGTGGAATATTTTCATTTATACAAATAAACAAATAAAAAAGTGTACGCAACCACAAATGTAACAGAAAAAACATCACCAAAATAATGAAGATTTTATACGATTATACCCCAACTATAGCAAGTGTTTTCAATGATAGTGAAGGGGATAGATAGTAACCACTGGATTTTTTAAGTACATTGTTATAGTGTCCCGAGTTACTGCTTTATAACATTTTAGACAATCACAGGGAAGGCATGACGTTATCATAAGCTATTAATTTTTTTAAAAAGTTGAGTAACATTACCTTTTCATGTCATTTATTCCAAAATTCATCAAACTGCAGGGAATATGAAAAAAGTGTTCTTTTATGGAGCTCATTTGTGTAAACACATACCTATCACTTTTTGATTTGCGGAAATAAAAATATGAACTAGTCAATTTTTAGAATGTAATTATGTCATGCAGCGGGATCTGATTATGAGAATTTAAATACTTGTAGTAACAGTAGCCTAAACCCTACAGAGTTACTTTTTGCCTAATACTTAGGGTTCCCTCCAAAATAGGAAATCTGATTATGGTTAACAAGATAATACCGACTATCTGATCGGATACAAACATCTAAACAAGAGGGGTAATGAAAACTGATACCCGAAACATCCATTTACACCAATGAATTTATCGTTAGTCGATAGATGAGAAAGATGAATATTTCCGAAACTTAGTATGGATAAAAAAGGTGATTAAACAACTTTTATTTACATTCACAGGAATATGATCAGTTTGAAAACAGAAAAAAACATATGAAATCTGACATAAACCTTAAAAAAAAAGTAAAACCAACCTCCTGGAATTGACAATTTAGGATGAATATGACTACTTAACGAGTGGGCTGACATAAGTAAATCACGTTCATCTGATTTATTTGCCGACTCCATGTGACTGGTACTTGGTTCAGAACCACCACAGCATAAGATGCATGGTCCAATAAATGGGGGAATGCAAGAGCATTTAATGTGAGGATCACCACGAGAATGTTTGTCTGAAAAGAATAGTCGAGAGTATAAGCGACTTACGTAGTTCCTGTATTATACTAGCGCATTTAGGTGATGAGAGATTGTGATAAGTATGTCGTTTCCGTTTGGTGTTTATGTATGGAGATGTACGAGAACAGCTAACTTCTGCATCATTTTCGGTGTTATTAGTATTACATTGATACTGAGACAACTTTTCAGGATAGGAGTTATTTTTTAACATATAAAGATTTTGTAAACATTTTTCAGCATGTTTTATTTCTGTACATAACCAATGCCAGTTTGAATGCGTTACAGAACGAGTGTATAACCAAGACTGTTTAGAGCTAAACAAACGGGTTTATTGTGTGAGTTAATAAACGAACCTGGACAAAGCCTTCTTCATTTCAGCTTCGTCGTCGGTACTACTTTCTGTATCTTCATACGTCAAGTTTGGTGATATAATGCTAGGCAGAGAATCACTGGAAAGTGATTCATCTTGTGATACAGAAGAGTTGCAGGCGAGCAACCGTGTTAATAAACTGAGAGCTCTAGTGCGATTATGAAATAAACGCTGAGAACAGGCAGACAAACGTTGCTCGAGCAAAGAATGATTTTGAAGAGTTCTCTCATAATCAATTAATTTGTCGCAGACAGTTTGATTTTGAAACTTTGTTGAAATATGATCAAATTGTGAGCTTTGAATTAATGTCTCATTGTCAGTAACAAGACAACTCTCTGATTTATCAGATGAAACCTGTTCAGAAGTAACAGACTGTTCAGCCTCATTTCCCATTGTGCTGTTGTTTTTAATAGCATTGGAAGTACCGTTTACTTGCACGGGCATTGAAACAAAGGAAGGTTCCGTCCGAGGAGCCATTATATTAGTATTTTTTATTTCAGTAGAATCGTTGTTATCAAAACTATTGTGGGGTTGGGTAAGTGAAAGAAGGTTATCCCCATTTAGAATGACATCTGCATAATACTTCAGAAGTCCATTTGTATTACACGAGGCCATACAACGAACTGTACGTTCGCATGCCTGAAAAACAAATAGTGAATTTGTTGATTAATAGAATACACTCAGAATAGGTGTGATTTAGCGCGATGTTTAATAACTAAATAAAAATACATCCTATGTTGATATATTTATGAAGGTGATTTCAGTTTCACTCTGCCTGGAAGAACATTTTCACAGAAAAGGTTTGACACGTCAGTCTATTACATGTTACATTATATTAGAAACAACGACAATAAAATATACAAAATCAGTTTTCGATACGCCAACGAATACAAAGACAAGACACTTTCATAAAATACACTTGAAGGTACCTTCAATAGATGAAAATCATATGATTTGTAGACATATAGATTTCATTAAAAAGCACACACAACACATTGGATGCAACAATTAAGTGAACATATACGTATTGATGTCATATTTATATTCCCTAACCAAAAGTAATTAGTAGCATTTCCCTTTTGGATGGTTTGAACAATATATTTTTTTCCAAAATGTAATTCACTAAAGTCCACTTAGAAAGTTAAACGATAACTTGTTTTGAATAGTATCGGCTTAGTTTGTCGCCTAAATTATGATTGATAGACAATAGTAGCTCGAGTGTGAAAGCATTAATCGAAAACATAGAAATGTGGTTGAGTGGTCAAGAAAATCAACTATTAACCAATATGTACCAAATAAGGACCGTATTATATTAATATTTAGATGGCATCACCGGCCTAGATAGTGGCAGGGTTCTATAGACAAGTGAACATCACCCTTCCTCGATTTCTTTATTAGGTGTATAAACTAAAATCAATTTGTACTGTACCGTTTCAGAGATAACTAAACACATGCACTCGTTTACTCGACACCGTACGACAATAAAGGATCTAAAGCATTCTGACTTTACTACTTGCTATGTGCCGGAAGTGAATATCAGAAACTATAAAAAACCTGTTTATTATCAATAGGTTGGTTATCTCTACTCACTCACAAAAGAAAAGTGCTAAACAAAAAAGTGATGATATTATGGAGAAATCGGAGGTGAAAGACATGTAGCAATAATGAATAACATGAGCCATTAGTAGACAGCCTAAGTAAATTCGGTCCATGTCGACAGAACATCTTTACCTTTAAAAAGAAAGAAAATTATAACGTTGCCTCCACTGGTTTCTATTTTAACATCATTAGTTCCATAGTACGACCTCCACCGAAACTTCACAAACATCTTACTAAAGTATCATACAGTTAAGCTTATTCTTGATTAGCTTTTAATAGGATATATTTATTAGTGTGTTGCTTTAGATACTGGATAAGCTTTCGGTACACCCTGTACATAGACTTGTAAGAAACCTTTAATTTTACCCATGTTTGAAAAGTATGAGCAGAAAAAGAACATGACAAAAACATGTTTCGATTTCGTTTGTCACATCTCAAGTCAATACAGAGGAAAGGAGCTCATTAAAAGTAGAAGCGAAAGAGTGAGAATAAAAATAGCGATAGCAGTGAAGAATAAGACAGGAGTTAAAATACATGATAGAGGAACAACATCACCAACGTAAAACGGAGAACGCATACACAAATGCCTGACTTCTGTATCTGTAAAAATTGCTGAACGACTTATCTATCTTCAGATTTAACTGTAGCTTCAACTTATTGTTCAAAAGCCCGTGGAAAATGAAAATCTTACGAACTGGATCAAACTCCCTAAATAAATAACGCAACAAACATTTTGCCATATGTATTTAATGAAGAGTATGTCGAGGTTACAGATTTAACTTTGAATTTCCTAATGTGACTTCGTGGAATCAATATCATAGTAGCTTTAAGTGAGTGTATTTGATTGCATGTACTGATTGGTAGATTTCTTTCATATGATTTTACCAGTGGTTTGGTGGACTAAGATTAAGTATTCACAGGTTCGAACTACTTTTCATTTTCACTGCTTAGCCAGAGATATGACTAAAAGTCCGGTTCCTGAAGCTTCAACTATGCAATTTGTTGCTTGTACATACTACTTGCAACACTTTCGGTCATACCACTAGCTGAAGTGCAGAACGGATACAGTAGTGTAAAACCTCTTGTAATATTGAACTGATTATCATAATTGTTGATTCGTTTGCACACAAATATTGGTACAAACGGGCACTAAAATAAATATGCGCCACACATATGGGAAAATTAGATTGTGAACAGATACATGAAGGAGGATGAGTATAATCAAAAACAAATGAATAAAAATGAGTGGATGAGAGTAGAAAATAAAGGAAGAAACAGTTCCGTTAAGAAAAACACAACCTGAGAGAATACCTTCAGTTAAAGTTCGTTTCTCTCACTTTTAGAAGAAAGTAAAGGAAAATTACAGCAAGATTATCATTGGCTCCTACTTTAAACCATGTTTGATAAGGTCTCATTTCATTGAGTTGGACTATCTCTCATAATCCAACCAGGTAGTCATGAAGGACCGACAGATGCTAGTCCTGCACAGCTTTCTATCACACTTTAACATTACGTCAGGAAATGACCATTTCCAGTCAACCAGTCGGTGTCATCGAACAAGGTACAATGTGGAAATCGCTAGGATAACATTGGTAATACGTGTCCAAGCGACTTAAACCATAAACAACACCCCCGCCACGAGAAGGCAGTGAGTAGGACTTCCCTGCTAGAGGCTGTATACTCGTGACTGTGTGAGAGCATTTCGAGAGAGAGGGCGGGATCTCCCCACTATCGGCCATACCAGGGCATTTGTGGGCCGGTAGTATCAGTAATAGTGGAAAAGATTTAGTATAGAGAATATGGTTCGAGAAGTCCCTAGAGTAGGAAGTATAAAACGATTTTGAAACCAAAGATCGAAAGGACGGTAACGAGTAAATGGATCTGCTGCATTGAAACTGGTTCCGAGCCAACATCTACTACTGCTCATAATAGTCGAGTAAACAACAACCAGATAGACCGCACATAACGACACGCCTTAGGTTGACGGTTAGTGAATTTGTGGACATACCGCATTTTGATTTGATTACTCTTATCATTTGAGATGGCAGACAAGATTTGTAGCTAAGGTGGATGATTTTGATAGAGTTCTGTCCTCTGAGCTGAATGGTTTGATTATGGGGCTTTTATCGTCCTTCTGGACGACATCATCAGCCCAAACTTCGGATAGGAGTGCTGATGATGTCATTCAGAAGGACGATGAAAGCTCCATGATCAAACCATCCAGCTCAGAGAACAAAACTCCATCAAAAATTTATCTTTTAATAACCAATTAAAACTTTAGTCAACAGCACACGTCGAGGTAAGGGGTGATCAGGCATACGCAACTACGTCCCAAATACCTGCCAATGATAGTTAACTGATTATTTATGTCGAAATAGGTTTGGTGAAATTTCATCAGCAGCCGGCACGGAAGTCGATTATTAAACAGGAAGACCAGCGAGGTTTGATGGGTTAAATTAGACACCTGAACATTTGTGGATTTTTCAAGGAATAAGAGGAACAAATCTCCACAGGCGTTCAGGCCCGCGATAACTGTTTTTTTTGTACATTAGGAGGACGAAACGAAGAGATGGAAGTCCCCATCATTGCTACACGGGAATCTAAATACACTGGTTGGAAACTATTTCAGCGTGGTATACTCTTAGAATGTTGTTACTAGCACTTCTTATAGGCGTACTGTTGAGACGACAACTACAAGACCAGTGATTATGACTGTGGAAGACATTTTTCTACTACTTATCAACCCTGAATCTGGCAAGTCACCGGGTCTTGATGGGTTACATACACGATTACTGCCAACCCTCGAGGACATAATTTCTGAACCATTCACAGAGTTGTTCAACGTGTCCTTTTCGCGCAATCAACACCCTAGGTACTAGAAGGATACTAACGTTAGCCTATTTTTAAGTATGGAGACATCGTGTCTAACTATCAACATATCAGCCAAACTGACATTAAGTTATTTGAAAGATTAATTCAGAGTAATTTACTTATGCAAAATCATTTAGTCTATTAAATCCGGAGGAACATGGGTTTCGGAACAGACATCCATGTTTGACTAACTTACTAATCATGAGGATTGGACAATAGGTCAAAAAAGCGGTTTGTCTGTCGATGTAATATTTGCAAATTCCAGAAAGAAATTTGATAAGCTATCTCACTTAGGGCTTATGCAGAACGTCCCATGGCCAAAGATAAGAAATGAAGATGAGTGGGACACTATCTGAAAAGTGGCGTAGCCCGAGGGACCATTTTACATTCCCTATTATTTTTTCTCTGCGTCAATAAATTACCAAAACTGCTTAAGTCCCCTAAATTCTTTTTTTGGAGACCATGTTAAAGTCTGGAGAACAATAATCCATGAGGCTTAACACCGTGATATCAAAGGTGATTTAGAGTAATCAATTAGACAGTTGCAAAGTTGGGATTCGGATATTTATTTGAGAAATGATGCGTTAATGACCATCGGACACGGTAATAGTTACTAGTATAACATCAATGGAACACAACTCCTACATATGCGGAGACAAAAAGACCCAAAATTATTGATAATTGGCAACTTGAGAACGACTATCTATTGTAATGCAGCAACTGCTAGAGTTTGATGAGTTATGATCACTTTGCCGAACTTTTAAATGCTTCAGATATTCTTGTGACTTTATACTCTGAAACCTCACCTAGAATAATGCATCTAAATAACTGTTCTGTCAAATCCCCAGAACTTACTTGGTAAATGGCTTAGTTTTTGTAATGTTATTTTGAAAATCTGAATGCAGCTGTTTTCGCACCAAACGCGCTCTTTTTACCTTCACGTCATATTCTCCACTTGTAAACTATCTTAGACGCTATTGGTCCATTGTTTCTTTGTGTGTGCTATTTACTAATGATGCTAAAGAACAAATTGTTGCTGTATAAATGCACTTGACTTTTTCCCTTATTCGATTGCTTGTACTCGGCTGCTTATATATTCCCCTACTTGCCTTGGACTTCACCTAGTTAGTGGGGCCTGGGACAACAGATTAGAATAGCTTATCGTGTCACTGGATTTCGTTTGTTACCGCGGAATCGATTTAGCTCAAACACATCATGTTCCATGTTTGATCTAGAATGCTGGCACGCAAGTGTTTTCACCGTATGGGAACAAAGTGATGGGTTTTTCCAAACTATTACAACGAGCAACCAAAACACTTAGACTCTTTCCCCTTATCAAACGCAGGGTGGACTTATACTGGCGTTCCCTACAATAAATAGTGATTGATCCGTCAACATGTCATATCTTTTTGTTTCTTCCACGGTAAATCATTTCTGAGGTGATTAGCAAGTCTCAACGGCCGCGATCGGTCCTAGTTTCTCATCGAAGAGTCGACAACTAGAACATACCATCCGAACAAGTGATATTAGTCTTGTTGGTAAAGAACTTCAAGAAGTTGAGTCGGCAAGACTATAAGTTATGGACGACCTTTGAACGAATCTTAAGTGACCTTGAGAAATATTAATCAAACAGAAAACAGTTAACAAAGAGTAGTAATATTATATACAAAACCAAAGAATTAAAGTGGATGCACTTCTTTCACATAGTTCAAAAACCTGTCAAGGTTAGAAAGTGTCAGAGTGTTATGCCTGAAACTAAATCGATTCCGCGGTAACGAACGAAAGCCAATGACACAATGACACGATAAGCTATTCTAATCTGTTGTCCCAGGCCCCGCTAACTAGATGAAGAAGTCCAAGGCAAGTAGGGGAATATATATGTATTCCGTAAGCAGCCGAGTACAAGCAATCCAATAAGGGGAAAAGTCAAGCGCATTTATACAGCAACAAATTGTCCTTGAGCATTATTAGTAAATAGCACACACAAAGAAACAACGGACCAATAGCGTTTAAGATAGTTTAAAAGTGGGAAAATGACGTGAAGGTAAAAAGAGCGCTTTTGGCGCGAAAACAGCTAAATTCAAATTTTCAAAATAAAATTACGAGATTAAGCCATTTACCAAGTAAGTTCTGGGGATTTGACATCCCCAACACCTCCCCTTTTTGAGAAATCCGAGCACCTCCTCCTCCACGAAATAGTGTTGGATCCTCATATACCCAAGTTTCTATTAATGCGATTGTATTTATAACATGTTTCTGGCATTCAATAGGGGACCCGTTAAGATTGACTGGATGGTGAGGATCGACATTTGATGTGAGGTCAGAATTTGATTCTGCAGAAATGTAGTCATCAGACTTATTGCAAACATCACTGACCGGTTTTGGATCACTATGGTAAACAGCGTCCACCAAAACTGCGCTAGGTTCCAGATTCGATGCATGTAACGGAATTTCTGGACAAGCTTGGGAATCTTTATCACTAGATTCGGTAGACATTTCTATTGCAGAATGAGATTCGCTCGTTGAACCGCTTGATATGATCTCTGGTACTCTGTGGGCGATTGGTGCGACCATTTCATGGGCTTTTAACATAGCATCGTATTGATGAGAGCTGAAAGCGGCATTGTTAGGACCTGCTAATTCAGGGATAGTGGGGTTTGAATCCACTACCGGGTATGTTTCTGAAATGGACGGTGATGGACAACCGGGCGTGTCTTGTGATACTGCTGTTTCGTTCAGGTTGCGGCTTGTTGAGGAATCATGGGGGCTGCGATCATTTGCCAGCTGTGTGCAATTCAGAGATTAATACATCCACTTCCGACGCATATGCGAAGCATTGATGATCCAGAAACTGTGAGCGTAGTTTGACCATGAACTCCAAATGTCGGTCAAATAGCAACTGTAAGCGGTCAGAAGGGAGCGTCATTTTTCACTTTTTTTTGTCCCCGTCGCCAATTGTTATGCCTGAACTAAATCGATTCCGCGGTAACGAACGAAAGCCAATGACACAATGACACGATAAGCTATTCTAATCTGTTGTCCCAGGCCCCGCTAACTAGATGAAGAAGTCCAAGGCAAGTAGGGGAATATATATGTATTCCGTAAGCAGCCGAGTACAAGCAATCCAATAAGGGGAAAAGTCAAGTGCATTTATACAGCAACAAATTGTCCTTGAGCATTATTAGTAAATAGCACACACAAAGAAACAACGGACCAATAGCGTTTAAGATAGTTTAAAAGTGGGAAAATGACGTGAAGGTAAAAAGAGCGCTTTTGGCGCGAAAACAGCTAAATTCAAATTTTCAAAATAAAATTACAAGATTAAGCCATTTACCAAGTAAGTTCTGGGGATTTGACATCCCCAACACAGAGGTTCTAAAATCGTAATTTATACGGTAGAGGAACTCATCCATATGGCTCCATAATTTTTGGCCTCTGGAGCCATGATAATGTCATAAAAACCCTCTCGGTCTCCACCACATAGCTTCAATATTGTTTGTGTATACTACAGTTGTGTAAATTTATCATTTTTATTATGGATATGTCCCTACAATACTCATACCACTGAATAGCCGAAGTTTCAGTGACATCCGCGAATACTACAGCCAATATTACTGGTGCTTTTATTATTAGTATTATCTGCCTTAGTCTCAAACTGGATCGAGAGCCAGTCAGAAGGGTTTGAGGGATTTCACGGTCAGGGGACCGATTCTAGTACCTGGTGCTCATGCACGATCACGTCACAGGATTATATAGATTTGACAATTAAGCGGCTACAATAAATGAGATTACCAAAAAGTTCCTTTATTTGTAATTGTAGTAATCAAATGACTTGTAGACCCTGTGAAGACCACCGTGTGGAGGAAGACGTTCTCAAGAATAGGAACATTTCCCGCTCGATCCAGATTGAGACTAAGACATATTGTAATAATAGCCGCGAACTGTACAATAAAAGCACCAGTAATATTGGCTGCAGTATTCGCAGATGTCACTGAAACTTCGGCTATTCAGTGGTATGAGTATTGTAGGGACATATCCATAATAAAAATGATAAATTTACACAACTGTAGTATACACAAACAATATTGAAGCTATGTGGTGGAGACCGAGAGGGTTTTTATGACATTATCATGGCTCCAGAGGCCAAAAATTATGGAGCCATATGGATGAGTTCCTCTACCGTACAAATTACGATTTTAGAACATCTGAAACTGTTTCTAACTTTGACAAGTTCTTGGACCATATAAAAGAAGTGCATCCATTTTAATTATTTAGTTTTGTATAAAATATTTTTACTCTACGCTGACTGTTCACTGATTATTTCTCAAGGTCACTTAAGATTCGTTCAAAGGTCGTCCATAATTATAGTCTTGCCGAAGTTCCTATTCAAGTGGACATCTTCCTGCAACATATGTTACATCTAAGGACAGCATTACGGTGGTCTGCACAAGGTCTACAAGTCTTTTGTTTACCACAATCACAAATAAAGGAACTTCACAGTAGTCTCATTTATCATAGCCGCTTAATTGTTACGACTCATAAATCCTCTGTGAACCGATCGCAAATGAGCACCAGGTACTGAAATTAGCGCGGAAACACAGATGTAGTTAAAATAAGCAGCTAACAAGCTGTAGTGGAAAGTGATTACTGATCAAAAACATCGATAAGCACTGGAAAACTCCAGACGGCATAAAATATGAACAATGTTGACAAATGATAGGGGAAACAAATCCAGAACTCAATAGATAGAAAAATTCTTCGCGAATTCCATGAAATAAACTATTTTTTAGCAATAACGAGAAGTTGCTAAAGTCAACAAGCCGAATTCCTTCTTTGCTACCAAGACTCACACATTTAAGGTTATGATAGCAGGGCTTTCGCATTCAGAAAGACCCAGACACAAAAAAAGTGGCATAGCTATTATCTTAAGGAAAAAACATAAAGAATGTTTTGCATTTTGACACTTCAAACAAACTAACCGTATTAAGAAAGGTTTCGAAGGACACGGCATCAATCTACAGGTCGTAATCCAAAAGCCCGCCCGCCAAAAATGGGACGTCAAGGTCAGGAAACGAGACAAAAGTCGACCGACCAATCCATAAAACCAAAGCTTTTTAAACAAAAACTGAGATGTACAACTGTCTTATGGAAACTGTCAGCAGAAAAACTATAAAAATGACTGACATATCCACTTCAACACGCTACTGCATTTCGCTTAGTCTTTTGTACACTGACACTCATATTCTTTATACCGGAATTTTCGAGCTAGAAATAACTCGTGTCCGAATTTTTCGTTTTGGGATAGACTTATATAAATAAGAGAAGGAACATAGCAACCCTTTCTTAATCCAAATTTTATAGGATCCTAAGATGCGTTAGACCTGCTTGATCAAGTAATAAATTCCTGTCAACAGATATTTCGGCGGACATTGTAGATAGCTGGTTTACAAGTGTCGTCTGACAAAAACCGGCAGGTCGAAGTGAGATCTAGGATAGATTACTCGGTCGTTTGATGAACTAGTATAATCGATAGTTAAGATATTATTCAAGTATCATAAACCTTTTAACTCAATACCAATTGGTAATTATGAAAATGAGAACAGTTTTTTCATTGGTACAAGCAAACATCGGTGTGATTATGAAATTCTGACTCTGGTATTTCATCTTAATGACCCTAAGCTGTTGTTTAAAAAACTGAAAAACTACTTTACGAGGCTCAGCACGATATCCAAGGGAATGCGATATCAAGACTTGTGCCCTGTGCTCCATCTTTCAGTCACCGAAAAAGTCCACGACTTGACTTTGAGTGTCCACACGTCACAACCGATTACCACCATAAGACGCGAAATATTGAATTATCTACCTATATCAAATGGTCAAAGAATCCAAAAATGTTATCATGGGATAACATTAGGCTTCAGGTCACGATTGCTAGTGAAACAATTCTAAAACGAGAATGAATTTAAACTCTCATGTACTACATTCAAAACTGTCTAGATACATATACTCGGACACCTTTGAGCCTCTTTATAGTGGAATTTCTCGAGAATATACCTCGGCCTTACCATAAATCCTGTCCAAAAATATATCGTCCAAAGACACATCCACAATAGAACTTAAGGAATACATCAAAGGTCTACCAGGGACTATTGCCTCAGTGTAAATTGGCTGTAAGAAACAGAGTAAGTTGCCTGAAGGACAAATGTCAGGTTCTCAGAGCAGGTCTGTAAAGTACAAACAATCGAAAATGCTTTGTCTGTACCACTGGAAATTCGGTCCCTAATCGACCACAGTCAACCATGCGTCTAGCTCAAACAGACCCAGTGGAGTGTGGAAAGCGAACAACTTTTCTGCACGTTGTGACAACTGTTGAGTAGTGTTTTAGTAGACGTTGATAAGAGGAATATCGGCACTACATTTCCAGTGGATACAGGTGTATTGCTTAAATTCACTTTTCAAAATGAAATCGAAACCTAACGACAAACACTCCTGTCAAAAATACCAAAATCAATACTCCCGGGGACAAGACTTAAAAGCAATTAACCCTGGTGTTTATCGCAGACTTTTGTCTGGTAATGATCTCAATAGGCGCTTAAGAAGGATATGAATCTTTGGATGTGTCCACTGGAATCCTTCTGCTTTAAATCTAACTATTCTGGGACTTCTTACTCATTACATCGACTTGACTACTTTTAATGATTGTAACGACTCTCTGTGATTATTCATCGTTGTCTCCTAAGGATTGATGACATGCAGTGGCAACACCGTGCTAGTAATACAAAGGTTCGGCTTCGGGTGTTCGGTACAGCGACGATAATGCAATTGGTGAAACTATCTTGAAACATCCACTCCGGTGGCTTGGACGTGTTCTACGAATGTCATCCCAGAATATTCTACGTCGTGCATCATTTGCCGATGCTGGAACTGGTTGGAAAAAGAGAGATCGGTCGTATTTGACATGGTGTTATGGTATGAAAGCTGTACAGGGCTGGATTCTCTTTTTACCTTCACGATTCCCTGGCTGGGGTCCTAGATGTGGTGGCTAGAGATGATATCGTATGTGTTTCAGAATGATAGCCATTGGAGATTGTGCTGCAACTTTATTTTACTTTCTCCATAAGAAATGGACACAACTTCTTTGGCATGAAGAATCCTTTCTGGCTTTACCCCTTCTAACTTAACTGCTTCCACCATTAGTATTTCGCTGTCATGCACCAATTTCTGTTCGTTATCGTTTCCTCTTAGCTTATACACACATTATATTCCTTATCTCTTCATTTTTCCATTGTTATTGTATGGCGCATATATATCCGGTGCCCCTTCGTACCAATCTTTGTGTTCAAATAAATAAATAATAATCTTAATTATAAAATTAAAATTGGAAGTGCGCCTGTTGTTCTTCAGGACGCGAAAGACCATTTTTCAATATATTTAAAGCCAGTATAGATGAACTCAACTAAATGCTATAGTTGGGCATTATCCGTCTCTCTGGTAGCCAATAATAAACGTCGTCCGAAAGAAAATCGAAGCACACTGGCTATCTTGTGAGAGCTCTCAGTTGTCGAAATGTAACAGACAGATATCAAGTGACACACATTCAAGATTCCATGAAAGACTTTCTGCGCATGACCATGTTTACAAAGAAAACACAGCCAGAGCCCACTACCATATACCAATGACTGAAGAGGATATTACTCGGATAGTCACTACTATACCCTTCGGAATGCTTGAGTTCTCGTGCTTGCAAGGTGTTCTTGGCAGTGAAGTACGAAAATTCCAAGAGGTTTGTGGACAGTTTGTCTCGAGATATTCTATTCATGCAAATATACATAATGATCCTACTAATTATCAGTCCTAGCTTAAGATCACATAAATAGCATGTGACTGTCGTGTCAAACAGGCTAGATGTGAAGGAGCACCCGCAAGTGTGTTCATGAAATTATATTTCAAAGATTTCTCGAACACCATAAACTCGGACGAGACTGCACTGAGTAAAAATAAGTGGACACCACTAAGAAGCATCCCATACCCATTCCTAAGCACAACCTAGTTGTTCCGATTTAATTACCTTTTATTGTTAACTTATACTCAGCAGTGCGCAGTAACTTCGTTCAAGAGGAAATCGAAAGGTTGTGAACTGACTTCTGGGGCTACTGGAGTTATAAAAAAGCCAAAGAATGAGTTATTCTAGGCGTTTGTGAAAAATTGTTTTGACAATATTTCACACTGTCTCTGACTGAAAAGGCCCCCAACAAAGCAGTTGAGCGTACTCCAAATCAGTTGACAACCAATAACTTCCATCTAAAATAGACACTGAGGAGTGTTGAACTCTACAATCGCTCATAAAGTTTCAAGATTTAGTATACAACTTCCGAACATTAGTCTCTAGCTGAGATAGTTACCTTCACCTCTTGATCTACTGTGACCCGATCAAAGTGATGCCCCGACCTTCTGTCCCTAAAAAAGCATGACAAAATTATTGTTCAGTAATTTCTACGCTTCGCCCTCAATGTTGAGAAAGCTACCATCAAACCGGTAAGTATAATCATACCTACAGAATGATGTACTCAAGTAGGTTAGGGAGTTTATGTTGCATCAATAGTCACAAGTTTACTGCCGTACAGATTGACCCATGGAAAATCTTTCACAGACAGATGAGTATTTTCCTTGCCTTTTGTGCTGATGTAGTAGGCTATTTTTATTTATTTACTTACATGCGTATTCAGGTGAACAAAGCTTTCAACAGCCTTTCAACAGTAACTGATATCATAGCCGGACTACTTAAAAATCCTTCATTTACATATTGGCCATTTTTAGAACATTTGTCATAACTACGACTGACAGTAGATCTCAATATAAATATGGGCTGTTCATCAACTTATCAGGCTTCCTAGGAGCTAAGAAGGTACGTTACGCCTTATATCACCATCGGGCCAACAGGTTGGTAGAACGTTTTTATCGCCACTTAAAACTGCACCAATATTACGCACAAACCCTACTCAGGGGGCCTGAATTCTGGACATTAGTTGTGGCTGTGAATAAGAACTGCTGTCAAAACACTCCAGATTGGGCTGAAGCACTTCCACTCATGTTAATCGGTATTCGCAATACAGTAAAAGCCGATGTTAGATACAACTCGTCTATGGAACGACAATCCTTCATCTTCTTCAAAGATTATGGATCTAAACTATTACACATGGAGACTTACAAACGCCATGTGTTCAGTTAAATTTGTTTCGACTCTACAGCAATCAATCTCCATTAGACCTGACATACGAAATAGTCCATACGTTTTTGTACATCGTGATTCAATGCGACGACCTCTCAAAATGACATACGAAGAACTCTTCATAGTTCTTCATTGTAAGCGTAAATACTATATTGTCCATAAAAACTAAACTAACAATAGCGTCTACATCGATCGTCTTAAGGCCGTGTACATAGAAGGGAGCCTTAATGGTGTTGATGTTCCTCTAGTACACTAGAGTGACGCTAGCTTCATAACCACAATAGTGACGACGAAACTTTGCTGGCATCTGACAACGCTCCCAAAACAAAGATAAGGTTTCTGGGGCGCTTAAACGATTACTGAGAATAGCACGCTGCACAAACTTTTGTTTTATTCCATTTGTTTATATTGTTGTGTCAAAAACAAAACACTGTTCAAATATGCTGATACACACGTATATTTTTCCTAAAATGTCCAGAAAAACATTATTATGCAAAAAATTGTTTTTCATGCTGTTGCACGTTGTTTATGCCCATGCGTACCAATTTTTTCCTTATTTGCACTCTTTTGGTCCTTACGCACGTGCGAGTGTACTATGACATGCACTTACAAATTCTTTTCCTTTTTTAGGAATCCTTGAAAAGATGAAAATCCGATGAAAAATCCGATGAATAGAAGTTTTCATTGTGCATTTGTTGTTGCCATATTGTACCGCATGTCCACTTATATTAGGGAAGGACATATCTAGCTATCAGAATAGTGTTTACCAACGACGGGCTCCTTGGGTTTAAACTTCTGGAGCAACATATATTTCGATAGCCTTTCAAATGTATTTTCGAACTCCTTCACTTTCCACTTCTGATTCGGATGGGTGAGTATACTTCAGTTAAAGATCACCTACGTGTAAAGTTGTTAAACTCCGAATACCTATGACATCTTAAGGTTTGTATGACTAAACAGATACGAGCTACATAAGAACTCGAAGATCTAGTCAGTTAGACGAACTTTTAAATAAAGTGTGACGACGTTAAAACCTAGATCTTCTCAGATTCGAAGAATTATTCAGCGCCACCTCACGAACACCTGAATATTTCGTCTTGTAAGAAAGTGGGAACACTAGCAGAATAGGTATTGATAGGCCTTAACATGCTTAGTTAGATGAAAATTCATCAATGTGGTAATAAGTCGTCGACCTGGGAAAGTAACTACAGGGTTGTCAGATAAAAAAAGAATAAACAAACTGTTATCAAGACGGTTTGCTAGACACAACAGATTTTTCAGCCCAACCTATCTAGAGCTTCGTCTTCACCCTAAAAATGTACTATATTCATACTGAAGTTTTGTCCGTCGAATGTGCTTTTTGTGTGTGAGAAAGCGAGAACAAGAAACGAACGAAACAGTGTCTTTTTAAGTCTTGTCGTCATCATAAAAAAATGAAGCAGACAAAGAAAATGATACCAAAATAATGATAAACTTAAGCTGTGTTTTGTCACTGACTCCAGATCATTTCATGTTTGACCGTTATACTCGCATTAAAACCATGGAAATGAAGTATTACAGTAGACCCAGCATATTACCTTATTAAAGCTACTTCATGCTGTTTTCGGATTGCCCATCTCCATATTCTTCAGTCATTTCAACTGCCTCTGGATAATCTGAGCATTTTTCTGAGCTCGCGATGTCATAACACTGAGAGGCTGACCTGATAATTTCATATTTGAAACTTCTCTCTCGTACCACCTACTATGCCGCCTAGAAACACGAATGAGGCTGAAAAATAGAAGCCTGTTTATGAAACAATACGAAAAATCTAAATAACACGTCTGTTTTCTCGAATTCTTTGCTATTTCTATCAATTTGACTGGAGATTTACAGTGTTTTTAGCGCTTAGTTACCATTATTTGACTAAATATACTCTAAAGTTTATGTCTACATTTCTTCCTTCCATACAAGTTATGCAGCCAACTTTAAAGTATTCTCATCTTCGTGCCTGATGACATGGAAACAATTATTCTGAAAACCATCGTTGTTATTCAAGACAAATAGTTCGGTCGTCAGCACAAAACCACTCATAAACTACTCTTAAAATTCACAGTTGAAGAGGTTTTTGGTTTGTTTTGTTATGACACTAAACTAGCGTTTATATGAAAAGTAAACATTGGGCATAACTACGGGTGTGTGTATGAAACATTTGTACTCTTAAAAGAAATAGAGGCGCTTAACCTTGTTTTATGGATCCAAGATCACGATTTATTTTTTCCACTGCTCAAACGTATTTCCAGCTGGACAGAATCAATCTGAATGAGCTTGAAAATGAGCGACACGTCGTTAGCTTTTTAGATTGCCTAAATATTTTTACTCTTGCTTGCTATCTCGGAAAAGACGGAAGTTTATTGTTTTTTAATGAAGTGAGTTCAAATTTGAAGGAATACTCATAGTAGATTGTGCATCATGACAACACAAACCAAATGCTCGTGTTCGTCAAATTACAACCAACCTACATAAATGAGGAGAATTACAAATCAAGCGTTATGGTTTGTTCAATTCCTGGTTCTCCGGTTCTTAGTTTCTACAACTCTATCAGCAAATTATTCGCGCCTTTGTTGCTAAAAGTAAGAGTGAATAAATTGTTTACCTCATAGGGTGATGATAAATCAATCTTACAAGACCCAAAGATACAGATGGCTCTCACCAATCTGGCTGCTGGATTGTCTGCCGCCGTTAGCAAGGGTGATGGTTCTGAAAACACGATAAGTAATTAATTTATGATAAAAATTATTATGCTAATAGTTTTATGAAAAAAACCGCACATGGCTCATTAGAAAATCCATTATACGTTAACCGAACTAGTGTCAGATACTTAATATCCCTTTGCCAATGTATGCTTGTAAACAATCACGAGTTTTTAATCATTGCCTGTCACTAGCCATATAATCTTATGCGTCTTCAAACTATTTTTTTGAAACATTTATCATCGATGGGTGGAATAATTATCTGCTTATTTATGTAGCCAAAGAATATTACCAGTTCTTGACCCTTTTGTCGAACTCAAAGAGTCACTTTGCCTTATTTAGATAATTTCTAGTTGTTCAAACGAATAAGCTTCCTTTTGATCTAATTCACATTTTCAAAGTGACTAATTTCTCTTTCCAGTATACATCATCATCTAACTGTCGAACATGACTTTGGAAACCAGATTAAACATGTTTTAAAAATGTATATGTATTATAGATATATAAGGGAAAATATCAAGTGAAGAGTTTCATCCAAGGGAATCATGCCTGTAGCTTATAATTTATAACCCCATGACCCACCCAGAGAGAACTTAATGCCTGGATATTTTTTGTGCGTAAAACATCCAATAAAGATTTTTCACTTTCTTTAGACGTGAATTTCTACAAAAGCCTGAGGAAGTATTTTACTTTCGTGGTATTTTTGTTTATACTTAGTCTAATTTTATACTATTACACGCTGTAAGTGATGACTTTATCGAAATATATACCTCAAGTTTTATTAAGTGATATGACAGAATTCATAAACAACGACGACAACAGAGATTTACATAAGCGTAGAATGAACTAAAATAGATACCGGACAATGTTAGTAAAAAGCTAGTCAAAGTTTCATCTTTAGAGAAGAGTGGTGCTCTGGTACAGTAATTCAGTAATTCACCAGAGATGTGACATGTAAAACTGCTTGCACGTTTTCTACTAAGTTTTGCGAGCGAATTCAGAGTTAAATGCTTGTTCATAAACAATGCTGATGCCAAAAAAGTTCACCACTATGGATAATTAGTGCAAAAAGTATTGTAATCGAAAACTATCAAGGATGTGTAGATCATCAATGTCAGCAATCTGTATTGATGATTGGGCCTGTTTAGGTCGGACGAAAATGTTGTGACCTAGCTCATGTCAAAGGTTCCACTCATAGTTAATACTTTACCTGGATTGCTTTATCGCTATAACTCTGTGGCTAGCTATAATAAACGCTCTCAATAAGCAACAGCATATATAAATATTGAAAGTAATGAAAAGTACAAGGCAGAACCACTGCCACATGCCTATATCCATGACATACAATCGGTTGATACACGTGTTTACCCTTGATCTTGAATATAATCGGTAAATTGTTCGACATTCATTGACCTAACTGACATATGATTTGGCCAGGGCCCAGGAACATTTCAATGGGCCTACATGTGTTTTGCCAGTAACATATTTATAATATTTGGAGTACACAGAAGGCTCCTTGATCATATTTATGCCCGGGTTTATCAACATAAATATTATGATAGTAAATATACTTTATATTATATCCCAGTGAGTAGAAAAATTATATCTATGATGTTTCTACCCATTCAGATATAAAAAAGTTTTATTATTAATTTTCGATCAACTGCTCAGTTTATTTGGAACTATCGAGACCATTTTTAGCACTGACACCTATAAACTCATCAATAATTATTATGGCACTAATTTAGCCTATTACTTGTCCCACAAAAATATCCTCGGTACATTGGTAAGATTATCTATTTAAATTTCTGGAGGTATTTTTGTAGCGTTTCATCCCGAGAGATGTTTAAAATCCAACCCGTTTATTTGCAGATACGTGAAATACATCATTTTATTTGTAAAAGCTTACCAACAAAGACCTTAGAATACTAGATTAAGTTCAAAATTTGTGTATGACACACTGAATTGTTAAGGTGAGTGGCATTTATAGTCGCCACATAATGGAGTCACCAAAAAACCTGAAAATCAGCTTTGAATTCTCACTAATTTAGTAACACTTTTAGTGTGATATTCATATTTATATTTAGGCTGGATCATAGGATAGTCTTATCTGGCCTTGTTATTTATATTTTGTCTAGGCATTTTCACGCTCATGGATGAAGTTAATTATTGGCGCAACCAATCAAAATGCTGTTCAAACAATAATATAGATGAGATGAAGCAGTGTGAGTTGTTCGTATCCCTTCTGGAAGGTCCAGCCAAAGAATGCAATCGTATTGAGTCTTCATCCCAGTCAGCCTCGGATTCAAAGATTGACTCATTAGGGTTGTCTACTCATTGTTCTAATTCCACTCAAAAACAGCCTTCTTTTGGAGTTTTTCTAACAGATTTAATTGACATTCTTGACTCACTTTTAATAGACACGCTGGACGAACTATGGAGGTGCACCGATTCAAGGGTGACACAACCTTATCCAGAGCACAGGATGCGCCAACTTATTGAAAGTTTGAGTTACTGGACAATACGCATGATCCAAAGTTTTCTGGGAAGTGTTCACACGTTGTCAGAGAAAACCGAAATATCCATCTCAAGTTTATGGATTTTGCCTTTTGATGAAGTGAGCAGATTAAAACTGAATAAACCACATCTCATTAATACTAGAAATCTTCTGGTCACAAAAATGTAATGATTAATTTAGTTCCTTGGTTGTCAAGTGATAACAGAAAGTATCACACATCTTACTTCTATATCTACCACTTATCACGTCTTATGAACGGCATAAAAAAACTTTCAAGTTATTTTATTTTTGATGAAAATGTGATGGTTTAAATGAAGTGTTTTCTTTATGTACTAAATTAGTTCAGGGTCATTTTACATGTTGATATTAAATCAAGAATAGGTATATTCTTAAACCAAGACAATATGTAGTTCGAAGACCTACAAATATCTTTTAAATGACCATCGTGAAAAAATATCAACCTTGCCAGTAAATGTGCATAGTATTTTCAGGTTTTAAACTTATTTGGTGATATTTGTAAATTTATCCACATGACTATTGTGATAAAGGCTAAAAATGATGGATATTCATTAAACTACTCATTAGTAGTTTCGATACACAAATAACATTTTCTGCTCTGCAAGTAGGTACTTTCTACTCTTAGATATAGATGTTCAGCTACAAAGTTTGGCAAAATTAAACTTCAAACAATATGAAAGGTTTACTATATGACTTCAAGTGTTTTTAGTCGAAAAATATCAGATAGCTAGTTATTAAGTATTTTTTTCTTTGTGTTTCTAAAAATTGACTCTGTTTGCGATTGAATTCTAAGTAAATCTTGTCGTTAATATTTTAATTTCAGATCTATGTATGTGATGTTAATAGGACATGTTATTCAACATGATATGTGTCACTTAGTTTTCTGTTGCAGTCATATTATCTGGACAAGAAAATGTTTGAAGGAGTGTCTGGAAACTGAAGTGTTTCGGTAATAAAATTTGTTTTACGTTACGGCGAACAGTCCTAAGATAATTATTGAAATCGTGAACAGATATAAGTAAGACGATCGCTGAAAACCAGGAAGTACTGGAGAGCTTTTCTATCTTACGATGAGACTACTGAGAATTTCGGGTCTACTACCCCACCAGAGATCAAACTCAGGACATTAGGTCTTGCAGAATGAGCCTAACTTTTAGACCACTTATTAACGTTCAGTTCGCAGTACTGTGAAACCATCTTCCATCATTTTTGGTCGATGAATAACTTACACCCGATCTGACTAAACTCCACTGTCCGCAGATTCTCATCAGAATTAACCACACGATATTTATCTCTGTGCGGGGTTTTGAAGATTATAGAAAGTTAAAAGTATAAACAACTAGATAACGGCTAAATAGTTCACAGGTTTAGCTCTCTCTGTTAGAGCCCTAGGTCTTGGATTTGATCCCTAGTTGGATCTTTTGTGTGAAATTATGATGAGTTCCATGCACAAATGTAACAGCTGTCAAGTACTTTCCGGTTTTATTGATCATGTAAATTAAAACGGTTTGTAATCTATCAGTGTTCATAGTTACCCCTTGTTTCATCTGTTGAATTTCAATAGCACTCAATCATATCAGCAAAACACTATACTGGAAATTTTTGCTGTTACGAATCACTGTATATCACTTATAATAATGATCAGTACTCTCGAACCAAATCTTGGTTATGTAAAAAGAAAATGAATGTTTTCATTGATTAAATTCAAGCTCATTTAGAATATACTTGTAAACATTCAGTGCAGAGTGTTACAGAATCATGCAAATCTTTAATTATTTATCTCAGTCAGCAGTTCATGTTGCATGACTAACCTAATTAAATTATCAGTGTCGATTATAGTGTTAGTTAAATCACAAATTTCGCTTTTAAAGGAAACTATATGATTTTACCTAGTAACAAAAAAACTCATTAAAATCTTATAAATAGTTGTTTTTGGTCTTAAAGTATCAATAATTGGTCGTAGACCAGACCACATTGAAAGCACCGGTTCTCGTCCGATCACCGCAGTTAAGCAACGTTGGGCCCGGTCAGTATTTGCATTTGTTACACTAATATGCTTGAATTTAGATTACTGAAAATGTTTAGCTTAGAAGAATGAATGAGTCCAGATACTTTACTGATGAGTTCTGTTTCAAATTACTAACATGACTAACAGTGTTTGAATCAACTTACAGAGTGATACAAGTCCTATTTGATAGTTTTTGTACGGCATATGTATATGGTAAGGTTTTATGAAACAAGGAGGGGGACGTTTTAAACTTCTAAAACTAGTTGCTTTTAAATTCACTTAGTATCGTTTGTTTGAATCTTCCCATTGATGTTTTAGGACTGCAACTGGTCAGTCTCTAATTGGCATATGTGCATATTGTGCGCATTGTCTCGATTAGTTACTTTTATCTTCTTTGATGGATTGTGTAATTTTCTCCTAATTTATCTTTTTGTTTATCATAATGATTAGGTTAAACAGGCTATTCAATTAAGCATTGAAGCATGTGAACGATGGATAAAATCTACTGATTTATTAACTCAACAATTATGGCCACGTTATACACCACATCCATGGAATGGTCCATTACCGAATTTGGCATATCTAATCCAGTTTAAAAATCGATTGAATGAAGTAAGGAATTTTGGATAACTGAATTGCTCCTAGTCAGTGTTTAAAATAATCGATAAATTTAAAAAAAAATATGTATCATATATAACTTTCTTGTTGCTCAATGACTTTCTCAATCGTAGGTAGATTCCAATGTTATATGTGTATGTATTTCACCAATAAGAAAAATATCCAAATAAACAAATATCTGAAAATAGATAAAGTTTACTTTTCCCACAATACCTGAATATGTTCTCAATGCATTTATCAAGGGTTTCAAAGCCGTTCAGGTTTATATGAAACCTTGGTAAACAAACATCTGGTTATAGATCAGAAGGGGTTTTGTGGAGAATTTAGTATTTTCATAGTTGAAATCATGAGTCAATTGAAGTTAGATCAACATCTGGTTCTCTTTTCTTCTTAGACATACAATAGCTTTATTCGACTTCGGAAACTACTGAGAATTCTTAAGTTCTCAAATAATAAAAACAGAGTTATTGGAGAAACAGCTTGGTCAGAATTCACTCTAAACTGTGTTAGTATTAAACAGTACCTTGGAGTTCCCTGGGAATCTGTTTAATATTTCAGTTAAATGTATCTACATTTAAGAGACTTGCTTTAAATGAAATAGGTTCTATTGAGTTGAACTTTGTTACATAATGACGATTAACTGTTAAGCAGCAACTTTTTAAAAAAAAGACTTAAAAAACGAGTAGAAAATGAGGAATTTATCTAATCAAAGTTGGTGTTCACGTACGATCGGTTCACAGCTGATTTTAGAGAAAACGTAATAACTAAGGGGCTAAAACAATGGGACCACTAAGAAGTCCCCTTATTTGTGGTTGTGGTAAACAAATGACTTGTAGACTTTGTGTAGACCGTGATGATGTTGTCTTTCAATGTAATACATATTGGAGGAAGAAGCCTGCTAGAAGAGGAACTTTCTTTGCTCGATCCAGGTTGAGACTAAGGAAAATTATGGCAATGGTTGCGAACATGATCGTAAAAGCACCAGTAATACTGTCTGCAGCTGGGTACTACAATATATACGGATGATTGGGAGTGTACAGGTGCCTACATAGATTTGGTTATGTGCATCGTGTCGTTATCCACAAGTAGCATTTTGTGGACCCAACAACAGAAGTGCACACAAGCAATACTGAAGCTATGTGGTCGAGGTTAGTAGAGTTTTTACAACCTTATCATGGCTCCAGAGACCGACTATTATGGAGCCATATAGATAATTTCCTCTATCGTATGCATGACGATTTTAGAACCTCTAAAACTCTTTCTAACCTTGAGAAGTTTTTGAACCATGTAAAAGAAGTGTATTCCCTTAATTTTTTGGTTTTGTATCATATATCTTTACTTTATACTAACTTTCCTCTAATTAGCTAATATTTATCAAAGTCACTTAAAATTCATTCAAAGGTAGTCCATAACTAATAGGCTCACCGCTTAATTTCTTCTTGTTTTCTTTTAAACTTAGATTCTTAACTTACGTGGTTTATACGAACAGTTATATTATTTTACAACACCCATTGAACATAATCAATTCAAAATGGATTCTGGATTACATAATATCATATTTAATACATTAGAATTTGACAATCTAAAAGAAGATATAATATCACCTATATTAAAACAATTTATTAATCCATTAGCTTATAATCCTTATACAGTTGAACAATGGCAATCTGTTATACAATTAATTGATATACGTCTTCAACCAATTGAAGAATGTGCAACTAATAGATTTCGAACAAAAATACTAAGCTTATCTAATAAAGTTGATTGTAGGTTTGCATTTTTTTGTTTACAAAATTATGATTAATGTTATTATTATTACTGGTAGTAGTAGTATTGGTAGTGTTGGTAGTATTGGTAGTAGTAGTATCAAATATTTTGATGTAAGTTTGTTCTCTGAGATGGATGGTTTGATCTTGGAGCTTTCATCGTCCTTCTGAACGACATCATCAGCACAAACTTCGGGTCGAAGTGAAGTGTTTGAATTTCTCCACATGTGATTCACAGCTTGTCCTATGCACCTCGTTGTTGATTGGTTCTTGTTGGCCTTAAATCTGTCATTGTTTATTTCTTTGTTTTGGTTATATCTCCTATTGGTTTGATTTTTGTTCCTATGTTTCTGCATAACTTTCTTGATTGGTTGAAGTTTGTGCTGATTATGTCGTTCAGAAGGACGATGAAAGCTCCGCAACCAAACCATCCAGTTCAAAGAACAAACCTACATCAGAATCACCTGAGCTACAAATCTTCTCCAACATCTCAGTATCAAATATTATTATGCACTATGATAAACGTAACTTTTAGATTTATTGTAACGAGAAAATGGATCATTTCCGGACCTGGGATATAATAAGCTAAAAAAGGATAGTATTACAATTCAAAAACAGGATAATACGAACACTAGTTTATATAACAACTTTCGTCTAAATTTGATCGAATAGTTTTATAGTATTTGCGTACCGAGTTTATGACAATGAAGAGGAAGAATGTATTTGTAAAATCTCAGTGAATGAATATGAAGTAAATCCAAAGTTTCTCTTGGCAATCTGGTCCAAGCTTTTTCAAGGAAATTTAATCAAGCATGACTTTTGAGCGAACGATTGAGAAACTCGCTCAGGCAGTAGTTTATTCAATAAAATACAGTGAATCGATACAACGAAGCCAGGAGTAGAAATCAACTTTTTACACATAGCACTAGACTATATATTAGTTTATTTAGAGAAGTCTATTTGTATTTACTCAGTGGCCAAACACGTGGCAAATCAAAACTATACAAAGTGTTCACTAAATCACTTAATTTATGAGTGCATAATGAACTGATTCAAAAGGATAGGTCACCGTGGTCGCCCCGAATAGATGTAAACATTCTATTATTTTCATTGGGTGACCGACAAAAGATTGGGTCAAAAAAAGTTGACTGACGTTTTCGTTAAAAGTATACTGTACTGACGGCCTTGTATGATTCAATCAAATTTAAGGTAGCCCCTTATATAACTTTGCTCGAAATTAAAAGTTTAGTGCTAGATAACTTGTGCGTTGTGATTAATGAGGTAAAAATTAACAATATTTGGTTATTAAAATGCTTGTAATGGATAAAGAAATTATCTACTATGCAGCCAGATAGTGAATATGATATGGTGCTCAAACTAGAATACAAGAGGTACCTGTTCCTAGTGCAGATTATATGTTCACAAACCTGATGTGATTTAATTCACAGTCAAACGTATTTCTGTAAGTAGATAGTATTCTCTCATTCTAATTCCTAACTCCAAATTTCAATCCCAAAATTATTAAGTTTGTTAATAAAAGTGTGACAATGCATCATTATAATATAACTGATGCTGGTTCATTCATGATGAATACGCTAAACCTAATACATAATCCTAACACGTAATTTTAGTTAATTTCTTACCATCTAGCACTAACTGCCTTGATATGTAGTTGATGTCGGTTGGTGATGAAAAGTGTATGGGGTTATAATCTTAACTCCTAACAATTACCCAACTCTTAATATGTAGACTTGACCTTTGGTCTTTACGAGGAAGAGTAATTTAACATGTAAAGGAATACCTATCATATTCAAATCAGTATTCCACTGTAATTTTATTTCTACTTGCTAAATAATGAAATAGCATTTCTTGGTTTATTGATAAGTTGCTCGAGGTCGCCAACACAGTCGACCCAGATAGATCAAATTCGTCAACAAAGTATACATTTTCATTGAGATCATGAATCGATCTAAGTTAAACCACCATTGAGAACCTGGGAGGACTGGATGGCCATTTCGTCTCAATCTGAGACTCCTCGGAATCGAGCATCCATTATCCGGAATGCGAGAATCGAACTGAGGGCCCTGGGCCTCACTTGCGAACACCTAGCCTCTAGACTACCGAGTCAACATCTAACGGTGTTAATGTGAAACTTCAACCAATCCACGATATTCCGACCATCTTCAATTATCTTCGATGGGTAATTGCCTCACACCTGACATGATTAGACTTATAGACCACTGGATGGCGGCTTAGCGTTCTAGGGGTTAGGCATTCACACGAAGCCGAGGGTTTTAAGTTAGAGTCCCGCGTAAGGGATTATGGACGGGTAATACTGAGAAGTTCAATGCTAGGACGAAACGGCCGTCCAGTGCTTCCAGCTTTTTAATGGTAGTTTAACACTGGTCGGTTCATGATCTCAAAAAGAAACTCAACAATCATCACAACCCTATACTGATATTATTATGCCCATTTTTCTGGTCGTTCATTTATATTTTTTGAAATAATATATTACTGTCATACTAAATTAGTAATACGGGATGAATACAGAAAAATCATCTCTAGTACCACGGCATGCTTCGCTTATTTCATTAAAATCATGAGTTATTACAACTGAAACTGTAGTTGACTCCCTGAATCAGTTTCCCTTTGATATCATCGTCATCATGACTAATCTTTGTTGTGATCTCAAAAAACCCATAGTTCTACTATTATACTGTTTAAATAATTGATAGACGTCGTCAGCAGAACAGCCACATAAATAACTGGATCCTAAGCTCAAATCAAACCTTAACAATCAATCTTGAATAAAATAAACATTCGATAAACCTCAATTTAGATGGATTGGAAGCGGTTCAACACAAGGGATTGAATTTTACAGTACTTATGATGAAGTGTGATGATTCAGTCCACCTGATTGAATCAGTTCACATAAGTTAATAGAAGATGAAGAACTGATTGACTGAGTTTTATTTTTAACAATATTTATCATAAATATGTAATTGCTTATAATGCCAACCTAGTGTTTAATGTTCCTTTACCCTTCATGTATTCATATAAATGTATACAATAGAAGTCAATTCACATCTCACCTTTTTCCTGTTATTCAGCTTCTGGTGTTACTTATTCCAATCGAATTGTTTCAAATCAAATTTTGATGGAATTTCAAAAATTTCAATATTTAATTCATCGTCCTACTGCAGCAAAAATTTTACAATCAGAAAGAGAATTACTCCTTGGTTATTTGGAAGTTTCATTGAAAGAGGTAATCTTATCATTATTATTAATACTGTTTTACATTTAGTTAGAATCTATAACTAGTTTAAGGTCGATTATAAAGATAATTTACACCACGAGTTGGTTTTAACCATAAACTGTTTTAAATCTTAAAGGATAAAACCTTTATTCTGTACTAGTATAGGGCTCTACAATACTACACACCTACGACCTCATGAGGAATTGAATCCAGTATCATGGTTTTTACAGTGACACCTTTAGACTGTAGAGTTAGGGTCTATTGAGATGTTTTTGTAACTTCAGTCGATTGTCGATGTTATGTGATCTCTATCAATTTATTACTGGTATCATGTAGGACATAACTTTAACCTAACAATCATGACTCCTCATTAGAAGTTCGAAAATTCTTCTGGAAGTAGCAGAATATTATTACGTAAAACCTCAGAAAGATACATACTGGCCATGCAGCACAGGAATAGAAAAAAGACAGAAATGAAATGAAATAAGAAGAATATACAAGAATTGTAAACAAAAAAATGAGGAAAATAGCAGAATTTCTTAAATCTAAATGAAAGTAGGGAGGTTGGATCTATGTAATTATGACCAATACTGACTTACGTAATCTACATTAACCTAACCATAAATTCGTAATATTCCCATGATTCTAATTAGATACATCACATCCTAATATCTACAGTCCGCTAGTCATAAGAACAATGAACGTAGTTTAATTATCCATGTTCCTTATGTTGCTGTACATCAAATCACCAAAGCTATAGAAAATTTGCTTGCTGAAGTTGAAAGGAGTTGAAGTGATGGTGTTAATAGTTGAAACAAATCAACCATAAAATTTATAATCGGTAAACAATAAATGAAATCGAGGAATGAAGAATATGATAAGAAAATGATTACATCAGCTTGCTTACTTACTTACTTACGCCTGTTACTCCCGGTGGAGCATAGGCCGCCGACCAGCATTTTCCAACCCACTCTGTCCTGGACCTTCCTTTCTAGTTCTATCCAATTTTTGTTCATTCTTCTCATATCTATCTCCATTTCTTAGCGTAATGTGTTGTTTGGTCCTTCTTTTCTCCTCTAGCCTTGAGGATTCCAGGTAAGGGCTTGCCTTGTGACTCAGTTGGGTGCTTTCCTCAATGTGTGTCCTATCCACTTCCAGCTCTTATTCCTGATTTCTTCCTCCGCTGGAATCAGCATTAGTGAATGAAATTAATTTTGAGCTATATCACCTTTTAATTTCAACCATTTACTATTACTATCACACAGACTTTAACTAGAAATTATAATATTCTAGCACTCCTCACTCCAAAAGTCAATAATTTTATGAACGAATGACTTACTTATAGTACATCTAGATACCACACAGCCCACTTTTATGGTGGTTAAAAGACAGTTTAAACGAAAATTAAATATCATATAGTTGAAATCATGAGTCAATTGAAGCTAGATCACCATGGAAAACCTGGAAGCACTGGACGGCCGTTTCGTCTTATTGTGGGACTCCTCAGCAGTGCTCATCCACGATCCCGCCTCGCAAGATCTAGCTTCGATTGACTCATGATTTCAACTATAAGAAATTACTAAAATCTCCATAAAACCCCCTTCTGAAAACCAAATGTCTTGAATACAATATCTTTAGTAAGATCATGCATTACTCCCGTCAATTTTATTATTTATCCATAGAGTCTTACAATTAAGATAGATTGATCAATAACATTAATTTTGAATTGATTGTCATATGATTCTTAATGTGTTTTCTTATTTAGTATCATGTAGAATTTTTAGCTAAGTCAAGTACTGCTAACTCAAATTGGCATTGTCACCAAGAACAATCACAAAAGAGATCTTTAAAAATTATAGCTAAAAATATTTCAGATTGCATAAATCAAATGCTCTGGGGAGGACAGCTGAAAAGTCGTATACAAGAGGAACTTACACTTGTAAAATTTCTTCTGTCTGATTTACAAGGTTTCAGTGCATATGAACAGGTAATAAAATGTTATTTAACTTGAACAAATAAATAAACAAAGCATTATCGTCGGCTTTTGTAGTTAACATACCAAAATGAACTCAGCTAAAAAATGATTAAGAATCAGGAAAGATTGGACGGCCGTCTCGTACTAGTATGAAATTCCTTAACAGTGCGCTTTGTTGTGACTAATTTCGGGAGGTGGTTCCCAAGGTTCTAGTAAAACTCATAACCAGTGAAATTCAACCATTTTGAGCATGAAGAGGTTATCCATCAATGACATTGGAAATTGGTTATGCAATATTATAGATTTACTGAAGTTAGACATGTACACCATTCGGTGCTGACTCAGTGATCTAGAGGTTAAGCGTTCGCTTGCTGGACCAAAGATCCTGGGTTGTCTCCGGCGGTGTTGTGCTTGAGACTGCTGAGTAATCTCATTTTAGGATTCAATAGCTATTTCATACTTCTTGGTTTTCAGTAGCTGTTTAACTAAGAATAATCGGTGATGAGTTATAACGTCCAACGTGCTCCAAAAATCTCCTTTATGGAATTACTATCATCCTTCTTAAAGTTGTATGTTTATCAGTTTTCAAAATTTATTCAATATTTAAATGGTCAACCCTTGATTAATATAAACATAAATTGAATGACTAACTACTCATAACTGAAGATTACTTAACAAATGTTTTGTCTGATGATGAAACGTTGCAAGAGCAAGTAATTTTGAATTCATGCAAGAATACATTTATGAACCTTTAGTTTTTACTATCAGAAGAGACACAAGAATCCAGCTATTACTACCACTAATCTCATTTGATTTGTAATCTACAGTAATTGTCACCAAGTATCATAGATAAAAAGTTGTTCTAACTTACAGTACAATAGTCAAGTCATACAAATCTACAGACCAAGTAAAATTTGTTCTGATAGTCTTGTTCTAATGACGTTGTCCACTGATTTTTTCTTGTGAGGTAATTGATTACCTTGATGACTTTCTTCAGACAAATTAAGTTCTTCTTCAAAGCAAACAATCCTCTAAAGGAACATTCTTTGGAGTTCCCGTAACGTTTTACACATAAGAAAAATTTCATATTTTATTACTTGAAAAAATAGTCAAGTTTGATTTTGAATATTTTTCAGGAAGCTCTGAGTTTAATTGAACAAATTGATGACTGGCACAATGAACAATTTCAAGCATGGTCACGTGATAGACTTTCATCACTTTCGACAACAAAGGAATCAAATCATTCTTCATTAGCATTTGATCCAAATGGTCCCCTGTTGAATTTATCTAAAGTTGATGGTCATTTAGAAGTTGGATACCCTGATGGTTTAATGCAATTACAACGAGAAGTGAGACTATTGTCTGGATTAGGTTATCCGATACCTTATAAACTAATAGAAGCTACAAATCAAGCTGAAAAGATATCACAATATGCAGTAATGTTGAGACAGGTAATTCGTTTGATAGATAGCCAAAAAAATGTGAAGCCTAGTAACTGAAGCGTTTTATGATAAATTTTGTAATATATTCCTCTCTGTTCATTTAAAAATTTGATATACCTGAGTCAAAGAAAACTGTTAAACAGGCTTCAACAAACTGTAGGTATGTTTTTCGTAGGATATTTAGTATAGAGATTAAAACTCAGTTAGATATTATTAAATGACCCTAAGAAATTACAAGGAAACTTGAGTGAACTTTTATTCTCTGGTTAGACACTATTAAGCCATTTAGTTTAGACAAAATCATCTGCCTAAATTGTAAATCTCCACCAGTTCAGAATCATATAAGTGTATTACGTTTCTCGTTGTCCAAAAAAACAGTGAATGTCACTAAAAATCAGACTTTCATAAAAGAATAGTTGTACTATACCCAAGAATATCTTCGTCATCATATTCTGCTAACAAGCGTCAGATAAAAAACACTAATAAACTATCCGATCTGGCGGAGAATAACTGAGAAAACATAATTAAACCACCTAGTTGGGAGAATGAAACTTTACCATAACCATCTACTTGAGCTACAGATCATTTTCGCAAGTAGGAAACTTATTTCGGTCTCCATAAAATATGAACACTCTCAGAGGTGGCTCTTCAGCAGGACAAATTGAAGTATACTTATTAATCAATAAATAATGAGTGTGAAATGGTTTCAATAGCGGATTTGAGTAAATTTGTAGTCATTTATCTACGAAGTATATAATTAAGAATCTACAGTAATCAAAGAACCTATTTTTGATTAGTTTGTATTTGAAGGTAAGAATGTTGTAGTTACAACTAACAGAAGATTAAAGATTGCACTAAGCCAAACTTATCTTGCAGTCAAGCTGATTATCTTTTGCGAGACAATACTCTCTCTGATGGAGTCACAGATTGATAGGGGTCCCTTTCAGGTGACCACCAACTGAGTATACAATCTTACATAAATTTTCTAAAACATCCGCATCGGTGGGATGAAAAGAAAGCCCTAAGTTCAATTTCAAGAGTAAATGCCAAAAAGTCTTAGGTCGATAGGATTTGGGGCTTTCAGCAGTATTATTTATGTATCCTAGAGAAAATAATTAGAAATCCTTCTTTTTCATCATGAGATCATCGTAAATTTATTACATCATTCCTACAACTCTTCCCCATATTTTCGATTGGGTTACTTCTTCGAAATTCGTAATTTCATTCTTAACTGACTGATCACAACTTCTGTTATTCTTAATTACTATTAATTTGTGTTCGATTACTTCGTTACGTAACCAGTTAACTATTTTTTCATCAGAACTTATTGTTGTTATGCCTAATCATCTAGATCTTCTCTAACATACAAACATATTTATTCAATCTCACTATATTTATTCGAATCATCACTCCATCATGCTGATACATATATTTACATCTAACCAATTTCACTGTTATTTGTTTTTATTTTATGATAATTTTGAGTTTACAATATACTATAAGTTACTTACTTACGCCTGTTACTCCCGATGGAGCATAGGCCGCCGACCAGCATTCTCCAACCCACTCTGTCCTGGACCTTCCTTTCTAGTTTTATCCAACTTTTGTTCATTCTTCTCATGTCTGTCTCTGTTTCTCGGCGTAATGTGTTCTTTGATCTTCCTCTTCTTCTCTGGCCTTAAGGATTCCAAGTGAGGGCTTGTATTGTGACGCAGTTGGCTGCTTTCTTCAATGTGTGTTCTATCCACTTCCAGCGCTTATTCCTCATTACTTCCTCCACTGGAATCTGGTTTGCTTTCTCCCACAGTAGGCTGTGGCTGATAGTGTCTGACCAACGGATCCGGAGTATATTGCGTAGACAACTGTTAATAAACGCCTGTATCTTCTGGATGATGGCTTTCGTAGTTCTCCACGTCTCCGCCCCATACAATAGAACTGTCTTGAATTTTGTATTGAAAATTCTGACTTTGGTGTCGGTCGAAAATTGTTTTGAGATATTATAAGTGGTAAGCAGCTCATGAGGACCTAGCGAAATAAAATGAATTCATAGTCAAATTCTACTCAGTTCTTTGTTCTTACTCTTTTCAAGATGATAAAGGGAACTAAGTATACGAATTTTTCTGTGAGTCTAACTATTTCCGCGTGAGAGAATAATAACTGACTAAGTGGCACATGATTCGAACTGACAACTCGCTGGTTGTAAACCAAATAGTCTTGATCACTAAACCAGGGTTACGCATTCAGGTTAATACTGACATATAAATACTTGATAATAATAATATCTGTTTATTTTGTTTATGCAATTACAGGTGGCTCATTTCTATAATTCTATTGACAGTGAAATGTTGCCATTTCAAAAACCTTTAATGCTTAATTCAGCTTTAGCTTTTGAACGTTTAATTAAATCATATAATTGTAAACATACTGGTACTAAAGAAAATTTGTTGAATACAATGACATGGAATCAAACTGAAGAAATACAACCATATATTCAACAATTACAGAAAGCAACTAAACAATTAATAATTGAAAATCGTCGTCTACGTAAAGTACATTATATGATTATAGAAAGAGTAAGCTAAAAGAAATGTTAATAGTTATTATTTTTGATATATTTATTTAATAGATCCTAGGTTCGAATCTTGCGAGGCGGGATCGTGGATGCTCACTGCTGAGGAGTCCCATAATAGGACGAGTTGGCCATCCAGTGCTTCTAGGTTTTCCATGGTGATCTAGCTTCAATTGACTCATGATCTCAGCTACTGAAATTACTCGAATCTCCACAAAACCACCTTCTGATTTAGCTAATAGTTTGATCATAGAGTGAGCAACTTCATCTAATTAAAAGAATCTTAGTACAAAAGTGATAATCAAGGAAAATCTTTATTTACTCATTGAATAAGATTTATCCACTAAATTACTTGTTTATAATTGTTTGCTTCCTCTGAAGTGACTTAATTCAGTTTATTCTGATAAAATACAAGATTTGAATCAAATATGAAAAACTTTTCAAAGTCATTCGATTGTTTAATGAATTGTTTCGATTTTCATATAACTTTCAATAGTTGAGATCATGATTCCATTGAAGCTAGACCACCATGGAAAATCTGGAAGTACTGGACGGCCGTTTCGTCCTATCGTTGGACTCCTCAGCAGTGCTGATCCACGGTCCTACCTCGCGAGGTTCGAATCCAGGACCTATCAGTCTCGCGCGCGAGGGTTCAACCTCTAGAACCACTGAGTTGACATCCAACGGTGTTGATGTCAAACTTCAACCGATCCACGAAATTGAACGAAACATCCACCATTGTCTTCAGTGAATTAATTCATGATCTCAACTATTGGTATTACTATAATATCCACAAAACCCCTTTCGATTTTATCTAACTGACTGTAATAAGCACGGCACTATGATAAGTGAATACATAATGATCAGTTCTTTATTCAAGTGTTCCTACTTAAAAGTGTCTAGAAAACATGTGTACCATAAATACAATCTAAAGTTTTAGATATTATTTGTTAATTTTGACTAAGTTAATCAGTCTAGCATTAATTTTATCAGTCATCATAACTTTACTTCTTTATGGGGCTTTTCAAGGAAATATTCTTATACTGTTGAGCCTGGATAACTTGGATATTTTACAAACACTTATATTTAATTTGAAATGGATTGGGCCCTGTAATTAAGTGACGTTTGAAGCGAATGGTACTAGGTTTGAATCCCAGAGTGGATATCAATTCAGATGCAGACATAAATAGCTGCTGAGTTCCGATTTGGATGAAATGTGCGTCCTGGATTCCACTGCTGATCAACATACCATCTATTCTAAACATTTTTATGTTCTTAACAAGATCAACAATTATATGTTTGTGGATTGACAGTTTTCATCATGCACAATAGTGTCTTATATTTGAATAATTAAACAAAAACAGGTTAATATCAGAAGGGGATATTACAGTGATATTACAGTAATTTTAATAGTTGAGATCATGATTCCATTGAAGCTAGACCACCATGGAATCTCGCGAGGCAGGATCGTGAATAAGCACTACTGATAAATCCCACAATAGGACGAAATGACCGTCCAGTGCTTCTAGGTTTTCCGTGGTGGTCTAGCTTCAATTGACTCATTATCTGAAACATTGAAATTTTTAATCATTTTTTAAAATATTTTTAAAATGTTTTGTTTCATAGATCTTATCTTGAATGTGATAGATAAACGGTATGTATATTTGTGTATTTTTCAAGATCAACTGTCAGTAATTCGTTCTTGAATTTCTTAAATTAATGCACTACAATATTTACGCATATTCTTTGATTTGTGATTATGCTCTCATGTTGCTGACGATATTTAAAGTTGTTTTTTCAGGAGAGCAACATGACTTATGACAATATGAATAATCATAGAATCCTTTCTCTTCATTCAGTAATTCTAACAATAATATAGAAAGTTGAAAATGTAACCTGAATTTCTGTAGCTACTGTACGCGATCTGTGTATAACTGACTTCTAGCTATTTTTGCTCTAAACAATCAGGATGTAGCTCAAAAATCAAGGTTTACAATCTTTCGAGTTGTACAGAGTTTCACACAATCATTTACTTTGTAATGGTTTGAATCATCCTGTTGTTGAGATTTTAACTGGATTCTGATCAACCTTAGTTAGAATATATGTATCATGTGAGGAATACCTCGGTATAACCATTATATCTCACGTTTATATAGGACCGAAGGTACAAACACATGACAAATCCTAAGTAGAACGAAACGTGGGTCCATTGTTAGTCACATTCTGTCTATTCTATCTTTCACAATATCATTTTTTTTCTTTGGAGGTTTCTTCATGTTTTTCATTTAGCATTGCTCTATTGTACTTTAAAAAAGCATGTCTTTTCCTGGTTTAAATCTCAGTATTCTCTTTACTCATTAGACCACCACTTTATCAAGCAGTCTAATTATATTATCATTATTACTCCAACTTTGTACAACTTGATTGACAATTCATTCTCATCAGAAGTTATTTTTGATCAATTATAGATTATCAAACTATTGGATATTGATTTACTACGTAATCAATCTAAATGGAGAAATGAATTGAATGAAATGCGATATCAATTATCTGAAATTGCTACCAATGGTGGCTATCCAGCTGATCATATGGCACCATGGAGAGCATTTCTAGATCATCAATTATACAAAGTATTGGAATATCAGTATAGAAAAGGATTAGAAGAAATTAGTGAACGAATGCCTGAAATGCGTGTTGATATGGTTTATATACAATCATGTTTAGCGTTTCGACCACCATTTGAAGAAGTAAGTTGACTTTTTACAAGTGCATTCGATAAAAGTACATTGAAGGTATAATGATTAAGATTCATGGAGTTTTGTAAAACTCAATCGATATATAAACACTTATGTTTAATGTGGTTATCTCTTGTACTTCCAATATATAACTCAATGAAGTTATCTAAGACCTTAATACACAGTCTATTAAATAAATAGGAAAACTGAGATCATCAAAACTTTATTTTACAAAACACAGGGGACAAAAACCTTATGCTCTTAAAGAATCCCTTCATTTGTAACAATACACTTGTTTCCATTCCGTTTCCATAATTTAAAACATTTCCCTAAATCCTCAGAAGTCAGGTACCTTATCTGTCTCGTCCGTAAACAGTTTTTCAAACCGATTTTCCCGAATACAATTAGTGAACAATTGTCTGGACAATGAATCGCCGAAGAGTGAGTGTACTAAATAAACCGTTGTCCTAAGTTTGCATCATTCTTTCAGTCTTTACAACACTCACTGAAACATCTGATTTATACAAAAGGAACTGCTTTTTATACATCTTCATAAACAGATCTCAGCATTTCATGAACTTACTGAGTTTTCTTCAAGTTATCAGCAAAAAGTTTGATATAGTTCATTCCATACATATTGAATAAACTAATATTAAACTATATCATTTGATAATGTTATTACTGTCTTCGTTATGTTTACTGAAAGTATAACTGATTTGTGATTAATGCTGAAACCCTGAATCTGATGACGCGTAATGAGAACATAAAAACTGGTGGTTAATATTTACTTGACACCCAAAACAAATAATTTTTATATGATCTACTTACATTCAGATCAATATTCAGATCTGAATAAATTGAATTGAGTAGTAGTTGAGAAAAGTTCATCAATAATTTACTACATGAATAAAGACTTGATGAGGAAAGCCAATTTATTGTTTTCATGTAAACTTAAACAATGCCTTCGTAAAAATATGAAAATCATACATTAAAATACATCGTTTGCACATCTTTCATAAGTTGTGCTTTACATACTCTATCATTCTTCCGATTCTGTTGTTTTCGCAGTTGCTCTTTGTTTTCCTTTCTCTCCTCTTTATTTCAGTCTTCTGCTAGTAGGTATTCAACTTTTGATTCTTGCTAGATACTACTTATAACTCACACCATAATATTTATGATATCATACCGACTGATTTGCACACTGAGTTAATCTTGCCCTTTTGATTTTATCATATCTCCTTCCTCTCCCGAAAATAAATTCGACTTCTCGGATCTAACTAAAGACATTGGAATGGATGCATATTAGGTAGGATAATGTTAACTTGGTTGAAAAAACTGGTCGGAATCGAAGAACAGGTAACTGAATAATATTTTTACTACTCAGTGACCAGTTTTTATAAAAAGGTAAACTTTAGTTACATAATAACTGTTGTATCCCGAAGGGAATTGTGAATGGTAACTTTTGAGGACTATTTATGGACCAATTTAATATGTATATTAACTACTGTATAGCTGTTAAGTAACTAAAATATTCGTATTCGTGTTCCACATATCATAAGCTTTATTTTGACCTATAGACTATTATTATACAATTTATCATTCTTGTGTTATCCCCAGTCTATTAGTTACTGTCTCCCTTATCCACAGCCACATTTGGATAAATCTTGTACAAATATTATTTTCTGTTTAATTGGACGATGTGGTCAGTTTGTTTGGTATATAAACCCAGTATGTTTGAGAATAATGATTCATATTGCCGAGGCTGTTATTGATGTTTTGAATTTAACTAGCTGGTCTAGGCAGAAAGCAGGACCGAGTAGTACTCAAGACTGCTCATACGGCTTTTGTGTATCATTGTGCGATCAATAAATTCATTCCTCTCTAATTGGGCGTTCATATATCAAATAGGGCACGCACGCACGCACTCACAAGTTATAACACTAATTTAAAGGTGATTATAAACAAAACGTTTTGCCTCCATTCATTAGAATTACCACTGGTTGAATATTGCCGGTCAAATCATTACACTTTACTTATAATGAGCATCAAGTCCAATCGTATCGGTGAGTAACCAGCAAATATTTGAAAAGTCATGACTGATGAAGTTCAACCATGTTGGGAATGAAACACTCATTCATCAGCATAGCTGAATGCTGTCCCAGTATATCACAAATTAGTTGTCGTTGGGAATAATAATGCCAACACAATGTTCCTTTAAGGTAAAATGTGCAGGTCATGGGGTTCGAACTCTAGGTATGTGATTACTAATGAAGTACCCTAAACTAGTACTAAAAAGTAGTACAGTAAATGGCAGCTTTAAATCGATGTTTACAACTGATGAAAGAGAACTTGGCAAAACAAAACTAATTCATATATTATTCCACTTGAATCTTTGTTAGATCTCCACTCAGAGTAAGTCTTTCTCTTTAAATTCTTTTTATTAAAATATCTAGATTAAAGCTAAATACTATCGTGAATTAAAAAAGTTCATTTGTATTCCAAACAATTTTCGTGGATTCAATGAATTTATTACATCTGTTGATGATAATAACAATAGAGATAGTAAAACTACCACTACTTCCACATCTCATATTAATAAACATATATTCTCATATATAATTGATAATCAAGAAAGTGGCCTACGTATATGTTATAAAAAAGCTGAATTCTTATTTACTCGACTATTTGGCAGTTTAGAACAATTTCAAGATTGGGTTATATTAGGTAGTTTAAATTTGGATGATTTTGTGGATTTACATTGTCGTGATCTGGAAGATTATGAAAGAAATTTTAAGGTTAGTTAATTTCTTTTGTTATTCTATTTGTTTCATATTTATGCTGCGTTATATTTTATGTTGTTGACACTTACTTGCATCTGTTACCCCTCGTAGAGTACAGGTCACCTATCAGGACTACCCGATCAACCCTGTCCTGGAATCTTGTTTCCAGTGGTTTTCGAGTGCTATTCATTCGTTTGATATCTGCCTCTAGTCACTGACGCAACGTGTTCTTTAGTCCTTTTGCCTTCAGGACTCCAAGTTAGGGTTTGCCTCATAATGCTGTTTTACGATTCCCCCACCTCTAGTGCTGTTGTTGATGGGTGTTGATGAATGTTTTCAAGTGCTTTATTACAGAATTAACTGCTCATCCTCAGCAAATGGTATCTACGATCCGTGGAAAAAATCTAAGCTCTTAATATATTTAAAGGATGTCTCTTATCAGCAAATAAATGATTTCTCCATTGAATGTTTTTAAATAGTAGTTTCACAGTGAAACATTCCTGAAGACTAATTTTAAGTATATAGTGCCGCCATCGTATTTCAGTTCAGATTATAGACAGATGTCAGTAGATATCTCAAAGACAAAAGGATGAGAATATTTGTGGGCCTATGTTTAAGGCAACATATTTTTTAAATTTCCGAATGTCTTAGACTCCATTCTCAGTATACGTTTTCATTACGATTCATTGAAATTCAATAGAAAGTCTTTATTTTAATGGACTAAACCATAACATCTTTCTATGAGTTTGTTTGATTCAGTGGACAACTACTACATTCCTTTTTAAATCACAGCCTCAAATACATTTCATGCTCAACTGCGGCTTTAAATGATATAACCAGTTAGTGATATATTCACCCTACTTGTAGGGGTATGGTGGAGATTGTTTTGATTTGTATGTTGTTTACGTTAGAGACTTATCTCAGTTAGAGTATTATCAAGAATCAGAGAGCAGAAGAAATCTGTTTTCTGACTCAGTCGTGAACACCCATAACCCCTCTGGAGATTGAACTGATGAGTTTTAGGCCTTGCAGACTACCACTCATCATTAGGACCAATGGATTAACCTCCAATAGTGCAATTTCAAATTCAGTCAATTTATAATACAGCGCAACGATTATCCAATGGAATTAGTGACAACTATATCACTCTTGATATGTCTGAAGATCATCAATCACAAATTGCTACTGGAACTCAAAGAATATGTTGAAATAAATCACTAGCAAGCTAACTAAATCTGAAGATACTGTGTCCACGTTACAGAGGCATGATATACTTGGATGAATCATCTGTCTAGTTAACCCTGACTTTCAGTCGCACCCCAAGTGCGATCATTCTGTGATGAATACAACCTACGGATGTATTCTCTTGATAATTTTGAAAATATTTTCTGTAATGTGCATGTTTGCTTTAACTGTTACAACTATTCATCCATCTAATTATATTTCTAAAAGGCTCTTAAAATACGTAGTCGTGATGCAGAAAAATTGCCAAATGAAATACGTATTGATTGTATTATAGTGAATTGTATACCAGTTAAAACGGCCATTGACGGCTTACTTCAGAATTTATTCGATACATTACAAAATTGCCTACGTAGGTCGATTCATGGTGATTTAGTAGCTGCAGATGGATTTTTAACGGGTCAGTTTAATTAATTATTTTTCTTGTACAGTTAAATCCCTTTTTATAAATTTGAATAAGGGAGGGCAATCGTTGAAGCTGAAAAATATAAATTCGTTTTTATTTCATGTGTCCTCATTAGCTATTTAAAACTTATACTCGAGGACTAATCGAGGAATTTTCAAAGAATTATGAGATTAAAATATGCCACAGGTCTAATTAAAATAATCTATCACGGCGCATGCCCCCAAATGCCCTCGTACGGCCGAGAGTGGGGAGAGTCCGCTATCCCTCTCCAAATGCTCTCGCATGGCCACGCGTATACAGCCTCTGCCAGGGAAGTCCTACTCACTGCCTTCTCTCACCACGGGTGTTGTTTAAGAAAGTGAGAGGACAAAAAACGAACGTCCGGCGCATTAACCGGGATGGTGGTCACGGATAGTTCACCTAGAGGAGTTGGAAAACCCTGATTTCAAACTAATTGTACACATTGGCTCCAGTATCATGAGAGAACAAATGGCGTATGAATTAATCGTTGGTCACCGGCTACCATGGGACTGCATCTCCTTGTGATAATTCACTGCCTTGTGGATTCGGCGTTAAAGTCGAAGGCTCCGGGTGTGGCCCCGCCTAAGAAAACCACTTGATTCAGTTTGGGCACCTGGGCAGCATCACAGCCCTCACACAAATCAAATGAGATTTGAGTGGCGCATATATATCTGGTGTCTTCTTGTACCAATATTTATGTGTTTAAATAAATAAATAATCGACTAACATTTAATCGATGGAGGCTATTTTGTCAACTTTCTTAAATCTTTCAAAATAACTGACTGGAAAACTAGATCATACTTCTACAGAACAGTATATATTAGTGAACGTGAACGTAATTTGAACTTTCGAGAACAGACAACTTTTGATTTATCACAGCTATAGTTAACTGATAGTTTTTTGATTAAATCTTACAGTTATTTTTAGTAGTCATTAATACTATTATTATTAGTAGTAGTTGTACTGTTTGTAATATTTCGCTTGATCTTGAATGAACTATTGGTCATTTCAACTACTTTGCGAATGAATTTTCACCGATTCTTGATTGTCACTTGCTAAGTTCCTTAAATAAAACTTATGTTAATTCTTTAGATCTTTTGTAATTATTACGCAATTCATCAAATCGATTTTCGAAATCTGGATAAGTACTGTTACAGTCGGTTTAGATTTCCTAGATCTATTTTCAAATGACCTTACACATATATATGGACATATAATTTATTCTGCTCATATAATTTTTCAGTCACCATTATTTATTATTTCTTGATAATGTCATATTTCCATGTGAACAAGGATGTAAGCAACTGATGACAGCATACGAAATAAAAATGTTTAGTATCGGTTACTATTATTAAGCACATATAGCTTGTTCTAGCTTCTGAACAGGTCAATTGATCTATTCTTGAGCCAGGTTTTGACCTTGTTAATTGTTCAATTATTAATCTTGACTGTTTTTATATGAGCGTATATGTGTACACTTCTTATCCTATTCATCACATGTCTGTGGCTTATTTTTGTGTGGCTATAAATATTGATTAACGCTTGATTTTTAGTGACCCATCGGACTCACCACTTTTCGTGGCCCAGGATATGACTCCAGTTAGATCGTGCAAATGGTTGTTATCGAAATATACATCCTGGGTAACCTCGTACATGATCATCGACTTAATCCATGTTAGTTAATGACGGAATTAAATAAGTGAAATACGAGAATGGATTTTCCACTACATATATTTTGTACACTCATTGATCTGGACAGGAAATCAGAGGGATGAAACGAGTAGAAGAGAACAAACCAAAATGACGCGCGGTGGAGAAGGGGTGTGAGCCAACTCCGTTTGATCAAGAGTTAATCAATATTTATAACCACACAAAAATAAACTACAGACATTTGATGAATAGGATAAGAAATGTACACACACATACGCTAACATAAGAGCAGTCAAGGTTGATAAGTGAATACTTAACACGGTCAAAACGTAACTCAAAAGGAATGGATAATTTGACCTATCCAGAAGTTAGAATAAGTTATGTGGGCTTAACATAGTAACCGACACTACAAATGGAACCATATTATTATTCAAAATCAACCAAAGTTCCTGATTTATTCTAACATTTTTTCCTGTGTATAAACCAATAACTTGATACCAAAATGATTTTTTTTTGAAATGGCTCCCATAGTGTTCTAACGTTTTACGAATATCTTTATTGAGTAAAGTAATGGAGAAAATAGGTGAAGGAATAGATAAATTGATAAATTAGTTTAAGTGTGTTATCACAACCATCATTTTTCAATCTCTTATCTTTAATACCTTGATTATACAATCTATCTAGACCAAAATTTTCTCTAAAATGTATAAAAATATAACTCCGCTTGTATCCCCCTCCGGGGGCTACTATCGATCTCAAGCCCGGATAAAGCAGGAGGGTTGGGCATGGGGTTAGCAACCACATCCCGTAGAAAACTAAGTCCCTATAAAATGTATGAAAATATAAGTATCTCACTAGATGACGATGTATTTCGAGCTTACTGTTTATATGAATTAGCTTCAGAGATTCTACAAATGCTAAATATATCTTGTGTATTATATCGATTGATATCGGAAATAGGGAATTAATTTATCTAATTTTAGAAACAATTACATTTTCCAAATCAAATGGAAGTACTGTAGTAAACAAGAACACTAGTGGGGACAATGGAATGTATTCAGGCAGAAAATTACAATATAGCTCACTAAAATCTGACAACCATACAGTAGACAGTTAATTCGCCAACTATTATTCAATTGTCTCAATCTTGAACGTTCCTTCTACAAATATCAGTCCACCGTCTAAGATTATTAATGTTCATGCATTCTCATACCAACTACGTTTCATTTCCGTTCATTCGTTATCGATCTTCTACTAAAATACATCCAATGCCTGACCATCACCATGTACTACTTATGTGGACATAAGTCACACACATCACAACATTACTTTCAGTCAACATTCTTTTTTCACTATTATAAAATGACTATAAACCCTATGATTTTGTTATATCCCGTGGATATTTATGAATGGTAACTTTGAGGACTATTTATGGACCAATATGATATGTCTATTTCCTATTGTATAGTTGTTAAGTAACTAAACTATTCATATTCGTGTTCCTCTTACTATAAGCTTTATTTTGATCTATAGACTATTATTATACGATTTACCATTGTTGAGTAATCCTTAGTTCATTATTTACTGTTCTTCCTATTTACAGCCACATTTGGCTAAATCTTGTACAAATGTTGTTTTCTATTTTATTGGTACGATGTGGTCACTTTGATTGGTATATAAACACAGTATGTTTGAGAATAATGATTCATATTGCCGAGGCTGTTATTGATGTTGTGGGCTTAACTGACTGGTCTAGGCAGAAAGCAGCACGAAGTAGTGCTCAAGACTGTTCGTACGGCTTTTGTGTATCATTGTGCGATCAATAAATTCACTATTCTGTAATAGGCAAGCAAACGACCGAGTAGTACTCAAGACTGTTCATACGGCTTTTGTGTATCATTGTGCGATCAATAAATTCACTATTCTGTAATAGGCAAGCAAACGACCGAGTAGTACTCAAGACTGTTCATACGGCTTTTGTGTATCATTGTGCGATCAATAAATTCACTATTCTCTAATAGGCAACCAAACGATATAACAGATTTATTGTTTGTCATGTGAATAGTAATCATAATAACTTAAATATGAAACCAAATTTATTATGACCAAAATAAGTTTAACATATTGAGAGAAATAAATCACATAATTCACTTCTTAAATCGTGAAAATCTCAACAAGTTCACTCCGTTTGTTACCATACCATAGTAATCAATGATTTGTATCAGTTGACTAAAGACAGTATTTGGATAGATCAGTCATTGAACCTTTTGCAATCAATCAACAAACTAATTCGATCATAAAATCTATTGTCAGATAATAACAAATTTGATATATTGATGATTAGAGTCTTGACAACTATCTCTAAAGATTTAACATTGTCTATACAACACTATAACATTGTCTATACAACACTATAACATTGAATCATTCAAATTATATGAGTACATAGTGTAAATTTGAATCGCTTAAACGATTATACACCTATCAACTTGATTAACAGAATACTTACTTCTAATAATGTACTCTAATATTTAGAATCAGAAGAGGTTTTTGTGGAGATTTCAGTATTTTTCATAGCTGAAATCATGAGTCAATCGAAGTTATTTTAAATGTATCATGGTTTTAAAAGTTATAAATTGAATTGCCATACATTATCAGGTTGAAAACCCTATTCAAACTGTAAGGTTAGCTGTTTTCCAATTGTACAAATACCATCATGAAATTTTTCTTGTATTGGATTTATTTTAACTGTATACGTTAACCATATGTATTCATGTACTTTTTATCGTAGGGCGAACTACTATTAAATGTATTCGGAACACCTATATAGTTCAGAGTATTTTCATTTTTTTTCTGACGTTTGAAGATACTAGGGTCAATTTTATTGGATTCATGCATCAGAAATATTAGACGAAGTGAAAGTAGTGCTATAGGAGTAAAACTGATCAAAAATTTCTACGAATGAAGACGAATAGCAGCTAACTACTGTTAAAAAGCCTTATATATATTTGTCGTATTTGAAATCATGAGTCATTTGAAGCTAGACCACCATGGAAAACCTGGTAACACTAGACGGCCGTTTCGTCCTATTATGGGTCTCTTCAGCAGTGCGCACCCACGATCCCGCCTGGAGAGCGGGACTCGAACCTAGAACCTACCAGTCTCGCGCCAGAGCACTTAACCTACTTTTTTTACTGTAACTAAACATACTGTTATATCAATCGCTTGCCTATTAAAGAACAGTGAATTTATTGATCTCCCAATAATACACAAAAGCCATATGAGCATTCTTGAGCACTACTCAGTCCCGCTTTTTTCGTAGCCCAGCCAGTTAAGTCCAGAATACCAATAACAGCCTCTGCAATATGAATCATTATTCTCAAACATATTGGGTTTATATACCAAACAAACTGACCATATCGTAGCAATTGTACAAGATTTGGCTAAATGTCACTGTGAATAGGGGGAACAGTAATTAATGGACTAGGGATTACTCAAGAATGGTAGATCGTATAATAATAGTCTATAGATCAAAATAAAGCTTATAATAAGAGGGATACGAATATGAATAGTTAAGTTACTTATCAATTACACAATAGGAAATATGCATATCACAATAGTCCATGAATAGTTCTTAAAGTTACCATTCTAAATTCTCCACGGGACATAACTCATACAATAATAGTAATATTAATAGTAATGATAACAAAATTTGATTCTACTTTTCTTTACTTTCATAGATTCATTAGAGAAGCTCTCCAATCGACCTCAAACAATTGATGAATTAATTACAGCTAAATCACAATACAATGAATATAGTAAAACAATTCATAATTTAAATGATCAAATTCAATGTGCTGAAAGAAAAAATCAACTACTTTGTACAGTATCTGGTAATGGTGTTACAACCATAAATACGATAAAAACGAAATGGGAAAAATTCAATGTTATGATGGAAAGTTTTCAATTTATGATGAATGAACAATTAGAAGTACGTCTAATTCAATATGGTGTAATTTATCATTAATGTAAATAGTTTACGGTATTTTAACCAAATAGAATTTATAAATGAATATTTGACATTTCAATGACGTTAAATAGTAGCTAGATATAGAACCACCTATGCACCTTTCATTTGGATATGTCCGCAGCCGGAAAATAAAATTCCTTATGGATAAAGGTAATACTCTTTAAACAAGCTAGTGGTTATCTGGAATCAGTAACTCAGTGAATAGCTTATTAGTGTTTAAGATAAATGGTTTTGTGTTCGAGTCTTAGCGTAGGCATCAACACTGGAATGGAAATACATCTTGCTGACGAATTTCGGATGAAACGAAACAGACATCCTGGATTCCAGTACCATGGACTATATAATTGTATTAATGATTTATGATCAAATAGGAATATTCAGTCAGTCCCCCTCCTTAGGATATATATACGTAAATAAAGACTAATCTTTAAAACACACACACACACGCATTTGAGTATATTTTTTGCAAAATTTATGATTTTAAAGTAATGAATTAAAAGGGGGGTTTTGTGGAGATTTTAGTAATTTTGTATAGTTGAAATGATGAATCAATTGAAGCTAAACCACCATGGAAAATCTGGAAGCACTGGACGGCCGTTTCGTCTTAATGTGGGACTCTCAGCAGTGAGCATCCACGAACCCGTCTAGCGAGTGAGCGCTTAACCACTAGACCACTGAGGTGGCCGGTATCTAACGGTGTTAGTGTCTAACTTCAACCAATCCACAAAATTGAGCGACCGTCCGCTATTGTCTTCAATGAGTTGATATCTCCCAAGAGACCTGGTTGTGCTCCACTGGTTACTGCTTCTCACTAGAACTCCAGTAATTACCTCATGGAGCCAGTGTATGCGCATTGTTGAGGAGTCCCACAATAGTACGAGTTTACCGTCCAGTGCTTCCAGGTTTTCCATGGTGGTCTAGCTTCAATTGACTGATGATTTCAACTATATACTGAATTAGAATTTCTTAGTATACATTCATCCTAAAACTTGTCATCACTAACTTGACTGTTTATTTATAAAACTTTTACCATCTCGTATACCGTTCTAATTGATTACCAAACAAGTGTACCATTGAAAATAAACTTTCATTCGTCAAGATGAACGATTTGTTTATCAGAAAACATATTTCAAACAAACAAGAAGAAAATAGTATTTATGATTATCTCAATGAATTAATGGACAATTCTTTTCAAACGACTGTCAGTCAGATGGGACACCACAAACTAATTCAAAATGCCACCATTTTCAGATCATCATTACGTAGATGGTAATTAGAAATAAGAAAACTGATGAAACCGACCATATAGTTTTGTGCCTAAAATGAAGCATTGTTTACTTAAGTCAATCGATTTTAATCCATGTTTAGGAATTCTTGTAATCACTCGGCTACTATCCTTCTTGAATTTATGCGATCAATTTAAAACCATGATGGTTTTAAGAAACGACAGTAAATTTAAGTCTTTCTGATTATTGAAATCCTTTTTAATGGATATAAGGCATCAACATTTTGTTTGACGTCTAGCAATTGAAAAGCTTCTGAACTGTTCGATGTATATTGGTCTTTTAGTCACATTTTCCACCGATAGGTTTGGTAATATAAATTAGTATCCTCTATGTAAATTCCTAAATACAATTGAAGATAAAACGAAGTAGGAATATGTTAACATTTATTTTATGATGGTCAAGTATTAGACCCAACTGTAAGATGTTGATTAATTAAAAAGTGAGTGCCATGTTTGGGCAAAGCTTATTCAGTCTATTATGACATTTAATCCATCCAGCTCAGAGAACGAAACTCCATGGTTCTCAGTTAGTCATTTGTGTATAAAAACACGTTATTTCGCTAAACAGTTAACTCATTCTTTAGGCTAGTGGTCTTGTTTTTGATCTTAATTCATTTTATGGTTTTGATCAATAATGGGTTCTCGAGAACAGTCAAAACTTGACCATATCGTATCATTACATTGATGTATCAATCAGCATTATATTCATTTATTTCAAACTATAACCTATCTGTTAATTATGAAATTAACCTTTGTTACTACTGAAGTGTATCAACTAGTAGTCTGTCTTATGTAGATAAATAATTTTTCATTTTATTTGGTTAAAATTATTAAACAAATAAAGAACTGTATAATATTGATGGCGAATATTTTCAGCTCAAGTGGATTCATTCGGTAATATTTTGTTTTTTGAGATAAGCAATTTAAATGCATAATTTTCATTGTCGTTTCGGATAACATTATCAGCGCCAACTGGGAATATAAGTTTGTTTTTCAGTTATTCCATAAGCGTGGTGTCAGTTCTTTCTCATATCCAATAGTATGCGAACCGAAAAATAAATCAAAAAAAGGAGACGAATGAAATATTATCATTCATTTAAGTATAAATGAACATGGATTCATAGTTAGGTGACACAACATGCTATCACTGATATAAATATACGGGAACAACTACAAACATGGAATCGGTGAGAAAATCTCTAAAAACATCAGAAAATTCCTACAGCCGAGACTTTCAAATCAACTATCAGTTAGTAAACACATCGGCATACATTCAAAGTATCAACACGTACAAAAGGGATCATTCAGTTTCAATGTCAGAGAGCAACCGTAAATACATCTAATGTAATGTAAGAGCGAATGAGGACAACAAGATTTACACACTATCAATCACAAAATGAAGACATCATGATTAACTAACCTAATATTTACAAAATACCTACAAAACTTCAGGCCGGATACTATCAGCAACAGCGTTTCATGAAAGAGGACAAACCAGGTTCCAGCTAAAGAGGAAATTAGGAAAACACGTTGGAAGTGGATTGGACACACATTAAAGAAATCGCCAATGTGTATCACGAGGCAAGCTCTGACTTGGAATCCTGAAGGGAAGTGGAAAAGAGGAAGGTCAAAGAACACATTATGCCCGGAAATAGAAGCAGACATGAAAAAGATGAATGTTAACTGGAAAGAACTGGAAAGGATTGCCCAGGACAGAGTTGAATGAAGAATGCTGGTGGGCGGCCTATGCTCCTCCACGAGGGGTAACGGGCGTAAGTAAGTAAGTACAAAAGATCACTTCCATATAAAGTAGGGTCTGATAATACTGTTCAGAATAATGATTTTTCTATTTTTCATTATACTACTATCTTTATTTTAGATTTTAAAATCAAGTATCATCAATGAAACAAAGGTGTATTTTAATAATTTAGAACGTTTTAAAAGTCGTTGGAATCAACTTAAACCAGGCAAAAATATATTAGATTCTAATAATAATGAATCATGTCTATCTGCTGTAACAATAATTAAAGAATATGAAACTGAATTCCATGAATTGGAATTGATGCATCAAAAATTAATGTAAATGAAAAATAACTTTTAAAGTTTAATTTGTAATGATTTTAAAATATTTTATTGGGTTTCGATTAGCTTTAGTTAGCATCCTGTGAGGATTTTCTTGGTATAAAAGTCATGTACATCTGAATGACGAGTCTTAAGTGAGACGGAAGGCACTTTATGGACTATACTGCTTACTTACTTACACCTGTTACCCCTCGTAAAGGAGCATAGGCCGCCCACCAGCATTCTTCATTCAACTCTGTCCTGGGCAATCCTTTCCAGTTCTTTCCAGTTAACATTTATCCTTTTCATATCTGCTTCTATTTCCCGGCATAATGTGTTCTTTGACCTTCCTCTTTTCCACTTCCCTTCAGGATTCCAAGTCAGAGCTTGCCTCGTGATACACATTGGCGATTTCTTTAATGTGTGTCCAATCCACTTCCAACGTGTTTTCCTAATTTCCTCTTTAGCTGGAACCTGGTTTGTCCTCTTTCATGAAACGCTGTTGCTGATAGTATCCGGCCAGTGAATGTTGAGTATTTTGCGTAGACAATTGTTTATAAATACTTGTACCCTCTTGACGATGGATGTAGTAGCTCTCTACGTTTCAGCTCTGTACAGTACTATACTGCTTGCTATAGCCTATTTCTTTCATAGTAATTTCTTTAGTGTTTAACGTCGTCTTTTCAGCATATTTAAAATGTAGCTAGGTGTGGAATCTAGGATGCTAATTTTGTCTTGTTTACAGCCCACCAGCTGAATGCATCTGTATTCACGTATTAATGTCTACACTCGGACTTCTGATTTCAACGAAAATTTACTCCACACTAAGCTACTGAACCACTATAGCCACCAACTTCGTCAGCGGGTATGATATCTATCCTAATTTATAAAGATCCGTATTTTCCTATTTACAATATCCAAGACTGATTGACATTGTTCACTGTTGGTATATGTTCTTCTTTAACAGAAATCTCTTTTTATTAGTTACACTTACTAGTTTTTTTTTTAAAATTTTACGAATAATGGCCAACAGTGGAATTTAGGGCTCACATTACATCCTATTTGACATTCGTTTGTTGGATATGTACCTGTAATGAGAAAAGGGGCTAATCAAATTCAGTCATCATAAAAAGTAGGGAAACAGAAATTTTTACAAATGATAATATACTTGGACTAATATTTTTGAAAATAAGATATTTTGTACAATTAAATAAAATGAATTCAATTAAAGTATAGCTGTTGTTTGATAATACTCAACAACATTTGATTCGAACACATCATGAGAGCATGTTTTTTCATGGCAGTGGATAAAAAGATTCAATGTTAACACCTATGACAATGATATTGAATGAGATGAATACGAATTCTACGAGGATAACTGCCAGCTACGATGAAATATACACACAGATCTCTATAATAACTATCAGTAACTAACTGGAACTAAAAATAATGGTCTAAAGGTAACTGGTTTACCATGAGATTGTGAGAGGACACTATTGGGTGACACTAAAATAAGATTTCGCAACTGAGATATTTTCATGATGAAGATTAACCTTCAAAATTATTTATGTACATATTTGGGTAGACATACACTTGAGAGAATGAAAAACAGGTAGATTTAATTGTTCATACATTAGTTGAGCGCTCTTTATGAAACCTAAAGGACCTGAACTAAATCCCCCTATGGGATTAAAGATGAATACTTATGTAGAGTTTCATACTAGTGTAGTGAACAAGGGCACGAGTGGAGACAACCGAATGTATTCAAGTACAAAATTACAGAGTATCTCAGTAAAATATGAGAACCATATCGTAAATAATTAATTTGCAAACTATCAATCAATTGTCTCAATCTTGACCATTCGTTCTGTAAATATCCATCCATCGTCTCCGATTAATTATTGTTCATGCATTTTCATACCAATTGCATTTCCTTCCTGTTATTTCCTTATCGATCTTCTACTGAAATACAACCAATGCCTGACCATCATTATATACTACTTATAAGGATATAAGTAACCCACACCACACTAGAATGTAATAACCATCCAATACTTCCTGGTTTTCAATGGTCGTCTTGCTAAAATTGTTCATGGAACTTTTTTTAAATTCACTAAAGATTTTACTGTAATCCATAATATTCTTTTGACTATCTTCCTTATTATATATGTTCATTCTATATTGTTTAATGAATTGTTTCACCCTATTTTCGATATAGACGTGAATATGAGTATCTCGATATGCCCAAACCAGATTTCTCATTAGTTAATGAATTAGCTAATGATTTAAATGATTGTTCACTTATGTGGTTAGAATATGATAATTTTTCTAAAGAACTTCAAAACTATGCAAAGGAAGATTGGATATCATTTAAGTGAGTTGTTTAAATATTGAATAAAACTTAATATCAGAAGGTGTTTAGTGGAGATTTTAGTAATTCTATAGAGTTGAGATCATGAGTCAATTGAAGCTAGACCACCATGGTTGAAGTTAGATATTAACACTGTCGTATACCGCCCAGCGGTCTATCGGTTAAGTGGTCAGGCGCGGGACTGGTAGGTCCCGGGTTCTAATCTCGCAAGGTGGGGTCGTAGATGCACAATGCTGAGGAGTTTCGCAATAGAACGAAACGGCCTTCCAGTGCTTTCAGGTTTTACATGGTGGTCTAGATTCAACTGACTCATGATCTCAACTATATAAAACTTAATAGTTCATTTGGTGTTGGGTGTTTAAATCTTCCTATTGATGTTTAAGATTACAATTGATCCATCTCATATTATGGTACTTTATAGTTACGAGGAGGATAAATACATCTAATATAAAAATCAGTTCCGTTTACTAGTAACCGGGAGTAAGTAACATCAAAGATGATACATTTCTTAAATAACTCCAACAATCACCTCGTGACAGTATAAATGGGTAAAAGAACTTACGAAGTATTATAATGGATTATGTTGAGCATTTATAGAACATGGATAAAATTGTTGTTTGAGTAATCAGGTGAAATTTTTTACGGGTCAGAATCTAATAGTATGATAACTGATCATTTCTAGATGTAATGAAAATTAGAAAAAAGGTTTAATATTATGTATTTTCTGTAAATAGAGAACACTTGTTTTGTAAAATGTATTTTCCTTTATGAAATTCATAAACAAATTATTTCGATCATTAATGAATTGAATTTGTTTATTTTGTAACTGAAAGGAGTGTAAGTTTAAGAACAGTGAACTATTTTCATAGTTGAAAGCGTTAGTCAATTGGAGCTAGATCACCATGGAAAACCTGGAGGCACTGAACGGTCGTCTAGTCCTATTGTGGGACTCCTCAGAAGTGCGCATCCACGATCTCGCCTAACGAGATTCCCACCCAGGAACTAACAGTCTCGCGCCAGAGCACTTAACCAATAGACCACTAAGCCGGCACCCGATGGTGTTAATGTCTAACTTCAACCAATCCACGAAGTTGAGCAACCGTCCACCAATTGTTTTCGGTGAGTTCCTATCTCACAACAGGCGTGGTTAAACTCCACTGGTTACTGCTTCTCACTAGAACTCCAGGAAGTACCTCTCGAAGTCAGTCACCAGTGAGCATATGATTATTATTATTATCAGAAGGGGTTTTGTGGAGATTTCAGTATTTTTGTAGTTGAAAGCATGAGTAAATTGAAGCTAGACCATCAAGGAAAACCTGGAAGCACTGGATGGCCGTTTCGTCCTATTGTGGGACTCCCTGGTGGTCTAACTTCAATTGACACATGCTTTCAACTATGAAAATACTGAAATCTCCACAAAAATCCTTCTGATAATGGAGAAGTATTCTTCAAATATTATAACTTATACACTTGATGACGGTAATAACAAATTATCTTAATCATTTATCGTCAGAAACATACTTCAATCAAGCTTAAATTAATATCGGTAAAGAAGTGATTTAATAAGTTTAGACGGTTGTTGTCAATGTTAACCATGTATATGTGTGTATATTATCTCAAACTTTCGTTAACTATGTAGGTGATCACCGGATTTTAGTAATGTTTTATCAGGACGAAGAATAAGTGAATAGTAAGAGCTAGTATCTAATTGTGGACTTATTTTTATTGTATAACCATTAAGTAACTATATTATATGTGCATTCATATTCCTTTTATTATGGGCTTTTATTTGACCAATCGACTATTCCTATACGATTTACTATTCTTAAAATATTCCTAATTTGTTAGTAATAGTCTCACACAATCACAGCCACTTTTTTCATCAAAGGAACTAATAATAGCTTTATTGCTAAGAATTTGAATATTCATCATAAAGATAGATTAAGAAATTATAATTGCTAAAGGATGGCTTATCGTGATAAGATAAAATGTTGAAATCGAAATGAAATGTAATCAGGAAGATCATAGAAACAGAAATAAACCGGTTGGGGGTGGAGGGTCTACGTGGGTCTACGCTTCTTTTCAGCCAAGCCGGGTAATATTATAGAATTCGTTTGAATAAAGTACACATCAAATGATCTATATACCTGGCTCCACGTGAGTAGGTTAATAACTTCCATTCAACAATAAATTCCACACTTGAAATTGAAAGCAAACAGATTATTCACTTTCTTGATGTCGAAATGACAAGAAGACACGATGGAAATCTAGGAAGATCCATCTACGAGAAACTCTTATGGAATGGCCGACTGCTAAGTTTCCACAGTTTGGTCCCCATTAGTCAAAAGCGAACTTCAATCATATCACTCGCTGAGCACATATGAAGAACTTGTAGTCCCGAGGTCATAGATAACGAACTGATTCTCTTAAAGAAAATACTTGTCGAAAAAGAGTATCCCTCGACATTAATTGACAATCATATAAAACCTAAACAGCCTAAAGCAAAAAAACCTCGGTTGCAAAGAAACCAATCTACATGAATATCGACTTTAAGGGTGATGAAGTTACAGACGTCTCAAAGGTGGAGAATTTTTGATTCTCTGAACCAATCTTTCTTATTTTCAATAATTCTGAAATTGATATCAGTGAGGAAGTTAAACAATATATCAAATATTCTTTTATATGTATAAAAGCAAGTTTATTTGTTCAATATTATCTTTCTAACTGCTGCGTCATTTTAGAATTTTCAATATGTTACTTAATACACAAGCTATATTCTAAATGTGTTCAGAATTAAAAAGAACCTATCGCACAGAAACTCAACTACTATTGTAGTGAACAGGAACACCAGTGGGGATGATCGAACGTATGTAAGCACAAATTACAGATTATCTCACCAAATTCTGTTAACCATGCAGTAAGCAGTTAACTTGCAAAATAACAATCAATTGTCTTAATCTTAACTGTTCCTTCTGCAAATATCAGTCCGTCTTCTCTGATTTCATTGTTTATACATTTTCATACTGATTGCGCTTCATCTCAGTTCTTTCCTTATCGATCTTCTGCCAAAATACACTCTATGCCTGACCATCACCATATACTACTTATGTGGATATAGGTAGACCACACCACAATCGTCCTCCCTTTAAAGTATCCGTTCATGCAGTGGTTCTGCTCACAATGCCACTTTCTTCTTCCACTGCAGTTTGTACCGTCGGAATGTCGAGTCTTCAGCGCGCTGACCTCCATAGCTCCGTCTACCTGCCGGGGCACTAACTTCCGACATCCACCCAGCACCTGGGACGTTCAACACCCGTACTCCACCGGCCTGCTGAGCCAACTAAATCCGATATATTCGCCCAGAAGCCGCACGTCCCACTGCTCCTCTCTGTCAACAGCTCATGCTACAGCCGATGCCGCCCCGCCAGAACACTCCACTGGACGTTATCTCTCCGCACCAGACTGCCCCAACTACTACCTCAACCCCAGACCCGCAGCGGCGTCTGCAGCGACACCAAATGCAGTGAACAAGAACACGAGTGGAGTATCAATATCATTTTAATTATACATATTTTTTCAGATTGAATTATTCACATTTGTGTTCAATATGTGTTTTGTTTTTTCTTGTTATAATATTATTTAGTGGATAATTTGTTTTCTTATTTATTTCTTTATCAAGATCGCGTTATTATGTATTTGAAGAATTTCTAACAGAATGGTCTAATAAACTTCGTTCTACACAACCAACTCCAATGACTGTTCGATTACAAAAAGAAATTGATGGATATATGGTAAAATTTACTAGAATTGATATTAAACCTATATTTGATTATTTAATGCTTACTGCAAATATTAAAATCTATGGGTTTTCCCTATTATATTCTGAAAAAAAAATTATAAAATAGACATCAGTAAATCGTTACGATTACGTTGATATAAAAGCAGTGACAAAATTTAGGAGAGAGAATGTGGCATAACATTTTAAAAGATATGCTATGCCCTGGTACGGCAGAGGGTGAAAAAAGTTCGCTTTCGCTCTCGAAATGCTCTCACATGGCCACGAGCATATAGCATCTGTCAGGGAAGTCCTACTCACTACCTACTAGCGGCAGGGGTGTTTGTTACGAATTTGAGAGGAGGAAAAGCGAATGTCCGGCGCTTCAACCGGGTTGGTGGACACAGAGGGTCTACCAAGTGGGGTTGTAAAATACTGAATCAAAACCAATCGTGCACATGGGCTCTAGGATCCTGAAAGAATAAATGGCGTGTGAACCAATTATTAGTCACCAGCTACCATGTGATTGCATCTCCTGACGTTACTCTACTGCTTTGTGGATCCGACCTATAGGTCGAAGGCTCCGGATGTGGCCCCCTTAGAAAACCATCTGCTTTAGTCTGGGCACCCGAGCAGTGTCACAGCCCGCACACAAATCAAGTGACTTGTGTGGCGCATATGTATTCGGTGCGGCTTCGTGCCGATGTTTATGTGTTCAAATAAATAAATAAATATTTTGACTGACATTCCGTGGTTGAGCTTTCCAATAATGCAATGCAAAATGTGTAAGTCAATGTAGAATCATTAGTGTGAGGGTTTGTGGATATTGTAGAATTTTATTATGATTACAAACAAAACTAGGATATATAAACTATTAGATGCCTTATTTATGCTATAAAAATGAAGCTTTCGCTGTGAGATGTCCCACGTTCGGTTTTCATAGGAGTCATGGGTACAAAGAACTGACTAGCCCCATACTAGGACGAAAGAACCATTAAGTTTATCTTGGTTCTCAATAGTTTTTTATGTTGATCTTAATGAAATTTATAATTATTGGTCGTCATTATTGAATATAGTAATTCTTGATGAAATATACTCCGTAGTCGTCATAAATCAAGTAAACATAGAGTTGTCATTAATTTATGATAAACATAGTCAGATACGCCAAGAAAGTTTCATAGCTGTAATGATATATTATTTATAGAAGGATAAATATTACATCGTTTCCGTGGAAGGTTTATTAAACAGTTTATTAACTAGAGTTCATCTCAGTATTTTACGCAATTTCGTGTTTAGTATTAAACAGTAGTTTTTGGTAGTAATCAGAGTTGTAGTAAGACAAGTGATTTTGTAATACGTTTAATTCCTGGAAGGTAAACGAGTCTAGAGAAATGATATAAACATGAATAATCTTGTTCATCAACGATATTTCATCATACTTATATATAAACGTGGTTTTTAGAAACTGAAAAATAAACCGGAGAATAGGCCATCATTTTCAGGATAGAAAGTTGGAATAGTCAGATTGCCAAGTTAGGAAATAAACGTTTTAGTGTTGAACGATTACAGCTCAGTTAACATCTAGAACTAGAAAAGTTTAGCACAATGTGGAGAATAATGAGCGAAATGTGATCCTGATAAGTTCTCCTTATGTATGATCTTAATTTTTACTTAACAAATGGATTTGTACAGAAAATATTTTTAAATAATCTGATAGGCTTTGTACATCACTACAAATTAAGAAATGGATAACTTAATTATTATGTTTTTTTAATCATTATAATTCGCTTTATTCATTATTATATTTTCGGTACAATAGAGAATTCTCATCCCAAAGTATTTCAACAAGTTTCTGTTTCTTACTTCTTGGTCGATCTTAAAGATAAATATTGAGTGACCGCCAGTTAAAAGTTAACAGTCCAGTCAATCGACATCTAAATAATGTACATTCTTATCGCTGTGTATTGCCAGCAACCACGATATCTCTGATTAGGCCTTTTGTAACCTTTACAGCAAAAAGTTGTACACTTTTCAGAAACGCACCTGAAAAGGTTTTGCGATTAATAGCCAGAATGATGTATTAAAACAAACAGAATTAGATAAGTTGTTGAAATATCTAGATGGCAGGAAAAGGTAGCCCAGAACTTTAAGCAGGCCGCCAGTTTGTGATTAACCATGAGTAACATAAGGGATATATATTACTATAGAATGTGATTTTCATAATTATTTGACATTAGTTGGTTAGCTACTGAATGTTGTAGAGCATCAACCATGATTCAAGACTCATCTGCATGGTATATACTTAAGACCCTCATCAAGGTCTAACTCAGTATCACTATGTTTTCATTATTTCTTAATGGTAGTTAATTTGAAATTAGACAAGAATCATCACAGGACTGAATACTTATATACTACTCTTTTTCAAAAAAGGTAGTAATCATTTAAACGTGAAGATTATCAAATAATGAATTCAGCTTGTGAAGCGACACTGAGACTTCCCAAGATTTTTCCTCTCGGAAAGTGTCCTTTTTAGTGTAAAGTGTGCTTGAATCTTAATGTTTCTTCACTATGTTTCTCTCACTATAGGATCTTATACCTGTATTGAAATGGTTAAAAGGTGATTATTTAACTAGAGAACACTGGTATGAATTATTTCGTTTAATTGGATTATCAAAAGAAATAAAATTAGAAAATTTATTATTTGGTGATTTTTTTCCAATTATACCTAATATAATTAATCAATCTGATATGTTGAAATCTTTATCACAACGTGCACAAGCTGAAATTGTTGTTAGAGAAGCTTTACAAGAATTAGATTTATGGGGTTCTGGTACTACATTCACATTAACTGAATATATTGATAGTTCTGGACAAATTGTGTATTTGGTAAAAGATTGGAAAGAAATTATTAGTCAGGTCAGTTTTGAAGAGCATACATACTTTAATGTTTATTGTACATTGTTTTATCCCGAAGAGAATTGTGAATGGTAACTCTAATAACTATTTATGGACCAATATGATATGTATATTTCCTATTGTATAATTGTTAAGTAACTAAACTATTCATATTCGTGTTCCTCTTATCATAAACTTTATTTGGACCTATGAACTATAACTATACAATTTATCTTTCCTGAGTTATCCTCAGTCTATTGATTACTGTTCCTTCTACTCACAGCCACATTTGGCCAAATCTTGTACAAATATTATTTTCCATTTAATTGGTACGATGTGGTCAGTTTGTTTGGTACATAAACCCAGTATGTTTGAGAATAATTATTCATATTGCAGACGCTGTTTTTGGTGTTGTGGACTTAACTGGCTTGGCTAGGCAGAAAGCAGGATTGAGTAGTGCTCAAGACTGCTCATACGGTTTTTGTATATCATTGGTCCGATCGATAAAATCCCTGCTCTCTTATTGGCGGTTATCTCACTTCATATATTAAAGGGGCACTCACGCACAACGCACAAACATGTTATAACATACATCTAATCTAGTATGTAACTGTATGTGATAGTGATATGTAACATTCATCAACAGAATTCAGGTTTCCTCTTTTTACTGTTTAATATAGTTTAATGTAGTTCAACAATAAATAACATATTTTTCTTAGTGTGTCTTGAACTATACAATTTGTGTGAAAGTTATATGATACTCTCCGGCTACATATATGGAAGTACTGCTTTCATCTTCCATTATTAAAAACTTTTATGCGTATAATGCATTGAATCATTGAATCGGGAAGTACAGAAAGTCGGATTTAACATTGAATGATCAATATCACACTTTGTCTAGTCCTTAATGCTGTTCAATCAGTGATGTAAATTCAAAAGAAACAATATCTGATTATTATCTTTACTCTGATAAGAAAATATCAGATTCCTTTCTGTTTGATTCGTAATTATGGTGTAATAATCTTAATGGCAGATGTAAAGCCAATGGAAATCTCATAACGCCAGCTTTTTTTAAGATTGTGAGATCTATATTACAATTATTGTTAATATTAATATCTTGATATTAAACTTATCTTGTTCACTTGCTCTTCATATCAAGGTTGGAGATAATTTGGCTTTATTGGCTTCATTACAAGATTCTCCATATATTGACAATTTTTTGGATAGATCCAATGCTTGGGTACAACGTTTAACTGATTTAGATTATTGTTTGACTAGATTTCAATTGGTACAACGTAAATGGGTTTATTTAGAACCAATTATGAGCCGTGGTGCTTTACCAAAAGAAACTGCAAGATATGCACAAATCGATGAAGAATTTCGTAAACTAATTGGTTATTTAAAAGTAGATAATCGTGTGATTAGTTTAGTTAGTGGTATGAAAGGTAAAGCTTTGAAGGATACATTAAATAATTTACAGGTATGTTACAATCCTTTGTTAAATCCATCAATCTTTCTGATTTGTTTAGTTTTGGATTTCCTATCAAAAACACAGTATATTATGATAATGAACTTTCTGAATTTAAGAACTTGTTTTCAGTTAAGTATAATAGTATTGGAGAATAACATCTAAGCGTTAGCTAGAATCCATAAATTACTCTGAATTTTTAAGGAAACGTATTAGAGTTAGATACAGAAACGACATAGAATCTCGCTCAACGTGTATTAGTCAATATTGTCTGTCATTTTTTACTGGTTGCATAATGAGCGAAAATTAGGAGGGTGGGAAAAGAATTTATGGAATTGTTGATATTATTTAAGAGCTATACCAAACTGTTTAACAAGACTAGAGATGTAATATTTGAAAGCATACTATGATCCTAATTCAAGTTAAAATGAAAAAATGAGGGTATCTGAACTAATGAAATTAATTTTTGATTTATATCAATCGTCTAAATACTAAAAACAATAAAGGTTGGTTGCATAACATATGAAGTAAAAACGAATGAAGTGTATCTTGATAAGAGCATGGAAACACAAATCAGTTTGAGATAAATGTACAATATAATAGACAAGAGTTGATTCATGAGATTGTTGATAATGACCATAGTCGGAAAAATCGTTGAATAAGTTTTCTTTATATATGTAGTATATGATGTTTTGTATGGGTGATAAAAGCTTCAACAATCCAAAAAATATAAAAAGACTTATTTATTTAATATCGGTAGCGGTTTTGTGAATATTATAGTAATTTTAATAGTTGAAATCATGATTCAATTGAAGCTAGACCACCAGGGAAAACCTGGAAGCACGAGACAGCCGTTACATCCTATTGTGGGACTTGGGCGCGAGACTGATAGGTCCTGGGTTTCGAATCTCGCGAGGCGGGATCGTGGACATGAACTGTTGAGGAGTCCCACAATAGGACAAAACAGCCGTCCATTGTTTCCAGGTTTTCCATGGTGCTCCAGCTTCAATTGACTCAACTATAGAAATTACTTACTTATTTATAGCAAAGGTCTATTTCCACTAATCAAGCTTATTATTTCAGTTTTCCAAATGATGATTATTATCATATTTCTCTCATATGGTGTTCTGTCAATCGAATTAATTATTCCAAATAATAATTATATCGGTATTTTGGCCAACCTTAACACTCCTAACATTTTGTATCTTAAAACAAATAAAAAAGGTAAATACAACTTCAACGTCAGCTTGTTATAGACAACACACGAATAAACTGCTATTCGATAGTGTCCCCCAAAATGTCTGAAATAAATAAAATCCCATGGTAGCTGTAAATAATTCCCCAAAATCAATAGCTCCGTAAGTGATCAACATTAGATGCTGACCACATTAGTTTTAGTAGACTCATTTAGCTGAAGGCGCTCGGTCATGCATCCTTACCAGATAATGTTACAGAACGGCGTGGGAAACATCTCCTACGATCATTAGCCAGATTAGATCAGTCACTTCTCGATATATTAATAACCCATCCAATATATCTTCCAACCTCCTCGCTTCTGACTCCTGATTTTAACTAGCTGGGCGCGATTCGATTATAGAAAGTGTTACTAGTAAAGAGTTGTCAAACTACAATACTGGTGGTATCTTCACGATATTTATTTCATTCCATATCAAAAACATAATCACTTCCTTTCTTTAACATATTTCATAAACTTGTTTTTTTTCAAGGAACAATTAGCTAAATGTCAACGTGCATTAAATGAATATTTAGAAGAAAAACGTAATAGATTTCCACGTTTTTATTTTCTTGGTGATGATGATTTATTAGAAATATTAAGTCAATCAACTAATTCAAATATTATACAATCACATTTAAAGAAATTATTTCAAGGAATACATACCGTGCAATTCAAAGATCATCATCAACATCATCATCCAAATAATGAAGATTTAAAAATGGATCAAAATCAATTATCAACAACTATTATAGCGATTGGTTCATTTGAAGGTGAAATGATTCATTTAAATAATTCAATTCAATTAACCAATGAAATTGAATGTTGCCTTGAAAAATTAACCAATGAAATGAAAATGACATTAAATAAATTATTAATTCAATGTTTAAATGAATATTCAATAGAAAATCAATATAAAAATAAATTTAATTTAAATATATATCCTGAACAAATTTTAATACTATCAGAATTAATTAATTTTTGTAAAAATGTTGAAAATGCATTAAATTGTGGAGAATTAAATAAACTTAAAAAAGATTTACAGGTATGTTGTAGGTAATCGTTTGTTATTAGATGTCCTAGTACACAGTCACAAAATTAACATTGTAATCCAGGCACATTCAACTCATAAGTCTTACTCAGAAACCATCGTGAGTACTGGTTACTATGGCTAGTTAATTTTCAAAAATGTAATTAGAAACTCCATATTACTTACTTATGCCTGTTAGCCTCCGTGGAAGAACATAGACCATCGACCACGATTCTTTATCCAACTCTGTCCTAGAAAATCCTTTACTGATGTTTTCAGTTGCTATTCATTCTTTTCATGTCTGCTTCCGATTCTCGACACATTGTGTTTTTTGGCATCCCTCTTTTTCGCTTCCCTTTGTGATTCCAATTTAGGGTTTGTCTCGTGATGCAGTTTGATGATTTCCACAATTTATATCCTCTCCACTTCCAACGTCACTTCCTAATTTCCTCTTCATTTGGAAGCTGGTATGTTCCATCCCACAGTAGGCTGTTGCTGATGCTATCCGGCCAACGGACGTCGAGGTCTTTGTAATCCAGTCAACCACCAAAAGAAAGAGAAAGGAGGAGAGTAAGCAGCCTGTTCTTTATGCACGACTTTGCAGTGTAGTCCACCGTATGAATTCCGCATAATGGTGGCCATTTCCTCAGACACATGATAATGTCGAAGAAATTTTCACAAGGTTCTCTTATCCACACTATCAAGCCCCTCATAGTCGAAGAATCTGATCTATAATGACGAATGTCATTCAATTGATTGCCCAACTATGAACCGCATTGTTGTGACTTGGTCTGTGCATCACCTGTCCTTACGAAATCCTATCTACTGATCTCAAAGTTCAGTGTCTATTGAATCTTTCATCTAGTTCAGCAACACTCTGGGGAAAAGTTTCTCCTGGTACCGATAGTAGTGTGATTCTTCCGTATTGTTCACGTTTGCTAAGATCTCATTTCTTTGGTATCTTGATGAAGTATCCTTCTTTCCACTCCTTCAGCACTTATCCTTCCTCCTAAACCTTTTTGAATAGCACAAGGAGCATGTTTGAGGTGACTTCTATGTTTGAGTTCAGTGATTCAGACGGTATATTGTAAGGTCCTGATGCTTTACCACTGTTGGTCTGTCTGATGGCCGTCCTGATTTATTCGATCGTTGGTGGAGTGACATCTATGGGAAGGTCTGTAGATGCTGCTTCGATGTCCGGTGGGTTCAGTGAAGCTGGTCTATCCAGAAGTCCCTCAAAGTACTCTAACCATCTGTTTCTCTGCTCTTGAGTTTTAGTGATTATCTTGCCTTCATTGTCCTTGACTGATCTCGCTGGTTTACTATATTTTCCTGTTAGTTTCTTCATCGTGTCATATAGTTGTTTCATATCTCCTTCTCTTGCAGCTTTATCTGCTGTCTTCCACATATTTCTGCTCGTGGGCTTTAGTGTTCCTCTTCACTCGCTTGTTTGCTTCTGTGTATTCTTCTTGTTCCTTGACTCTCTGTGTTCTTGTTCATCTGCTGTTAATTGTTGTCTTCTTGTTCTTCCTTTTTTCCATCGTGTCTAAGGTTTCAATAGAGGTCCATTCCTATTGATGATGCTTCTTGAGGCCCAACACCTCCTGACATGTTGAAGTTTGTGCTTCTTTGATCCCTTTCCAATTGTCCTTCACAGTAGTTTCTTCTTTTTTGAGTAGATCTTGTAAGGTTTGGAACGTGTTGTAGAGAGTTATCTTAAATTGGTTGAGTTTGTTAGTATTTCTAAGGAAGGTTGTATTGAACCTTTGTAATGCTGATCCCCCAGTTGTCCAGTATTTCTTTAGCTTCAGTTTCATCTTGACCACAAACAGGTGGTGGTCTGGATCTATGTCAGCTCCTCTCCTGGTTCTCATGTCTCCCATTGACCTTCGGAAATTTTTAGTGATGCGAATATGATCGACTTGGTTCTGTTTAGTGTGATCCGATGAGACCCTTATAGCTTTGTGTATGCGTTTGTGTGAGAATATTGTGCCGTCTATAACCGATTTGTTGAATGCACATATATTTGCGAATCTCTCACCAGTTTTATTTCTCTGTCCCACTTCATGTCGTCCCATGATATCTTCATATTCGGCGTTGTTCATTCCGTTTTTGGCGTTTAGGTCTGCCATCAGGATGGTGAGGTCCTTTCTTGAGCACTTTGCTATGATTGATTGCAGACTCTCATATAACTGATCTTTATCGTCGTCGTCGCTATCATTGGTGTGTGTATAACACTGGGTAACATTCATTGTGATTTTCTCTCTCTGTTTCTTGAAGGATGTTTTGATGTTCCTGGGTCCTTAAGACTACCATCCTAAAAGCGCTTTGCGCGCTTCTTTGGACAGCATCAGAGCAATCCCCTGAGTATGTAGAGCATTTTCCTCTCCGTGACCAGAGTACATCAGAATCTTTCCCAAATCTATCTTTTTCTGTCCAGCTTGTGCTCAAAGGGTTTCACTGATTCCTAGAACTGTAACGTTGTTTCTCTTCATTTTCGTAGCTTTTTGATTGGTCCTCCAGGTCTTCCACGTTGTCCGGACATTCGGTGAACCTATATTGATTGTTGCGCTGGTTTTTAGAAGGGTCATTAGCCTGGTGACTTCCGAAGAATCTCGTCTTTCACCATGAGATTTCAAAATTCTTCCTCCAACTTCCGGGGCAGATTTTATATAGTTTAGTTTGTTTATTTCCGGTTATCGTTTTTTATCAAGCATTTTTTCTACTGTATGGGGTTGCCGACCCCCATATCCAACCCTTCTTTTTTATCCGGGCTTGGGACCAACAATAACCTTAGAAGTGCTATAGGCTATTTATTTTATACAGTTTTTCACTGACATAAAAGTATTTTTAAAAATCACACGATTCTAGATATCTGCATCCTCACAGTTATCGACCCAGCAGTAATCTAACCAATGTTATCACTTTAATGAAGGTGAAACTGTTCAAGTTACGTGTTTATGACGTAATCTGCAAACCATTTCAAATCATACATATTCATCAAATTTAAAACTTGGATTTATGACTATGATATGTCTGAAGCGTTACGAATTCACTAGTAGCGAACGGAACAAAGACACGTGACCAGAGACCGATAACTAGCTATACTGACGCGACCCAGTCCCAGCTAACTAGAGTGAGAAGTCCAAGTTGGAGCGGGGAAGTTATATTCCGTAGCAGCCAGAAGCACAGCAATCGAATAAGGGAAAAGTCAAGCGCATTTATACAGCAACAAATTGTCGTTGAGCATTATTAGTAAATAGCACACACAAAGAAAGAATGGACCAATAGCGTTTAAGATAGTTTACAAGTGGGAAATATGACGTGAAGGTAAAAGAGCGCTTTTGGCGCTAAATTCAAATTTTCAAAATAAAATTACAAGATTAAGCCATTTACCAAGTAAGTTCTGGGGATTTGATATCCCCAACACCTCCCCCTTTAATAACGCACATTCTTCGGGTCCACTTGCATTCTGACTGTCTTTCGCCGTTGGCATAGTGACCATCTTCGGGACCGTAGGTCGACCTTTTGTGTTTCTTCCTGCGTTGGGACTGTCGGCAGATTAAATGTATCCAATAGTACGTCCAGCGGATTCTTTACTCCAGTCAATGGGCGCTCTGGCGTTAACCGCTTGCGTAGTTGATTTTGATGTCTGGTCCACCTGCCTGCTCCCACCTCAACCTCGTACATGACTTCTCCTATCCTTCTAACCACACGTGCTTCGATCCAAGGATCACGATTTGCTCTGTAGTCCCTAGCGTATACTGGGCATCCAACGTTGTACGTGGGTAGCTTCCGGCACGTGGTTTATACTAGTGGTGGTGTGGTTTTCGGCAGCTTCAAGTTGTGGATGGTCCTCAACCGCCTTCCCATGAGGATCTCTGCGGGCAACTTCTGCTCCGGCAGCGTGTCGTTGGGGGCCGCTCTGTAGGCGAATAAAAAATTCTGCAGTGTTTCCATTGGCGTTCCCTCCCCTTTTGACTTAATCAGAGCCCTCTTGAATGTATCCACGAACCTTTCCGCTTACCCATTCGATTGTGGGTGATAAGGTGGGGCGCGAAGATGCCTGATGGTTAGGCGTTTGCAGAACTCTTGGAACTGCGCCGAGGTGAACTGCGAACCGTTGTCGGATACAATCACTTCCGGTAATCCGTTTCGTGCGAACAACTCAGTCAAGTGTTTCAGAGTCTGGGTGATCGTTGGTGGAGTGATGGGAACAATCTCCGGCCATTTTGAGAAGGCGTCGACCACGACAAGATAAGTGGTCCCGTTGACTGGACCGGCAAAGTCGACATGTATCCTAGACCAGGGATGCTCAGGCTGTGGCCATGGAACCGGCGGCACCTACGCATTGGACTTTGCAGCTTGTTGACACTGAGCACATTTGTTTACTAGATCCACAATATGCTGGTCCATGAGGGGCCAGTAAGCATAGCTTCTGGCGATGGATTTCATACGCTTTATGCCTGGATGACCAATGTGGAATTGCTTCAGCACTCTCGGTCGTAGGGATTCTGGCACCACCACTCTATCTCCAAACATCAAGCATTCATTTACGACACATAATGAGTCACGACGATGGTAAAGCTGCTTCATGTCACCGTCAAGTTTAGTTGATGGCCAGCCATTGGTGACGTGCTTCATCGTTTTCTTAATGATGGGGTCGTTTCTGGAAGCAGTTTGTATCTCAGATTCTGAGACTGGCAAAGCACGAACAGCAGTTGTCAGGTAGCATTGCGCGTGGTCTTCTGTCGAAAGAGAAGCAATAACAGCATCTTCGTCGGTCGTAGAGTGTTCGCTGATGAGTCGTGACAATGCGTCTGCTTGACCAAAATGTTGGGTCCGTCGATACTGAATGTCAAAATCGTAACCCAAGATGATCAAAGCCCATCGTTGGAGACGGTTTGCAGAGTGGGCCGGGACGCCAGACTTCGAACCAAAAATCGCAAGGAGAGGCTTGTGATCAGTTAGCAGAGTAAATCTCCGACCATAGAGAAACTTGTGAAAACGACACACTGCGAAGACTAGGGCAAGAGCCTCCTTCTCTATCTGGCCATACTTCTTTTCCGCTGGGTTTAATGTTCGGGATGCATGCATGATGGCTTTCTCTGTCGCGTCGGGGAACTGGTGTGAAATGACAGCACCGAGCCCAAAGGCTGAAGCGTCTGCGACCACGATGATTGGCAAAGACGGGTCGTAGTGCGTTAATAGTAGTTCTGAACTAATAATTGTCTTTAGCTTACAAAAGGCATTTTCACACTCCCTTGTCCAGTTCCAGCTGATATCCTTATTCAGGAGATAATTCAGTGGGGCGCGTATGTCATGCATCGATGGAACGAAGGCTGAGTAATAACTAACCAATCCCAGGAATGATCGTAGAGTAGAGATATTGGTAGGTGTGGGCATAGTTCTTATAGCTCGAATGTTCTCGGGATCTGGTCTGCGACCTGCAGCATCGAAGATGAACCCCGAATACTTCACGGATTTCAAGAAAAGCTGGCACTTTTCCGGACGTAACCGGAACCCGTTGTCGCTGACGCGTTGGAGCACGGCTGTTGTGCGTTCTCGTAGCTGTTCCGACAACAATGAGGATGTCATCGAGATAAGTTGCGACCCCCGGGATACCCGATAGAATGGTATCCATTAGCTGCTGGAAAATAGATGGGGCGGTCTTGACTCCAAACGGCAGTCGATTATATTGGAACAGGCCACGATGAGTATTAATAGCGAGTAGCTCTCTTGATTCTTCAGCAACTTCTACTTGTAGGTAGGCATCAGCAAGATCCAACTTCGCAAAGAACTTTCCGCCATTCAGCATAGTGAACAAATCTGCCGGGACTGGCAGCGGGTAGTGATGCTGTTCCAGGGCTGCGTTGAGACCTGTGGAAAAATCTGCACATATTCGTATTGTACCATTAGCCTTCTTGATAACAATAATGGGTGCTGCCCATGCGGAATAAGAGACAGGAGTAATAACTCCTTCACGTTGAAGGCGATTAAGTTCTTCCTCAACTTTCTGTAATGCAGCATATGGTACTGGTCTCTTCGGACGAAAAACAGGTTTGACCCCAGGTTTCAATCGAAGCGTTGCTTTCATGGCTGAGCACCGACCCAAAACAAGCTGGAAGACGGTCGAAAACTTCGTAACTAGTTCCTTTGAATAGGCTTCCGGGTCATGGGGTTGCTTTACTAGTTGATACACAGTGTTTAACGGGACGTCTGCTAAATGCAGTTGGTCAAACCAATCTAATCCAAGTAAATTAAGATCACCCGGTGCAATGTAACATACCCCAGTGAACGTCGAATCGCGAAAAGACACTTCACAATGTAGTTGATCTAACAAACGTAAGTAACTACCGCATGCTGTACGAGGCTTTTGTGTTGTTGTCGCCATACGTGGTCTGCCCATTTTAATCCAAGATTTTTGTGAAATAATTGTCACGTCCGATGCTGTGTCTATTTGTAATCTAAATGGGTGCCCGTTAATAATAATGGTAATAAATTTTCTCTCACCTGGGGTTGAGTTCTGACAGGATGCTACAAGACTCAACGAATTCGTGCACGGCTTGGGAGCAGACTTTCTAGTACTTTTGGGGCGATTCGACTTTTTATTTTCGCAAAACCCATCTTTGTAGCCCACAGCTTTACACTTCCTGCAACGATGTTGTTTGTACGGGCAGCTTCGAACATAATGCCATGCACCACAGTGCCAGCATGGAGCAGGAGGATTCGTCTTTGCTTGTTGAACTGAGTTAGAGTGAGACGAACTAGGTATAGCTGGAGCGGGTTTAACAGGTTTCGTTTGTTGTTGGACTACATGTACTTCACGGCGATCAGAAATACCACGTTGAACCATGGTAGTGTCATTCTGCAGATTAACTAGACGTTGATATTCGTTAGCAATATCATTTAGAGTCAGCTTAGGGTCTTGATCCAATCGACTGAGCAACCGTGTTCTAATGTCACCGAACTTTTGCGATTGGAGGCTGCAGATGAGAATGAGGGCTTTAAACTGATCTTCAGTTAGCGACTTCAACCGAAAGCGTTCGCATTTGCGGTTGACAATGCCCACATGCTTCAGAAAATCGATGTCTTCGTTCATAGTCAGCTTCAAACATCGATAGCGTGTGTTTTTTTATTTTTATTTAAACACAGAAATATTGGTACAAGGAAGCACCAAATAAATATGCGCCTCACAAATCTCATTCGATTTGTGTGAGGGCTGTGATACTGCCCAGGTGCCCAGACTGAAACAGGTGGTTTTCTTAGGGGGCCACACCCGGAGCCTTTGACCTGAAGGTCTAGTCCACAAGGCAGTGGAGCATCGTGAGGAGATGCAGTCCCATGGTAGCCGGTGATCAACGGTTGATTCGTCCGCCATTCGTTCCATCAGGATACTGGAGCCCATGTGCACCACTGGTTTGGAATCAGGGTATTCCAACTACCCTAGGTGGACCCTCCATGTCCACCAACCCGGTTAAAGCGCCGGACATTCGCTTTTCGTCCTCTCACTTTCGTAAACAACACCCCCGCCACGAGAAGGCAGTGAGTAGGACTTCCCTGTCAGAGGCTATATATTCGCTGGCCATATGAGAGCATTTCGAGAGGGAGAGGTGACTCTCCCCACTCCCGGCCGTACCAGGGCATTTGGGGGCGTGTGTTGAACAGTGAGGAATCATCTCCGAACTGTTGGCTCAATGACTGAACAGTGTCTGAGAATGAGCGATCGCGTGGGTTTAGAGGCAAAATCAGGTTACAATATTTATCAAGTTCACTAGGACCCAGCTTTCGAAGCAGCAAACGGACTTTCCAAGTATCATCTTGATTGGCAAAATCAAATTTGAATAAATCTTCATAACGTCGAAACCACATATCAAACGTAACATTAGATTCAGGATAGTAATGGAACTCAGAAATACTGCTGGCAATACCATCAAGTGAAGGAGCAGTACTGGTAGGATTAGAACTGCTTGATTGGCTATTGGTCGTAATTTTCGTTTCTGTTAGCATATGGATAAGTTTTATCTGCTGTTCGAGCAATAATTCCACTTTTGCAGGATCCATATTTCCAAATCACCGTCGCCAATTGATATGTCTGAAGCGTTACGAATTCACTAGTAGCGAACGGAACAAAGACACGTGACCAGAGACCGATAACTAGCTATACTGACGCGACCCAGTTCTGGGGATTTGACATCCCCAACAGACTACAAGCTACAAGCCATGAAGTATGCCTTTAAACATAAATTACTGAGTAGTTGACTACGTCAATTTCCTAGTTTTATTAAGAAGTAACAAGTAGGATCTACGGTTCATTTCCACGATATATAAATTATCAGATCTATAACAGTTACAATACTTATATTTGTCTAGTTAAGTTATTCTCTAAGCATTTTTAAATAAAAGTAACTTTAAAGCCATAACCTTTTATTACTTCGAAATAAGCGAGTTATAATTTTAAAATTCATTCTCACGTGATCACTGTGAGTACGAAATATCACGTTAGTTTACTAATTTTACTTTATAATTTAAACCAGGAGAGACTGGATGGTTGTTTCTCCGTAGTATGGGACTCCTCAGCAATGCACAAGCAAAGCACCAAAGAGAATAGAAACTAAAACTCCTAGGGATCACGACTAAATCTTAATCTTTAGATCAGTGAGCAACCATTCAACGATTTACATATCTGACTTTATTGATTTAACAATATTAATCAATTACCATCCATTATATGTTGTTATGCTTATCTTATACGCAACATGGTCTTTTTGAAATAAGAAATTACCATCTGTAAACTTCCTGTCAGTATAGAAAAATCCCGTCATTTTTATATGCTCATGATTAAACCCAAAAATTTCTAATCAGATAATCATCTTCTTTTAATAAAATTACTTCTTTTGGTTAGTCTCAGTTAGCGATGTATACTACAGCTAAACAACAAAAGAACATGAAAACAATTGAACATTGTACAAATTCACAAGAATCAAATGTTCAATATTCAACTCTTTCACGTTTACAATCTTGTAAATTAAGTTCATTAATACTAGATACAATACATTCAATTGATATAATTGATCAGTTGATTCGAAATGGTGCAGTCAGCCCAAAAGATTGGATATGGCAACGTCAATTACGATTTTATATTAATAACAATGAGAATTCCATGTATAACTATACAACTAAAATAAAAAATGATAACAATAATTCAATGAAAACAACTATATGTATGGCTGATGCAGAATTCTTATATACATTTGAATATCAAGGCAATTCACCACGTCTAGTACATACTCCATTAACAGATAAGTGTTATTTAACACTAACACAAGCTATGCGTATGGGTTTAGGTGGTAATCCTTATGGTCCAGCTGGTACTGGTAAAACAGAATCTGTGAAAGCTCTTGGCTCTATAATGGGTCGTCAGGTAAATTGAAAATATTCTCATTCTTTTTGTCTAAACTTTAACATTTAAAATTTATTTGAATAGAATACTTTATCATAGAATGTCTTAAGATTACCTTGGATGAATTTTTTTTGAGTGAGGTGGATGAGGGTAAATTCTGAAAAGTTTTTTCGATAAAAAAATTTGAAAACTATAAGATATTAAAGATGAAAAACTAAAATTTTTTCACTATTTCAAAGGAAACTCATTTTTGTAAACTAATTATAAACATATAAAATGTCAAAAGGGGAGTTTTGTGGAGATTTTAGTAATGTTTTATAAAGTTGAGATCATGAGTCAATTGAAGCTAGACCACCATGGAAAACCTGGAAGCACTGGATGGCCGCTTCGTCCTACATTAGATGGCAAAATATGTCTAATATTGGCATAAATATGTATAATTCTAGATTATTCTGTCTCTTCATTCTTAACCTAGTTGATCTTACCGCCGGCTACAAAGTAAGGTGACCTGTTGTCTTTTTATGGTCTTTCTTAATACTTTTTGTTGTAGGAAAGCAGCATCACTGAAGATACATGTGGTACTTATATTCCAACAATTTATTCTGGTTAGCGTTTTTTTAGCAAGGTTGTTTTCTACGAGATGGAGATGCTGACCCCGCGTCCAACCCTCCTCCTTTACCTGGGCTTGGGACCAGCAGTAGTCCTGGAAGAGCTACATGCAGAGTTATATTTCAGCAATAACTAATCAACTTCATTTATGAATAATTATGAAGGGGAAAATATAAACCTATATAACTAACGAGAAAACTATGCCGAATTCGGAAGTATTAATCTGATAAATAATATTGGTTTTATTCTCCATTTATATTCTAGGTTCTCGTTTTCAATTGTGATGAAGATATTGATCTACGTTCTATGACGAGAATTTTTGTTGGAATAGTAAAATGTGGTGCTTGGGGTTGTTTCGATGAATTTAATCGATTAGAAGAATCTGTTCTCTCTGCTATTTCAATGCAAATTCAGGTCATTATCGGTTTTTTTTTATACATATTGACTTTTTTTAATATCAACTTTTATGGAACCAACATTTCACTAAACTATAAGTTGAAACAAAAGACCGTTAGATCTGCTGCATGCAGATAAGCAACCCACTAAATATTTTTCTTCTATATAGATCTACCCATAATTTTTGAGCAAGATGTTAAAGATTCTTACTCATTTCATAATACTAAATTCCCCCATCTTCGCTTTTTATGATACAATTGTGCATAACTACAGCTTTCTGTACGATGAATGTAAACTTTAGAAAACAAACGGTTTTCAATGAATTTGAGAATAGTAGTTGCTAATCCTAACCATTAAAATGAAACCCTAGATTGATTACATTTTAACAGTAGCTTTTAACATCTATATACACGGAATCGATCTAATTTAGGTATAATATTCAACAAACAGACTAAAATCAATTTAGTGGTCATTCGAAAATGGGAAGAACTAGACAGATGTCTGTTCTTAGTTTTTAACTTCTCATCCACCAACAACCTTGGACACAGGACATTAGGTTCTCAATGTATGATAGATACTTTTAGACCAGTCAAGATTAAATGGTTCACATTTCCGACCTCATTCAACTTGTGATTCATTGAAATGAGCATTCGCTGACATCGCTGTTTATTGTGGTTAGTACCTATGGCATGGCTAAACGCTATTGAAAACGATTTCTTACTAGGATCTAAAACATCACTTTCTTGAAATCACTGACACATGATTGTTCAGTTTGTTGGTAATTTTTTGCATTTTAATGTATAAATTAATCTTCTGTACAGACTACCTTGTGTTTATTCTTATATAGAGACAACTTGTTTCTTTTCCAATCTTTATTATAGATTATTCAAGATGCATTGAAATGTGGCACATCACAAATCAATCTACTAGGTCGTGCTACTAATGTTGACCCTAATTCTGGATTATTCATCACACTAAATCCTATTGCTAAAGGATATGGTGGACGTCAAAAATTACCAGATAACTTGAAACAGTTATTTCGACCAGTTTCAATGACAAAACCAGATATTGATTTGATAGCTGAAATGATTTTATTTTCTGAAGGATTTTCCAATGCTCAAATATTAAGTCGTAAACTGGTGTCGGTTTTCTCATTGGCAAAGTAAGCTTTTCATTGAAACATATTCAAAATTATCTTTTAATTAGTAAAGATCTCTAATTTCTCGTTATTAATATTCAGGACTTCAACTGATCAGTTTGTCTTACCATACGTAAGTGTTGAGATGATTACATCTATGTGGCCTGACGTCACAAGCTTTAGCGTATTTGGTACGTGGTTAGCAGTGGAATCTAGGTCTTATGGTTAGAGTTCTATTCCGGACATATCATTTGGATGTATCTGCATCCTAGTGTTGGTATTTCCACCAAGATTTAAATCCGCTACCTTTTGTTTTCAATTCTCAACTCGTTACTCACTAATCTACTGGGTCCACATCGCAAAATTTATGAGTTTATTTTCGACTAGGGTCGTCGTCATGTTTTGTGGTTAATAGATCTTGACTTGTACCGGTCTTGGTGTTCTTAGTTCACCACGTGGGAATTTCAATGGCTCCTTGTTTATCCAATTATGAGTAATAAGCAATTCCGACATAACAATTAGAAACGACTAGTTATAACAATTAACGACGTAGTCGTAACACAAATTGTTCGTACTTTACTAAATTTGAGATTCACCAGTTACTAATGTTTACTTCAACCCTTACTTAAATCCAACTCAGTACCAGTGTTTTCACAAATAACTTTATCGAAGTGTGTTTCAAGTCACAATTACTGTCTATTATATAGTTTGCATTAGTTTATTTACTAAATTATTATCAGAGGACAGATATTTCTATGTCACTAATTAAACGTTTCCAGTAGTATACCAAGATTCCATTGCTAGCCTCATTCTATCAATTCTATATCAATTAGTGTTATAGTGGCTATATTGGGGCAACGCGCACTGGATGTCTTTATGCCAACGAAGTCTGATCAAATTTCAGTCAAAAAATATCAATAACGTGATAATCCAAGTCATTTCAAAATTGAATTATACCTGGAAATGTCTTTGTGTGCTTAATAATTGAAATCAACCAAATGATCTTTAAGTATCGAATAAAAATGAATCTTTTAACTTAACAATACTCATGAAAAAAAGGTGCTAACATGTGGTATTTTCACCGCCAAATGTTAAGAATAAGATCTGGAAATCATAAACTTAATTCCTCGAAGTGCTTGCAATCGATAATGACTATCACTTAGGCTGATACAATTGAGTTCTATTACCTAAAATAAAAGTATGCACATATGCCAATAAAAGACTAACCAGTTGCAGTCCTAAACATCAATGGGAAGATTTAAACAAGTAATATTAAGTGAATTCAAACTTCACCCCATTGCACTAGCAAGTGGCTATCAGGACTCAGTAGCTGAGTGCATAACGTGATGGCGTTTGAAGCGAAAGGTACTGGATTCGAGTCCCAGAGTGAACATCAACTCTGAGATGCAGGTGCATCCAGATGACGAGTCCCAAATAGGACGAAACGCGCGTCCTCGATCCAACTGCTAGCCTCTATCCATCTTTGCTTAAAATGTTGTTTATGTTTGAGAGAGGGATATATTCGATGTATAATCATAAGAAATAAGTGGTTAGATTGTGCTGAAAAAACTTTTATATATTCATATACTTATAAGATCATTTTTCTTTTTCTTCACCCTTAATAACAAGACAACTTCTTTCAGTACAACAACATTATGATTGGGGTTTAAGAGCATTAAAAACTGTTTTACATTGTGCTGGTACACTTTTACATACTGATAAACAAAATTATGGGTCAAATGAATTGAATGATCATAATGAAAGACAATATGAACAAAGATCTTATGAATATGAAGCACAATTTCTGATACAAGCAATTAAAACAAATACATTAGCTAAATTAACAAATTCTGATGCTAAACAATTCGAAAACCTCATTAGAGATGTATTTCCTGATTTGCGTTTACATAATGTACAGTTTAAGAATCAAGAATTGACCAAACTCATTGATTCAATGCATTCAGTAGTAAAAGAACATAATATGATATTAGTAGGAGCTCAGGTGAGATATATATTCTATCTTCAAAATGATTTTAGTTACCTAATTTGGTTTGATAAACTCTTGAAGTTTCGAATGTATATGTTGTGGTGGTCTATATATTTGATATTATCCTTAAACTTCGTATATTGTTCGTCCTGATAACTGTTACTCGATAACGACCCGACGGTGTATAAATCAGAATGTGAATACGAAGGGTTGATTGCGCTAATTATTGAACCACACACAAATATCCAAAACTACAGGCACGTTAAGCAAGCATGAAAGAGTAGTGCCGTAAAGCTGGTGAGCGAGCGAGAAATCAATTGATCAAGTCAGCGAGTAAGCGAGTACAGTACAGTGAACAGGATATTAAAATGTACATGTATATAAAAATGAATAAGCAGAATCATCGAATCAATTAAGTGATTAATAGTAAGGCTAGCAGAATAAATACTTGCGTAGGCAGTAAGCAATGCTCAAGTGTACGTAATAAAGGTACAATAGTATAGATAGGTTGTTGTCCGTTAAATAAGTTAACAAAAGGGCTTAGCCAAATTAGATGTGAACATAATCAATTGCGTGTGAGCTGCTATAATGTCTACTATATACCTAGATGTTTACTTGAGAGTATGGAAAATAAAAACTACTAAGAGGTTGGAGATAACGAGAAACCCGTTATCAATGTTTCATACTTATTTGTACTCATCGACATGGCCTACTTGCTATCTTGATGAAACCTGTACTTTCAGTGGGATTCGGATCTGCATCACCCAACTTCATCGATTGAGATTTTACCATTGGTCTATCTAGATCTAGCTGTCCGGACCATGTTAAATCTCAACATAGTGCGTGAGATATACTGATTTAATTAGATTAGTGGCTATGGAATTTGATTAGAAATAAGAACTAGACAAACATGAGATTGATCATTGAGTAGTGATCAATCAGTTATACAAGTAAAGATATTTCACAGTAATCTTAATATACTTGAGTAAATGTTTCATTAATATTTAAAAATCATTCAATAATAATTTAATGAATTATAAATAAACTGCTCACTAGATCTTCCATAAAGAAAGTAGGATGTTACTTTTGTAGATTTCATCGGCTTCAGTGTTATCTATCAAGTAATCAGTTATTTTCCTTTACTATTGATACGTCTTGTAAGTTGAACGCTATATTCAGATCCTAAGCTATTCTGATAACCCCAGGCTAGAACTATTCAACGACTTGAAGACCAGAGAGAAGACTCGAGTATGAGAGAAACACTTTACTACAAGGTTCAATCTTGTTACAGAAAATCATAGGTATTTATAGATGTTAGCCAATCCATTAACGACATATTATGATACCGACCAATAGTATCACGCCACGTTGGAACTCTAGAATGTTCCATCGTATTCTGATTGGCTGGGGCTCTTTATGAGCCTCTAGAGGCTCTGTTGGAGTTCTCCGGAAGCCGACTCAACACTATGTAGAACTGGAGACTAGGGAAATAACCTATTAATTTAAGTCACTATGCGTTCTTATGGTCTAACGAAAAGAGAACTTACAGAATAGATGAAATAATAAATTAAACTTAATCACTGAAAGATAACCGGGAAGCATCGATAAAAGATTGTCGCTGATATCTATACAAATCAACAAAATCATGAATCAAAGACAATAGAAGATTGTTGTGAAATATCGTAGATTGATTGAAGTTAAAATTGTGCGTTTTAAAAATTAGGTGTTCGCGTTCAAAATCAAAAGTCCTGGGTTCGATTTCCAAGAGAGAGGTTGTGGTCGTGTACCAGTCTGTAGTTTCATACTAGGACGACACTGTCGTTCAATGTCTCTTTGTCTGCAATGGTGTACTGACTTAAACTGATTCACGATTTTGATGAATTAAGTATATTGATTGGTAAAACACACTTAGATGGATTAGTTAGTCAATGTTGACTTGTATTAATGAAATACAGTACTTTACCCCATAACCTTGTTGGTATTTAAGAATTATAATGATTTCATTCATTTCTTGTTTGACAAAACTACCTGTTAACACTTAAAATATTTACAATATTGAATATTTAATCAGATAAGCAAAGATAGATAGTGGCTAGCAGTGAAATCCAGGACGCGCGTTTCGTCCTAGATTCGCGTCCTGGATTCCACTGCTAGCCACTATCTATCTTTGCTTACCATGCTTTTGAATTAAGGCTATATCGAGGTAATACGCACAGTATGCACATATGCCAATTAGAGACTGACCAGTTGCAGTCCTAACACATCGATGGGAAGATTCAAACAAACAATACTAAGTGAATTTAATTTAATCAAAAATTTATGTTTTCTTCATTCTTATTTGATAAAGATTCAAAAAGCTATCGAATTATATGAACAATTGTCACAACGTATGGGTGTTGTATTAGTTGGACCATGTGGTTCTGGGAAATCAACGATTTTAAATATATTACGCTTAGCATTGAATAAAATAGGTATATCAATACGTTCACATATATTTAATCCTAAATCGATGTTACGTGTACAGTTACTTGGTCAAATTGAAGCAGATACTAGAGAATGGACAGATGGTGTACTTACCCATAGTGCGAGATGTGTTGTTAAAGAATGCATAGGTAAGTTTTGAAATTGTAAGGTAATAATTATGAGTTCGTGAACTGTAACATCATCTATATTAGATCATCTATTAATCCAAACTATTCTAGCTTCCTATGTATAACATTTTGAATCTCTAGGAATGAGTGTTATCTTTATCACTGATGCAGATTCATCGTGATTGTAAGTGACAAAATTCACACTATCTTATCTAAGAGCACTATACTAATCATCTCATGTTATTTAACATTAACTTTATTCTTCCCAGGGATCTTACTTACACCACAACAGATACAAAATTGATATGTTATTAACCACTAAACTACTTACTGACCGTCGCATTGCTTGGTATTCTATGTCCTTAAACTATTTGTCTGAGAAATCAATTAGTTTCCTCAACCGGTGGTGTGAGTAATAGACAATTATAGTTGATGGTAGCTGATGATTGTCTTATAATGTCGTCAAAACGCAAAAATCTGAAGAAACTAATCTTCTATCTATCTTCCGTGAAAATAACTACCTTATCGACTTTGTTAAAAAGTGTCCGGTGAATCGACTCACCATCGCAAAACAGACCGCAGAAACTTGGAAACAAATAGTTCTACTGTGTATGAAAAACATTTCGGAAATCACCACCAAGTTTTTAAAACTTTGGAATTAACGTCACCTATAAACCAATTAAATTACTTCATTCCACTTCACAGAGGCCAAATGACATAACAGAGAAAAAAATGACAAATCCAGTTTCATCGTCAAAATAAATTGTAGAGACTGTGATAAATCGACCTTTCACTTCAGGATACACAAACATAAGCTATTAATGAAACAATGAGTTATCTTATCACTGATGTCAATTCACGCTGAAAATTATGGACGTAAACTGGACTTGGAAAGTTTCAAATTTTAATAATGAGGAAATTTTATGAAGTCTAACATTTAGATTAAAGAGCATTCAGTAAACACTTTTTCTTCATCAAACTATTTGAAAAATGTCGATTAAGAACATGGTTAGGGATGAACGAATTAAGATAGTCAACTTGAATACACATAAAAATGAGGATAAAGAAATCTACAATGCAAATCACTTACAAATAAAGCCATCAGAGCTTATTCTGAAAGTTGGTGGAATACTTAATAGACTAGCTGCAACCCAGGGTAACCTCTGATGACGTCGTTTAAAACGAGAGTAAAAACTCTTCAAATTAACCATCTAGCTTGGAAAATTTAACTATGCCTTAAATATGCACCTGAGCTGTAAAGTTCTTCCAATATTCATAGATTATTTATGGTCAAATAACTTCTACTTTGAATGATTGCTTTTTTAATTACTCAATCTATCGCTGTTTGTAAAGGGTTAATATTTCTGTGTAGTTGATATTCAGGATTATACTTGATGATATATATATATGGTATAAAAACGCCTTGAATGTAAATTTTTTAGTTAATGACTTATAACTAAACACTGATTATATTTTGAATTATGATTAGCACTAAACTGTACAGTACTTGTTTTATCCTACTCCGATTTCCTGTCCTTGATGCTCCTGAAGTATTAATATTGATGTTTACATTGAAACATCCAGATGATATGTTCTATTCAGAACATTAAATATCTATTGTGAGATAGTAACTCACTGAAGACACTGGTAATTGTGTCGCTCAATTTCGTGGATCGGTTGAAGTTAGACACTAACATCGGTGGAATGCCGGCTCAGTGGTCTACAGGTTAAGCGCTCGCGAGCCAGACTGATAGGTTCTGTTATATCTGAAGCGTTTCGAATTCACTAGTAGCCAACTGAACAAAGACTTGTGACCAAAGACCGATAAGCTAGCTATTCTGACGCGACCCAGACCCAGCTAACTAGAGTAAGAAGTTCAAGTTGGAAGCGGGGAAAATATATTCCGTAGCAGCCAGAAGCACAGCAATCATAAGGGAAAAAAACCAAACTTATATATACAGCAATGACTTGTCCTTGGGCAGTATTACAAAATAACACACTCAAAGAAACAATGGACCAACAGCGTTAAGATATTTTACAAGAGGGAAACTCGACTCGAAAATGAAAAGAGCGCTTTTGGCGCGAAAACAAGAAATTCAAGTTTTCAAAATAAAATTACAAAATTAAGCCATTTACCGAGTAAGTTCTGGTGATTTGACATCCCCAACAGGTTCTGAGTTCGAATCTCGAAAGGTGGGGTCGTGGATGCGCACTGCTGAGGAGTCGCTAAATAGGTTTTCCATGGCGGTCCAACTTCAATTGACTCATGATCTCAACTACCGAAATGATATTAAATAACTGGCATGGATTCCATTACTGATTACCATTTAAATATATCATCAAATTATTAAACTGTTAGTTTTATTAAAGCATCATATAGAATTTCAATCACTTTATCCTGGTGTTCATCTTTTTAATATTTTATTAAAACATAGATCAAAAATGTTGGATTATATCTGATGGTGATATTGATCCTGAATGGATTGAATCATTAAATTCTGTATTAGATGATAATCACTTACTAACATTACCAAGCGGTGAACGTATACAATTTGATACAAATGTAAATTTTCTATTTGAAACACATGAATTAATTCATGCAAGTCCAGCTACTATATCAAGAATGGGTGTTGTATATGTAAGTGATGAAGCTATTGATTCGCATGCATTTGTTGAAGCCTGGTTAATGAATCAACCAGAAATTGAACAAAATCAACTGAAATATTTAATAGATCCAATATTTTACAAATGTTTAGAATGGGTCTATCAAAAGGTAAGTAAATATTTGTAGAGATTCACTTGACATTGTTTGTTTGAATCCTCTCATTGATGTTTAGGACTGCAATCGATCAGTCTCTTATTGACATATGTGCATACTGTGTGGATTGCTTCAACATTGCTTTAATTCACAAGCATTATAAGCAAAGGTGGATAATGTTTAGCAGTGGAATCCAAGACGCGCGTTTAGTCCTATTTGGGACTCGTCATGTGGATGCACCTGCATCTGAGAGTTGATATTCACTCTGGGACTCGAACCCAGTACCTTTCGCTTCAAACGCCACCACATTGTCCACTTAGTTACTGAGTCCTGAACGTACAAAATCCCTAGGTATGAGTTTCAGTATCACGGACAGTATTAGCTGATTAGTGCCGACTTACACAAAACCCATGTCCATTGTTTCGTGTATATCGCCTCCAACTAATTACAGTCAGACAATCAATCTCACTTTTTCTCAAAACCTCATCATCATGATTGCCTCTACTTTAATATACCTAGGCGATGCAGAATGATATTTGGCAAGTAAACGTTTTGACAGTATGGTCGAACTCCTTGTTTCCCATTTCCGTGAAGTATCTACAATCCTGATCGAATACTTATCATGTGATTTTAAGTTATTTTTTGTAAAGATAGCAGTCTCAGTTTCCACATAAACCACAGACCTGTTTAATTCAGACAACCGTCGAAAACGAAGAGGCATTGCATCGACGTTTCGTTCTAGTATGAGACATTTGACCAGTGTTGATCCGCAACCCCAAGACATCCGGTCTCACACGCAGACATTTAATCTCCAGACCACTGAGCCAGTAGCCAATGGTTTACGAATCTTACTTCAATCAATCTACGATAGTGCACAGCTATCTTCCTGAGCTCTATTCCCGGTTGCGGAGCCGTAGATGAGCACTACTGAGGAGTTGTATACTAGGAATAAACTGACGTTCTGTTCCTTCTCATTTTCAGCGGTTGACTTTGATAGGCTTGCGATTTTAATAGAATTTAACTATCTCTAAAATCCCATACTGACAATTTTATTCATTTTACTTTTATTTCTATCATATTTATACATTTAGAATGAATTTGTCGTTGATACTAGTCCGGCTGCCATAATATTTACTGGTCTTTCTCATCTAGTTGGAGCAATTACACCAGCGTTATTTACTGTAGGCTTAATACGTGGATTAGGTGCAAATCTTACAGAATCTGCGCGTAATGAATTAGCTATCAAAGTATATGAAGCTACAGGTGAAAATCCACCTGATATAACTAGACCATTGGATGTACAGGTGAGTAAATATTTTACAAGAAAATACATCATGCATATCTCGTTAATACTATTTCATATTTTTCTTTTAAGTTCGTATTATTAATGATACTACAAGCATCAGTACTAACAGCTATCGGAAGAATTTTCTGTTAATCATTTTGCTAGATTCTTGTTTAATATTTCAATTTCATGTTAGACTGAATGGTCAGTTATGCTATCAAGAATTATAATTATACTTACTTACTTGCGCCTGTTACCCCCAATGGAGCATAGGCCGCTGATCAGCATTTTCCAACCCACTAGGTCCTGAAATCTTCCTTTCTAGTTCTATCCAACTTTTGTTCATTTTTCTCATGTTTATCTCCATTTCTCGGAGTAATGTGTTCTTGGGTCTTCCTCTTCTCCTCTGGCCTTAAGGATTTCAAGTGAGGGCTTGCCTTGTGACGCCGTTGGGTGCTTTCCTCAATGTGTGTCCTATCCACTTCCAGCGCTTATTCCTGATTTCTTTCTCCGCTGAAATCTGGTTTGTTCTCTCCCACAGTAGAATGTTGCTGACATTGTCTGGCCAACGGATCTGAAGTATTTTGCGTAGACAACTGTTAATAAACACTAGTATCTTCTGGATGATGGCTTTCGTAGTTCTCCCAGTTTCTGCCCCATACAGTAGAACGTTCTTGATATTTGTATTGAAAATTCTGATCTTGTTGTTGGTTGAAAATTGTTGAGTTGACTTCCAGATGTTCTCCAGTTGTAATTATGCTGCTCTTGCTTTGCCGATTCGCGCCCTCACATCTGCATCAGATCCACTGTGTTCATCAATGATGCTGCCCAGATATGTAAAGGTTTTTACATCTTCCAAAGCTTCTCCGTAAGAATTATAAGATGGTTGAATTTAACTATTTTCGAGATTCATATGAAAAAGTGTATGGAACAATAGAAACAGTTCATGAATTTATCGTTTGAGTTCCTACCATTAAATTGCATTCTAGATGAGATATATATTCATTAAACTTCTTAATATCATTCAACTTAAGATTAGAGAATACCCAAAGTGGACTACTGTTGACTATATTCGACCTTGGGTAAATTCGTTCAAATGAAATGGAAATCCTCATTAAAATAGATTGGCCTTAGAAATAATATCCTTTTTCTTCACAACTAATAATTAGGAATATATTATGTATTATGTCAAGTGGTTAGTTGTGTTAGACGAAAACCCTTGACCTACATTTTGTGTTAGCTAGGACTCGTCAGCAAGGAATACGTTTAATCTTGAGGGAACGGATAATCCCTATGGGCTTTGAACCTGCACAACTCAGACTAATCATCTGAGACATCACTACTAATTTATTCAAATCTCATGATATCAGTCACAGCTTATTAACGAGTGGAAACCAACATGAAACCTAAGTCTAAAGTTCCCTATCAAATTACCTCCGACTGCCTAACATCTTAAAATAATGAACTCGATTTTGAATCACATATACTAGTAGTCACATTTTAACTGAACCGACAGAACCTGATCAACAGTAAGGACTAAACGAATATGGAGTTGGTCTCTATTCAGTGATCCGTAAATTGTAAATATTGGTTACCAGTTGTTTCAAGTTTTTTCTTCTGTAGAAGTTATGTGTGTATAAATTAAGCTGAAGTTAATAGTTCGATGAAATTCATTTCTTTACGTTTTAACATCCTAAGTGTTTCGTTCATTTAATTTCATAGGTGGACCCAAATAATCCAAATCGTTTAATTTCATATTCAACAGAAACTAGTGTTGTAATACTTGGGAAATCTATCCCACATTACACTGGGTTTAATTCCCGATATTCTGAAATACCATTAAATATATGCATTGAAGATCCAATCATAGCAAATGCAATAGCTGACAGCCTAGCTTCTGGTCGCTCACCATTAGTTTTAACACCTGATGTCAGACGATCTATTGATGCATTCCGTTGCTGGTTAAATAATCCACTGTCGAAACAGTCATTTTTATTAGTTGGTCCTGAAGGATGCGGTAAAACGTGAGTTTTACTTTATTTATTGATTATTATTTGTAATATGAGTCGAGGTCTTATTTATTTTGTAAGTGACAACAGAATCTTTGAGTTTTAGTCAGATTTTAAGTACTCAAGAAAGAATCTGACCTTCAAGGGAATATTCTCCCATTTTCGCCTGCAAACGTACAGTTGAAGAATTTCCAAGTTATTCAAAGTTTATATTAATCAAACATCAGCATATTAAGTACTTTTTAACAAATAAACATTAGTACTTATCAGAGTATGACTAAAATATGACTATTAATTTCATTTCAGGGAGATTAGATAACAATTTAAGTTAATGATGTATTAGTCAAGGATTACTTAGTATAAATTTGTTACTGTCCTCGTTGAAAACTTATATTTCGGATTCGGTTAATTATCTACTAAAGAAGTTGATATGATGTAATCTATACTCCACATTATACTAACTTATAACTATAGATGATATAGAGTTCATTCATCTTTTCCACTTTACACAAAACCTTATGTCAATGAGTCGTATGCCTTTTAGACCTAATCGTGTGATTGATTACAAAATAAAAAGCACTGTTAGACAATATGTTAAGAGTTCAGTCTTTTATTCGGAAGCGCTAACTATACAGTTTGTTCAATAAATAACTAAATTTATGATATAGATGAGAGACTTTAGACACTAGGTTTACTAGATTGGATACTGTCGAGAGCCCTTAGTAATCTCTTGTAAAGGTCTCTTGAAACCTGGGGAAAACTAATGCAAATACTCCCACTAATTAGGGTTTTTTAGAAACTTCCAAGAGAAACAAATGATTATATGTTCCTTGGAGTATCTAGAATCTCAAAGTTGTCCACAATACTTTAGATACACTCGTTTTTTTAATACCTAATCTAACCTTTAATATAAAATTTCTTTCGTACTTTTTCTAAGAGTGCCGAAATTCCGAAAACTATGAAACAGATAGGAAGTTGATATTTAAGCGCTCAAATAAAAGACACATTAGATATAGAGTATTTTGACTACTTAACACCATACGGATTAAAAAATCAGTGAATCTATATTACCAGAGAAAAAGTATTCAGTGACTTTAAAAGTCATAGAACATAAATTTAAATGATTCTATCTATTGAATGAATTCTGGTCAATTTGGTTGTTGTCTTCTATGTACAGTAAGGTGTAACTAACTTTAACAACAAACATTTAGATTAATTTCGGATATCTTATCCCTAAATGACTGAAAAATTTTTTATATCTGTTCTTATTCACTTAAATGTTCAGTTAAAACCGCTTTTCCTGATAATCTATTATAGTGATAGTCATAAAAGCACTAGCTTAAACTCACATGCTTCAGTTTAAGCAGCTTATTTGTATCTTAACTTTTAACATCTCATATATATCTACTTCATGAAATGATTTGATTATGAAGACCACTACTGAGAAGTTTGTTTTACTTTAATCAAACCAATGCCCCCAGATGCCCTCATACGGCCGAGAGTAGGGAGAGTCCGCTCTCCCTCTCTAAATGCTCTCACATGGCCATGCGTATATAGCCTCTGCCAGGGAAGTCCTACTCACTACCTTCTCGTGGCATTACTGTTGTTTACGAAAGTGAGAGGACGAAAAGCGAATGTCCGGCGCATTAACCGGGATGGTGGACACGGAAAGTCCACCTAGGGGAGTTAGAAAACCCTGATTCCAAACCAGTGGTGCACATGCGCTCCAGTATTCTGAATGAAAAAATGGCGCATGAAATTATTGTTAGTCACCGGCCACTATGGGACTACATCTCCTTACGATGCTCCACTGCCTTGTGGATCAGACCTTTAGGTCAAAGGCTCTGGCTGTGGCCTACTAAGAAAACCACCTGCTTCAGTTTAGGCACCTGGGTAGTATCACAGCTCTCACACAAATCAAATGAGATTTGTGTGGAGCATATGTATCTGGTTCCCCCCTTGTACCAATATTTATATATTTAAATAAATAAAAATAAAAACTCAAACCAATAAATGAATTAAGTCTGATCAATAATATGAACGACAGCTAACAATGAACAGTTTGTATCCCCTATAACCAATTAAAAGTAGTCAACTGAATTCATTATAAATATTTTCTATTTATTCTGGGCTAAAAATTCCTGATAGAATAATTCTGAGTTTTTCAACTTGTTTAAATTATATACTCAAAGTGTATACCCAAAGTGTACATCAACTTTCAGGTGCAGGTACATCCAGCTGACGAGTCCTGAATAGGACGAAACCCGCGTCCTGGATTCCACTGCTAGCCACTATCCATCTTTGCTTATATTATTATTATCATTCATTCTCCTATTTATTTTTTTGATATTTTCTCCTTATACTTTATGAAAGTCTTCTATTAGATTATTGTTTTACTACAATATCTCAATCAATTCATATTATCACTATTCAATGTTCAGCACAAACAACACCAAATCATATTTTAGATAAATTAATGCAATATTGTATTTGTATTATAAGTACAACATCAAAAATGTCTAGTGGACGTATATTACGTCCTAAAGAAGGTGATCAACTTATTTTATATTTACGTGATCTTAATCTACCTAAACCAGATAAATGGGGATCATGTCAATTAATTGCATTTCTACAACAAGTATGTTTCGATGTTTTTGTTTACAATAGTTATTGTTAGTGTTCCCATTACTTTTGTACAGTATAATAATCAGAAGGGGTTTTGTGGAGATTTCAGTATTTTCATAGTTTAAATCATGAGTCAGTTGAAGCTAGACCCCCATGGAAAACCTGGAAGCACTGAACGGCCGTTTCGTCCTATTATGGGACTCTTTAGCAGTGCGTATTCACGATTCCGCTTCGTGAGATTCGAACCCAGGACCTACCAGTCTCTCGCCAGAGCACTTAACCGATAGACCACTGAACCGGTATCCAACAGTATGATGACTTTTATTACACAAGAAATATAAATGACATCTTCAACCTCAAACAAAATCGAGGATTTTCATATAACTGACCTTATATTGCCTACGTATGTTTATAAATTTTGATATTAAATGGTTGAAGACAGTTGATAAAAGTCGCTGAAGTAAGGTTTTGCATTAAATGTGACTGTAAAGAAAAAAACTCTCTATAAAATCCAAACATGAATCATCAATAGGCCACAATGAGATTCATTTCAAAGATATGGCATCTGTTCGTGAATAGATTGTTTGTGGAGTTGAGCTATGCTTATGAATGCCAACTACCTAATTTTGGGATTTTACAATAATCATAATCCATGGCTGAAAGACATTGGCAGTCTTAAAAATGTTCATATATTTGTTCTTTATTTTCCACTAAATCATTACTTCATTAGTATTTCATAATTTTCATATTGACAATTCATTCATTCTTTCTTAACTATATGCTCTATGTTCAATCTTCCTTACACTGGGGTAAGATAAAATGTGAAACAATTGACATAGATGAACTAAGGGTTGCTGACCTAATCCCGAACTCTCCACCTTTGCTCGGACTTGTGACTGGCAGTAATTCTTGAAGAGCTACAGCTAGAAAACTATTACAACCATCATCGAAAAAGTATAAGTATTTATAAACAATTGTTTACGCGAGATACTCATTGTCTGTTGGTCGGATTCCTTCAACAACAGCCTAATGTGGAAGAGAGAAAACCAGCTTCCAAATGAAGAGTAAATTAGGAAAAGATGCTGGAGGTGAACAGGATATACATTACGAAAATAACCAAACTGCATCACCAGGTAAACGTTAACTTGCAATCCTGAAGGGAAACGGAAAAGAGCAAGGCCAGTAAACACACGGAACCGATAGTTGGAATCAGACATCGAAAAGAATGAATACCAATTGGAAACCACAGTGAAAAATTGCCCAGGATAGAGTTTGATGGAGAATCGTGGTCTGCCGCTTATGCTCTTCCACGAAGAGTAACAGGTGCAAGTAAGTAAGTAAGTAAATAAGTATACGTTCAAGTACTGGTTGGAGGTTATTTGGAGTTAGAATCCGAATAATAAAAGATGAACGATGTATTAATTTGTTATTCTTATTCTCTTTGTTCATCTATGTCAATTGTTTCACATCATATCTTACCTCAATGCTAACTTTCAATATATATATATATATATATAATTCTGAATCAATGCTTCTTTTGGTCTTATTCAAATTCGTAAAGGCAACCAATTGCATAAAGTTTCTGAAGAGTTGCCTCGATGTTCATTTTTTTCATATCACTTAATCAGCTAATGACAATCCATTTCAGGAGAGACAGTCAGTTTGCTTGTCTAATTGATTGCTCAAGTCGGCTTAATATACTCTTAAATTACTCTAAACTTATTATCCATTTTCATTTTTATATTTTTGTTCTCATCTCCTATTCACAGATACTTACTTATCAAGGATATTATGATCCAACCAGTTTAGAATTTATTAGTATTGAAGGAATTCAGTTTGTTGGCAGTTTTACACCATCTACCACATCAATAGGACTTGGACGTTATTCCTTATCGAAGAGATTCACATCGGCTTTACGTTTAACTGTGATAAACTATCCTGATAAAGATCAGTTGGTTAATATATATACTTGTCTATTACAAGCTACCATTGTTTCTAAATTACAAGCAAATAACCAATCATTTGGTACAAAACAATTAAGTCATGATAATGGGATGAAACATAGTACTCATAAAACAATGATTAATACAGCTAGAATACATAATATGTCTACTATAATGATTCAACTATTATCTGAACTACAACACAATTTTCGCGCTGATGAATATGCTCATTGTGTATTTACACCTCATTTATTAACTCAATGGGTAACTGGATTATTACGCTATGATTTAAATATATCAGTCAATTACATTTGGGCAGTATTCGGTTATGAAGCAAAACGTTTATTTCGTGACTGTTTGCCCGGTGAAAATGCACGTCATCAATTCGATGTATTATTCAATAAACTTTTATGCAACTGTTTGAATGAATTATCAAATGAAAAATGTGATGAAGTACAAATCACCCTAAAGCTAGCTACGGAGGATTTCGAATTAGTTGAAAAAGAAGAACGAATTAAACAATTTGACAATGATGATGATGATCTTCTTAAAAGCTCCATGTGTTGGTTTGTCACATGGAGTGGGAAGCACCAATTACCACCAGGTAGCCCAATGTCATTATATGGCCGACCACTAGGATCTATAACTTATACACAAATGAAAGAAACAGTCTTGAAAGGGTTAAAACAATTAGCCAGAGAGAAATCTCCTCAAGCTGAAAACTTAGTATTATTCCCAGATTTCATTGATTATATATGTCGTATTGATCGTGTGCTTAGTCGTCCATCAGGTTCATTATTACTAGCCGGTAGATCTGGTATAGGCCGTAGATCTGCTCTTAATGTAGTCGCCCATATACATCAGTTGAATGTTTTTCGTTTACACACTGGTCGTGATTATCAAATGCGTCAATTTATTACTGATATGAAAACAGTATGCCAAGTAGCAGGTATTGAAAACCAGCCAACATTGTTAATTATTGAAGATTATCAATTGAAAAGTGAATACTTCTTAGAAATTATTAATAGTCTTTTGGCGTGTGGTGAAGCAAGTGGTTTAATTAGTGCTGATGAATTAGAAACACTTATGTCTAGTGTTGCATCAAAAAGTGGAGTGAATTTCAAAGAACAAGCAGCTGAAGCTGGGCATCGTGGACCATTGACTGCTTTCTTTGCTGAACGTATTCATAAGAATCTCCATTTTGCCATTATTCTAGATATAGATGATTATGAATTATTCAGTAATTGGTTACAGTCAAATCCTTCATTTTATAAATATTGTTCTGTTCAATGGATGGATTGTTGGTCTAAATTTAGTTTACTTCAAATTCCCAAATTATTGATACCTAAATCTTGTATACCGAATAACACAAATAGTTTTATCCAGGCTTGTGTCAACATACATAATTCAGCTCCTTATCCTCATATGATGACGCCCACACCACGTCACTTTATTTCATTATGCACTAATTATACCCGAGTGGAACAAAATCATCGACAAAAATTACAATCAGAAGTTAAACGACTAAAAAGTGGTTTAATTAAGTTGACAGAAGCACGTGAACGTGTGACACAATTAAAAAAGCATGCAGTTGAACAAGGTGAACTGCTGGTTGAAAAACAAACTGAAGCTGACAAAGCTTTAGAACAAATAAGCGCTGCAATACAGGTATAGATAATAAGATATTTGCCTTTTTTGTTATTTCTCTGCACTCTACTTACAAACTTATAATAGTAGTTAAAAAAATAATTCATAAATTAAATGAGATATACAGCTGATAGACCTAATGAAAGACACTCTTAAAGCATACATATGTACCTTAATATGATGGAAATCTGTAAGTAGTTTTAAAAAAACTTTGGGGATACATCACATGTGCTCTGGCTATACCTAGACAATAGTAAGAAGGTAAGGTTTCAGAAAAACAATCTTGAGAAATATTTCTAGATATTAGGAAGTAAATAACATTCGTCTATCATGTAAAGCCCTTAACCAAACTTAATAATGAATTGTCGTCTTCCTAGTGAAGTTGCCTATTAATTATTCAGATTTTTTGAGAATAGCAGAACGACAACTATTAAACATATGGTGGGGAGATAATATTTAATTCGTTTTCCACAGTCATATGTTCTGAGGACCAACCTGATTTTTATTCAATAATTGATGTCACTATATCACTGAAATATCCTGTACATATTTACGTTCAGTTCATTATTCAATAAGGCAAAGTTCAGTGTCTTTTCAGAATCCTGTGGTATTTGTTCAGTTACAAACTTTCAAACTAGGAAGAAAGGTTCTGGATTCGTCAACTTTTCTGATTGAGAAGCGACAAAATAAAAATAATTGTAACACTTGATTTTTAATTTTCCTGAGAACTATTTCTAACATATCTGGGGGAAATTTACCTAACGGCGATAATTGTAGACTTTCTTTAGGTTCATTAATAAGTATTTTAACTTTTACTAGTAAGTAATCATAACCAATCGTCGAGAAATGGGCTACACAGTTTCTGAAATTTATTGACAATATTGAGTTGTAGAATAGATGGATTATGGCTAACAGCGGAATTCAAAACCTATGTTCCTTCCTATTTCGGAATTGTTACAATATATGTACCTGCAACTCAGTGTCCTTATTTACATTGAGAGTCAAAACTTCCTAATACTTAAAACTATGTAAAAGTATGTGAGATACATGTTTACCCCCCTTTTGGTCATTTCCTTTAGACAAATTGTACACAGTGATACTGTGACTGAAGCTCTCTTATACAAAGTTGTATATCGTAATATTATGTTTCATTTTTAGGGTGCAGCTGAACAACGTTCAGAAATGGAGAAATTACAAAGTCGGACAACAGATGAATCTACTCGTTTGGAACGTCGAAAATTAGAAATTGATGCTGAACTCAATGAAATTGAACCATTAGTTCATCAAGCTAGATCTGCTGTTGGAAATATTAAGTCAGAAGCTTTGTCTGAAATTCGTGCATTACGTGCACCACCGGATATTATACGTGATATATTAGAAGGTGTTTTATTACTTATGGGCATACGTGATACATCATGGGTTAGTATGCGTGGATTTTTAGCTAAAAGAGGAGTTCAAGAAGAGATTTTGAATTTTGATGCTAGAAAAATTACACCAGATTTACGTCTTAGTGTTGAGGAGTTGTTAGCAAAAAACCAAGAATCATTTGATCCAAGGGTAAATATATATAAAAATGTTTTTTTATTGTGTCTTGAAACACTAATCGATATTACATGTTAAATTCACTAATCAGAATCATAGTTCTAATTTTGTCTATTCCGCTTCTACTATTTCTCCTTTAACCTATTGTCCAAGATCTGACAATTATACTGTTATATCGTATGCCCTGAGCAGTCTTGGGTGCTGTTCGGTCCTTCCTATCTGTCTAGCCCAGCCAGCTGAGTCCAGAACACAAATAACAGCCTCAGCAATATGAATCATTATTTACAAACACACTGGGTTTTTATACAAACCAAAGTAATCAATAAACTGATTATAACTCAAGAATCGTATGATCATAAATCAAAGATCAAAATAAAGCTCATGATAAGAGAAAACGAATATGAATAATTTAGTTACGTAACAACTGTACAATAAGAAATAGGCATAATACATTGGTCGATAATAGACCTCAGATTTACGATTCATAATTCACCAGGGGATATAACACCTCCCCTTTTTGAGAAATCCGGAGTTGACATCCGGATTTTTAATTTCTCGAATTCATCCCCCCCCCCCACGAAAGACTGTTGGATCCTCATGAACCCAAGTTACCATTATTGTGACATTATTTAAAACATATTCGTCGTATTTAACAGAAAATCCACCAGAACTGATTATATCGTGAGGATCGACGACATTCGATTTGAGGTCACCGGCGTCTGATTCTTTTGAAACACTTTCCTTGAGTTTACTCGGAACCTCATTAGTAGATAATGAATCATTAGGATAATCAGTATCTATGAAATTTGTATTGGATTCTTGATTATCATTTAATGCATCCGATATTTTTCTCCCATTTTTATAAGAGATTTGAACTGGAACATATGAATCAGTAAAATAATCGGGATCTGGCAGAACAATTAGATAATTTTGATCATTAGATTCATTAGAAAAATTTTCCGTATCATGAATAATTTCATTTGGCGCCTCTGCATTCAATATACTGCTCGATTTGCTTCCCATTTCTTCGTGGGCGGGTACTGCAGCAATTTCATGAGCATTTGACATGGCATCATGTTGCTGAGAGCTGGGAGCATCACTGTTCGGACCTGCTAATTCAGGGATAGTGGTGTTTGAATCCACTACCGGGCACGTTTCTGAAACAGGCAGCACCGGACTACTGGGCTGATCATGTAGGACTGTTACTGCTGCATCTAAATTACTGTTTTTCGCGGATTCATAGAGGCTTTCCTCTGCATATTCATTTGTTCTGTAATCGACTTCCAGTTCTATACGCAATTTAGAAATCAATGCGTCAACTTCCGTTGCACCCCCAAAGCATGGGTGATTCAGCAGCGTCGCGTGTAACTTGTCAATGAAATCCAACTGACTCTTTTTAAAACGCTGCTCTTGTCTCTGAATTAGCAACTGAAATTGATCGGAAGTTAAAGCCTTTTTTTTACCCTGTCGTCAGTTGTTATATCGTATGGGCCCGTAATTTATATGAACGCCAATTTAGAGAGGAGTGAATTTATTGATCGGCCGCAAATGATGATTGAAATCGTACGAGCAGTCTTGATTGCTGTATTTTTTTTCCAGAATCCCCGTCGAAAACTGTATACTTTTTTCTTTTGCGTACCAAAATCCCCGTCGCCACTGTTATATCGTATGCCCTGAGCAGTCTTGGGTGCTGTTCGGTCCTTCCTATCTGTCTAGCCCAGCCAGCTGAGTCCAGAACACAAATAACAGCCTCAGCAATATGAATCATTATTTACAAACACACTGGGTTTTTATACAAACCAAAGTAATCAATAAACTGATTATAACTCAAGAATCGTATGATCATAAATCAAAGATCAAAATAAAGCTCATGATAAGAGAAAACGAATATGAATAATTTAGTTACGTAACAACTGTACAATAAGAAATAGGCATAATACATTGGTCGATAATAGACCTCAGATTTACGATTCATAATTCACCAGGGGATATAACATATACTCTTAACGAACACCATTGATCGCAAGCCAGTGCAGCTAGAATCTTATTTCCCATTATTCCCAAGCTTTTCGAGATGGTTTGCCTTGAGTCCAAAGTGTCAGAAGCCAGTTCCTATCATCAGCATGCTTCAAACATATGTAGGTTTATATACAGACATACTGGACTACATCACACCAGAATATGAAAAAAAATCATTATACACAAACGAGCCCCAAAGAGCTGTCAATAGGAAAAGCTATAAATAATCGATTGGCAATAAAATATGAATGATCAGTAGTACAATGATAGTCAATAAGTTAAACGAAAACTTATGATAAACAGAAAATACATACATAGTAATCTAGTTACTTAGTGATTACGTAACAAAAATATAGATAATGATCAATCCAAAAACCAACTCTAACTTTCACAATATCCTTACCATCATTATGCTGTTATCTTTGGTTAATATAAACGGCTGTTTGATATACACGATAGATTATGTACATTTTTAGGTACATATAATTGACTAAATAAAATATAGTTTTTTATTTTGTCAGACATTTTCATATTAGATACTTACTTACTTACTTACGCCTGTTACTCCCAATGGAGCAAAGGCCGCCGACCAGCTTTCTCCAACCCACTATGTCCTGGGCTTCCTTTTCTAGTTCTAGCCAGTTCTTGTTCATTCTTCTCATGTCTGTCTCTATTTCTCGGCGTAATGTGTTCTTTTGTCTTCCTCTTCTCCGTTGACCTTCAGGATTCCATGTGAGGGCTTGTCTTGTGACGCAATTAGCTGATTTCCTCAGGGTGTGCCCAATCCACTTCCAGCGCTTCTTCCTGATTTCTTCCTCTGCTGGAATCTGGTTTGTTCTCTCCCACAGTAGAATGTTGCTGACATTGTCTGGCCATCGGATCCGAAGTATTTTGCGTAGACAGCTGTTGATGAACACTTGTATCTTCTGGATAATAGCTTTCGTAGTTCTCCACGTCTCCGCCCCATACAGTAGAACTGTCTTCACATTTGTATTGAAAATTCTAACCTTGGTGTTGGTTGACAATTGTTTTGAGCTCCAGATGCTTTTCAGTTGTAGGTATGCTGCTCTTGCTTTGCCGATCCACGACCTCACATCTGCATCTGATCCACCGTGTTCATCAATCATGCTGCCCAGATATGTAAAGGTTTCCACATCCTCCAAAGCTTCTCCGTCAAGTGTAATTCGATTGGTGCATATTGTATTGTATCGGAGAGTCTTGCTTTTCTCTTTGTTTATATTGAGACCTACTGCTGCTGAGGCTGCTGCTACACTGGTCGTTTTCTCCTGCATTTGTTGTTGCGTTTGTGATAGAAGAGCCAGATCATCCGCGAAGTCTAAATCGTCAAGCTGCATCCTGCCTGTCCACTGTATCCCGTGATTTCCTCCAGATGTTGACGTCTTCATGATCTTTATGATATTAGATACAGAATAGTTGAATTCATAAGTATATGAATTCATGTACTATTAAAATTAGTACAATCTCCACAAGAAAACCCATTCTGATTATAAACACCATATGCTCACTAGTAACTGGCTCCAAGATAATTTCCTGGAGTTCTAGTAGGAAGCTGTAACCAGTGGAATCCAATCCGTGTCGGGTAGAGACAGGTATCTACTTAAGAAAATGGATGAGTCGTTTCCCAGCCATTGATGGATCAATGGGAGTTAGACATTAACACCATCGAATACCGGCTTAGTGGTCTAAAAGTTAGGCATTTGTGCACGAGATCAAAGATCCTGGGTTTGGGTCCTGCATGCGTGATAGTGGGTGCGGATTGCTGAGGAGTCCCGTACTAGAACGAAACGGCCATACATTACTTCCAGGTTTTCAACGGCGGTCTAGCTTACATCGACCTATGAATTCAACTATTAAAATTACTACAATCTCTACAAGAAAACCCTATTCAGATACAAAATAATCAATTTTCCAGTAGTAGATAAATTGCTCCTTTTAACAGACTACTGAACTTATCAGTCTGAATAAAATGGATTATCTAAAAACCCAAGAGATATCCAAATGAATTCGTGACAAATGAATGATTGATCTTCTGTGATATCAAATTATTACACTGATAAATTTATTCTTATGTATATATAAAGGAGGTTTGGACCAATCTTAGTTCTTTCCTGATTGGATCAATTCCTAATCTTTTTGTGCTATAAGCTTGATTGCTATCTGAATGTATAAAAAGCGTGTATGCAATTATCATTTTCTGAACTATTTAACAAATGATTAGATTTTAGGATTTAAAGTTTTAACTTACTTTATTAATAGTCAACTGAAAACTGTCATTCACTATGATATACATTGATAAGTCAGATTAGAATGATCAACAATTGACTCAATGCATGAATTAATCATCCTCAACATTCAATCTAATTCAACTTAAGTAACAATAAGTCAACTTATAAATCAAGTGTGCCTCGTTTGAAATGGGCTATTATTATAGACTAATAATTAGCTGGATAATCTTGAACAAACTAGAAGTACTTTCCAGCTGGTTAGGTTTATGACCTCTGAGCAACGGATATCCATGACCCCACATAGTATCGAACTCATGGCTACTATGGGGTTTGAAGATAGTGATTTCAATAATGTGTAGATTCGTGAGTGTGGACATTGAATGCCCCAATGGTAGGAATGGACAGCTGTCTAGTGTTGGATAGTTTTCGATCATTACCAAACTAATCTCAGCTCTTTGTATGAATTTATCTAAAATATATGCTTCTAAAATTTTTCAGCATAATTCGGCCTATTTTATATACTTACCTATTTACGCCTGTTACCCCTCGTGGAGGAGAATGGGCCACTCACCACCATTCTCCACTCAACTCTGTCCTGGGCAATCCTTTCCAGTTCTTTCCAGTTAACATACATCCTTTTCATATCTGCTTCTATTTCCGGGCGTAATGTGTTCTTTGGCCTTCCTCTTTTGCGCTTCCCTTCTGGATTCCATGTTAGGGATTGCCTTGTAATACACATTGGTGATTTCCTTAATGTATGTCCTATCCACTTCCAACATCTTTTCCTAATTTCCTCGTCAGCTGAAAGCTGGTTTGTCTTCTCCCATGAAACGCTGTTGCTGATAGTATCCGGCCAGTGAATGTTGAGTATTTTGCGTAAACAAATGTTCATAAATACTTATACCTATTTTATATATTAAAAATGTTTTAATTTCGTTGCAGATTCATTATAGATTTTTTGCCAGATCTGAATTGAAGTGATTTGTTTATCGATTCATTTTTATATTTGTTGAAATAGGTTGCTAAACGTGCGTCTGTTGCAGCTGCTCCTTTAGCTACATGGGTTCGTGCTAATGTACAATATGCTAAAGTGTTGGAACGTATTGCTCCGTTAGAAAAAGAGCATGCTAAATTAAAACAATCATTAATCCAAGCTGAAAATTCATTGACAAATTTAACGAAAGGTTTAAGTAATGTAGATTCTAACGTGGCTAATCTACGGACTATTTTTGAAAAGCGTACATCTGAAGCAGCAAATTTAAAAATGGAGCTTGAAAAAACACGTGAAACATTGTTGTCAGCTGAAACATTAGTAGGTGAATTAGAAAGTGAGCATACACGTTGGGAGAATCAGGTAAATATGATACAATCTGAAATTTTATTGCCGAACATTCTACAATTAATTTTGATCATACAAATTAATCAAAATTGATCGGAAAAGTCACTTAAATTCTTGGTGCATATTTCAAACCAGGATATTGACAATCGTTTGTATAATAGTTAGTTTTATTTATGGGAAACATCCCTTAAGGTTTATGGTAAAGGTCTAAAACTACAGTTTATAGCCAAGATTATGGTTAGGATCAGGGGTAAGATAAAAATTCTGGTGAGAGTCCTGCCACCCTATATGAATAGACTAACCTTAAGTTCTAACACTGACCTCAACGGTTAAAAACCTATAGTCTCCATCGTATGACTACTTTATCATCGAGTGATAATATTTATGAAAAATGTCCCAATTAACTTCGTATATATTTATCACATAATCTAAGTTTGTGAATAACGGAATAAAACGAGTCAAATAGAAGGATGATCTTGATCATACATATTTCACACATCCGTTAATCCAGACAGATAATAAGAGAAAAGAAGCGAAGAAGGTAAAAGTGCCTATTCAACTTAATTAAAGCAATCCTCAGGATTTATAGGTACGATAGATACAAGCAAGTATGTAGACACATACGGATAAAAGTATACTATATTGACTACCCCGAATGAACCAATCAAAGTTAAGGTAGCCCCTTATATAACTTTTTTACCGGAAATTAAAAGGTTAGTGCTAGATAACTTGTGCGTTGAGATTGATAAAGTAAAAATTCACAATATTTGGTTATTAAGATGCTTGTAATTGATAAAAAAATTATCTACTATGCAGCCAAATAGTGAATATGATATGGTGCTCAAACTAGAATACAAGAGGTACCTGTTCCTAGTGCAGATTGTATGTTCACATACCTGATGTGATCTAATTCACAGTCAAATGTATTTCTGTAGCTATATAGTATTCTCTCATTCTAATTCCTAACTCCAAATTTCAATCCCAAAATTATTAAGTTTGTTAATAAAAGTGTGACAATGCATCATTATAATATAACTGATGCTGGTTCATTCATGATGAATACGCTAAACCTAATACGTAATCCTAACACATAATTTTAATTAATTTCTTACTATCTAGCATTAACTTCCTTGATATGTGATTGATGTCTATTGGTGATGAAAAGTGTATAGGGTTATAATCTTAACTCCCAACAATAACCCAACTCTTGATATATAGACTTGACCTTTATTCTTTACGACAAGGAATAATTTAACATGTAATGGATTCACAAAATTGAGCGACACATCCACCAGTGTCTTCAGCGAGTTACTATTTCACAACAGACCTGGTTGAACTCCACTGGTCACTGCTTCTCACTACAACTCCAGGAAATACTTATCATATTTAAATCATTATTCCGCAGTAATTTTATTTCTAATTGCTGAATAACAAGTCAGTGTTTTCTGATTAGTTGTTAGGTTGCTCAGGGTCGTTAGTATAGTATACTTTCACCAAATCAGCACTATTACACATACATAATCAAGGTTACGTTTATAGATGACAGGATAACTTATCATTACAAAAGTTAGGATAAATCAGATATATGTGTAATAAAGTGTAGAAGCTATTACAGATCTATATTTAACTTAGGAAAATTCGTCAGTAATGTAAACATGATCTACTTTGTAGAATCTTTTTTTTTGTCATAAATCATTTATATTCGCATCTTCTATTTTATGAATAATCGTAAGGGGTCAAAAAATGTCTCAAGATCATTTTAGATATCTTTGGCGTTCAGCCCTGTACCTAAGTTTAGTCTGTTTCATTTTAAAACGTTCACATAAATATGGACGAAGAAGATTCTTCTTTCTATAAATTTGCATCAAACTCTACTCAGTCATGAGTTCATATCTAGGATCTAAAGAATACTCAAATTTAAGCTAAATGGACTTTAAGAATAAAAGATTGTCAGCACAATCAGCTTTCTATTATTTTACAATATTGAAATGAATACTATGTAACATCTAATTGAATAAGTTTGTGTAGGTCAAATAAAATTTCTTAATTATTGGTCGAAATATATATAGACAACGAAGTTTAGGGGAAATAATTACAAACTGAATAACTATATTCAATATTCAGTCTGAGATTATGTAATCCATGAAATAGATGTTATAAAAGTAGGATGAGTACTAAATGAATTTGTAGATTGTATTCATCACAGATTAATGTTATCTGAGATACTATCGAAACCAGACAACTGTTTTTTTCTCGTGTTGAACGTCTCAGTAGTGAGCACCTGCTACCTCTCCGGGAATCGATTCCAGAATCTCCAGGTCTAACGAAATCACTGGATTTTATTGATTTTATTGATCCTTGATTTCAATGATTCGATCTCTAGTAGTAATCCATAATAAAAGTTAACTTCAACTTAAATTAATCTAAACATACCTGAAGACCAAAGTGATATAATTTCAAGAAGAATCATATATATCAAATACCATTAGCATCTATGAGATATATATCAAACATAGAATGCACCCTTCTCTTTATCATTCATTTCATTAGTAAATGTGGTTTATTATACTGTTCATTACCTCTGACATCCAAGAAGCAAGGATTACCTACTGGTCGCATTTTCATTGTTTATTAATAGAAAAAATATATAATTTATTATTTTGGTATAATTAATCTTCTGCAGATCAATGAAATAACTATACAGTTAGCTAGTCTACCACCTTTGGCCCTGATAGCATCTGCATTCATAACCTATTTATCAGCTTGTCCTGAAGATGTACGTCGACAACAAATTACAAACTGGATTAAAGATTTAACTAATCTTGGTATATTGCCAACATCTTTATCTTCTGAAATAAACAATGATCGTACATCAAGTCAAGATTTTGATTTACGTCGGTTTTTATCTACTGAACATGAGCAGTTATTATGGTATAGTCAAGGTCTACCGTCAGATCAGTTATCAGGGGAAAATGCTGTTACTATTGTACATGTAAGTCAACAATTTAGATGGTCATATACACATTTCACTGTACAGCTCCTTTGATGTCTAAGTGCCCATTTGACTAAGGTATGATCGAAGGATAATGTTGTTAATGATATATATATACTACTTATTTTTGTGTATACTATGTCAACAAATCACTCTAAGACGGCTTAGATAATTAAAGTCAAACATAAATTGTATCTAAGTTACTTATATTTAAAACATGTTACTATTGAACAGTAAATATGCAAGAGCTTGTGTAAAGCATTGGAATTCGGAAAAAAAAACACCGGCTCAGCAAATAATGAGATGATTCAGTTTTTGTAAGTGTGAAAAAGATACCAGTAAGTATGTAGGTACATAGGCACTATCGTATATACATACTTGAGTTTACTCGTGAGTAATTTACAAGGTCAAACATATATATGATAGAATAACTGGGAAGATTATAATAATCTGTGTCCGAAAGTTTACTGTTATGTCTTCATGGTTAATTTCTGTACTTTAAAATGATGGTGATTTCATGTTATTAATGGAAATGATCACTGTTAACAATTCTTAGTTTATTATGATTTGACAGGTTACAGACAATAGTATAATAGACATTCATTTCCATAATTATTACAAACGAAAAGACCTCGAAGGTTTTCTAAATATGCTTATTATTACTCTCAAGAATGCTAGAACTTTAGATGACAGTCTAAATAACGACTTATTTAGTGTCAAATAATAATAATAATAATCAAAAATCAAGTAATCAAGTTTCATCTTATAATATTTTAAAGGTTCACAGCACCATCCCAGGAGTTAAACACTGAACTATCAAACGTCACTGTGAATGATTTATATCCTGGTAATTTAGTTAATATCCAGCGGAAATTTGGAGAAGTCTATCCTCAAATTATGTGACTGCTCTGAAATTCAATTTATTTAAATCTTTGATAACAAGCTTGATAATCTGAGTATCAGCTGTTTTCAAACATCTTGAATCCATTGATAAGTTACGTTGGCATGAGTACTAGAAGTAAACTATAATTTTATCAAGGTTACAGATACGTGGTTGGTGACAAACGTCGAGACAACACAGTACCTAAATCTATATAACTGATTCGTAAATGTTAAGCGTCGTATATTATAGTAATATTCTTTTATCTTCTTTAAAATAGTTTAATATCCTGGAATCTTAAATTCCCTTGGTATTGTTTGGTTGAATCTTCTCATTGATGTTTAGGACTGCAATTGATCAGTCTCTTATTAGCATATGTGCATACTGTGTGTATTGCTTCGATACAGCCTCAATTCACAAGCATTATAAGCGAAGATAGATAGTGACTAGCAGTGGAATCCAGTTTGACACGCGTTTCTTCTTATTTGGGACTCGTCAGCTAGTTGTACCTGTATCTCAGAGTTGATGTTCACTCTAGGACTCGAACCCAATTCCTTTCGCTTCAAACGCCATCACGTTATCCACTTATCTACTGAGTCCTGATAACCATCTGCTTGTGCAATGGGTTAAAGTTTAAATTTACTTGGTATTTGTTTACTTGGATTCCACCGCTAGACACTATCCACCTTTGCTTAGAATGCTAGAATCATGTTTGTTTCTAATATGTAAAATTTTCAGTACATTGGGGAGCCAAAAATATTGTGCCATAGATGTTGGGGTGAATAATAATGTCAATCAATAGAAAAGATAAAGATCACATAATCAGTATACAAGTAAACAAGAACGTTATTCATTCAAAGGTATACTTCAGTCAGGAGAAGCTTCTTTTAGCTAAGAAGATTCATTTTACCATTATGAATTATGTAATAGAAAACTGCATTAGGATAACCATATTCTTTTCTAAGCCATAAATAATAATATCTCAAGTCGTTGATTTGTAGAAGATCGTACTCAGTAAGAGGAATCAGACCTACGATTGTCAGCCCTATATAACAATCTTTTATATCATGGCAACATTATAACAAAGAATAGTATTGTACTATTTCAATTAGTTTTATATTTCTTAAGATTTCTGTGTACACTTACGTATTTTCTTGTTAATTTTTTCAGACTACAATGTGTCCATTCATTATTGATCCATCATCCAGAGCATTAAACTGGTTAAAAGTTTATTTGAAAGATCAACGTTTAGAAGTTGTAAATCAACAAGTAAGCTATTTCAAACATAATATTAAATGAGTAATTTTTACCAGAAGGGAGTTTTGTGGAGGTTTTAGTAATTTTATATAGTTGAGATCATTAGTCAATTGAAGCTAGATCACCATGGAAAACCTAGAAGCACTGGACGGCTGTTTCGTTCTATTGTGGGGCTCCTCAGCAGTGCGCATCCACGATCCCGCCTCTTGAGACTCGAACCCAGGACCTATCACTCTCGCGACAAGAATAGAAATTTTAGGTATAGCTAAGGAAATTGTATATAGATGTATTTTATAACTTTATGCTTAATAAACTGTGCATCACATTTTTTTCTATATTATATATTATACAAAGATTATTAATTAATAAACACTGTTAAAATTCACTTGATATCGTTTGTTTGAATCGTCCCATTGAAGCGAAAGGTACTGGGTTCGAGTCCCAGAGTGAGCATCAACTCTGAGATGCATGTACATCCAGCTGACGAGTCCCGAATAGGACGAAACCCGTGTCAAACTGGACCACATACCTAGTCACTATCCATCTTTGCTTATACTGTTGAAATTCTTTATTAATTCTCTTTATAACATGTAATAGTAATAATCAAGGTAAGACTGCGTCTATGTAACTCTATCTAAAATCATTTTGTACAAAGTTGGAATTATGAATATTTAATTCTATCATCATTTGGTGTTTGTTTTCTTGTTTAGAGTCCAAATTTTATAACAACATTAGAATTAGCTGTTCGATTTGGAAAATGTTTAATTGTACAAGAAGTTGATGAAATTGAACCAATACTTATGCCATTATTATTAAAAGATTTAATTATACAAGGTTAGTAAATACGTAATAATAATAATGACAATAATAGATTTAAAATCCATTTAGTATTGTTTGTTTAAATCTTCCCATTGATGTGTTAAGACTGCAACTGGTCAGTCTCTAATTGGCATATGTGCATACTGTGCTTATTGCCTCGATATAGCTCCATTTCAAAAGCATTGTAAGCAAAGATGGATAATGGCTAGCAGTGGAATCCAGGACACGCGTTTAGTTCTATCAGGACTCAGTAGCTATGTGGATAACGTGGTGCCGTTTGAAGCGGAAGGTACTGGGTTGGAGTCCTAGAGTGAACATCAACTCTGAGATACAGGTACATCTAGCTGACGAGTCCCAAATAGGACTAAACGCGCATCCTGGATTTCATTGCTAGCCACTATCCATCTCTGCTTACCATGCTTGTGAATTAAGACTACACCGACACAATCCGCACATTATGCACATATGCCAATAAGAGACTGATTAATTGCAGTTCTAAACATCAATGAGAAGATTCAATTAAACCATACCAAGGGAATTTAAATCAAACAATGGTTGATGAACATATTACTTTTTATATGATTTATATACAGTTAGATTTGTCTTAATTGAGCTGAGTTGCATTTAACATTAATAATTCTATAGCTTAGTTTGTGAACACATATTTACACAATTATGCAATTAAAAATCTATAATCCTTCTCAAGATATGAATACATTTCAAATACAATTGGAAAAAGAATTAGCTTCATATGTCATCCACACTCCAATTAAATAAGCAATTGCTCGCAATTTCATTGACCAGTTTTGACCAGTGACACGCCACGGCTGGCAGCGATTAATCTTTAGTTATTTCAATGATTATGTTAATTCTTATTGATCCAGAACAATCCCTTCTTTTATCCTGAGTAATGAGTCCGAATAAGAGAACGTAGCGGACAATCAAGTTTCTATTGTATTTGTTTCAAGCACTCATGAGTTTGCACACATGATTTAGTAGGTCACAACACAAATAAATTAAGAATCATACATTACACCCAATCAGTTGATATTGGACAAAGAATGAAACTAAAGGTAAATAATTAGTTAATAATAACAAACTGAATAATAAAACGTTTAAAAACAGCAGTTAATAGTTTCAACGGAAGCTCCCAACTCAGGGAATGTAAAAATAAAATAATCCAGTTCTTTTATACAATAAAAACATAAGCAGTAATAAATTCATTTAGCATTGTTTGTTTGAATCTTCCCATCGATGTGTTAGGACTGCAACTGGTCAGTCTCTAATTGGCATATGTGCATACTGTGCTTATTGCCTCGATGTAGCCTTAATTCACAAGCATGGTAAGCAGAGATGGATAATGGCTAGCGGTGGAATCCAGTTTGACATGCATTTCGTCCTATATGGGACTCGTCAACTGGATGTACCTGCATCTCAGAGTTGATGTTCATTCTTGAACTCAAACCCAGTACCTTTCGCTTTTTTGGGTTCGAGTCCCAGATTGAACATCAACTCTGAGATGCAGGTACATCCAGTTGACGAGTCCCAAATAGGACGAAATGCATGTCTAACTGGATTCCACTGCTAGCCACTATCTATGTAAGCAGTAATAGTCCGTTAAACAATTCCAAACGTTTTAACTTCAATAATCTCTCGTTAAGAATAACTCTTCATGAACAATCAAGTAATGGATATTTTAGTAGTGTCATATACACATCTGGTATTTTTTTGTTATCGGTAAACAATAAGACAAAACCATTTTATTGACAATATCGAATATCACATACAAGTCCGAAGATCATCACTTAAAGATTATCTGATCTATATAATTAAAGTCTTTGTCTTAAAATTTCCCGGTTCTCCACCAGTTTACCATGTACTAACAACAAGCATTATGTGGTACAGTGAACCCATCTCATTTTGTGCTTTCTTGATCTTTCACATATACACTGGTTTGCATAAATAAATAAGAAAAAAATTTGAGAGTGTAATTCTGTATAATTTTACATAATTAATCAATCCTCTCAACCAGAACATATTTCTTGAAAATAAACACATCAATCACATTTGAGATACTGTTTGAGAACAAGGAAGCAACATACATCTGTTTCATCCTAATATGAAACTTCTCAGAATTAAATACTTACAACCTAGTCATGGATCGAATCCATGATTTTCATATCTTCTGCGACAATTTCTTAATCATTGAATTAAATCATGAATCATTTGAAGCTAGACCACCATTGAAAATATGGAAGCACTAGATGGCTGTTTAGTCCTATTGTGAGACTCCTCAGCTGTGCGAATCGACAATCCCGCCTCGCAGGATTCGAACTCAGGACCTATCAGTCTCTCTCGCGAACGCTTAACCTCTAGATCACTGAGCCGTCATCCAAAGGTGTTAATGTCTAACTTCAACCGATCCATGAAATTGAGCGATGCATCCACCATTGTCTTCATTGAGTTGACATCTCACAACAGACCTAGTGGAACTCCACTGGTCACTGCTTCCCACTAGAACTCCAGGAAGTATCTCTTGGAGCCAGTCACTAGTGAGCATATGTTGCTGAGGAGTCCCACAATAGAACGAAATGGCCATCCAGTGCTTCCAGGTTTTCCATGATGGTCTAGCTTTAATTGACTCATGATCGCAACTATTAAAATTACTATAATATCCACAAAAACCCCCTTCTGACATTAAATTACAATCAATTTGTTATATATACTTGTGTTGAAACCAAATTATGATATTTGTAAAACTCATTTCATAAACAATTAATTACCTTGCAGAAGGGGGTTTTGTGGCGATTTTAGTAATTTTATATAGTTGAGTTCATGAGTCGATCGAAGCTAGATCACCATGGAAAACCTGAAAGCACTGGATGGCCGTTTTGTCCTATTGTGTGACTCCTCAACAGTGCGCATCCACGATCCCGCCCCTCGAGATTTGTGAATCTTAACTATATAAAATTAATTATCTACTTAATTTTGTTTTGTTTTGTTTTTGTTTTCTTATCCCTTCATCAGGATCACGAAATTTTATAAGAATTGGTGAAAAATTAATTGATTATCATCAAGAATTTCGTTTATTTCTATGTACACGTAAATTATTATATGGTCTAGATTATATACAACCAATTAGTGCTAATCCATTAGTTACTATAATAAATTTTATTACAACACAAACTGGTTTAATAGAACAATTATTAGAAATTACATTACAAAATGAATATCCCCAATTAGAAATTCAACGTCAACAATTAATTCATAATGAAGAGGAAATGAAAATGGAATTAGCTAAATTAGAAAATGATCTATTAGAGGTTAGGAATTGATTTAATTCTCCTTTCTATCTATATAAATTTTACACTTATGAATTGTTTTAGAATTATTCTTAATGTAGTGTGGGTTACTGATATCCACATAAGTAGTATATAACGATGGTCGGGCATTGAATATATTTCAGTAAAAGATCGATAAGGAGAGAACGGGAACGGCATGCAATTGGTACGAAAATGAATGAACAATTATAATCGGAGATTATGGACGGATATTTGCAGAAGAAACAGTCAAATTGAGACAATTGATTGTTATTTTGTAAATTAACTGTTGATTATATGGTTCTCATATTTTAATGAGATATTCTGTAATGTTGTGCTAAAATGCATTCGGTTGTCCCCACTTGTGTTCTTGTTCACTACAGTAAGAGTTTTAGTGTTGTTGTTTTCTTCCCACTGTTTATACTAAGGATTGTAAATAATCAGTTCTTACTGGAAAAATAAGCTACTTAAGAGGATGCTTCGATGTCGCAGATGCATTCAGGTTACGTTGTATCACAAATAGGTCGAAAGAGCGATCTCGGATTCCATCGATGATTATTGTTAAGTAACCACCAATCTAAATTCTAATTTGATTTATTCCGCATTTGCTATGCACTATATAGCTAGGGATCTCTGACTTTACCAATTACACACCCGACCAGCACTATTGAGCTTGAGTCAACAGCTATGTTCCTATTGGCCCGTTATTTGCAAGCCCCGATCTATTACCTTCCTCGATTCCAAAAGTTAACAATCAGCCTCGACCAGTACAAAAATTTCTTTCTGTTTGAAACTCGTCAGGTGGATCTATGTACATCTATGTTGATGCTCTCATTGGGACTCTGACCCAGTATCTTTAGCATCAAGCGTTGATACACCATACGCTCAGCTACTTAATCTCTAGCTTTTTCATTGGGTATAATCTTCACAATGATTATTAGAGGAGGTTCAACAACGAAATATCCTTCCTGAATCAGGATCCATCTATTCTAAGTATTTAAAGTGTTTCGGTGTTAACAGCTGATTACAATACCTGATAATTTCTCTCTCTACTCCTGATTATTATATATGTACAATGTAAAATTATCCTTCACGGACTTGGTATTCATAATGAAAAGACAGTTCAAGCTTTTATAGTATTTTTTTTCTTACATATTGATTATTATATTCATTCTTCTTGATTTCTTGTCAAATGGAACCTTTTCAATTAAATATATGAAAGGAATTATCAAATGCTCATGGTAATATATTAGAGAATAAAGAACTGTTATCATCATTGAATAAAACAAAGCAATCAAGTTTAGTTGTAACGAATTCACTGAAAGAATCTCTACGTTTACAGGCTGAACTGAACAAGGTAAGATTAACGTTCTCTAAAAATTAATACAATTCTATATATGATACAAGAATATTGAACATTGAGAAACTAAATGAGGTCATTCCATCTTTTCTTGTGCTTTATATCATTCACATACGGACTAGTTTGTATACATGAATAAAGTGCTTTACAATCGAAATTTTATGTACTACGTGAAAAATTCATTTAGCACACCAGTGAAAAACATCAATTATAAATGTATCCCACATATGTACAAGTTCAGTAACGTAGATGAATGAATTAAACTAAAGCGAAAGATCATGACCTAATCGAATATGTAAGAAACATATGAAACTTGTTACGGTTGCGGCAAACAAAAATGATGAAATTGACATGAGACGGTTACCCACTAAAAACAATGGAAGATGACGGAGCACTGTCGTGAATTGATTTAACTTAGACATTACCACCATCGAATCTCTACTCAGTGGTCTAGAATGTAAGCGTTCGCACGTGAAACCGAAGGTTTTGGGTTCAGTTCCAGCATGTGTGGTGGTGGTTGGGTACTGACGAGGAGTCTCATACTATGATGAAACGAATGTCCAGTACCTACATGTTTTCTTTTATGGTCTAACTTAAATTTCATTACATGATTTCGATGAAATTCGACAAATTTCACAACTGCATACTGAAAGTGATAGTAATTACCAAAAGAAGCCACTGATGAATTATTCATATTAGTAATGATATTAACATTACTAATCATAGTAACACAGGTAGAAGGTATGAGTGGACGGAAATAGTTGGATGTCTAAATTGATAAGGAGTTAAACATTCTATTGGATATTGTGAAAATAAAAAGACTAGTTATCATAACAGTAAATTAGAAATGAAATAAAAACTAGACTAGATTGAACAATGGAAATGTTGTGATAAAATACAGATGAAGTCAAACAAATGAAACCTGGAAAATAAATGAAGGGAAGTATGACAGTGACAAGTAAACCGCAAGCTCTTTTTGTACTGAGTTTTAGATAACCGATTGCCTCTGCTTTTGAGTACAGCAGAAGTGTGTCTTATTCTATCTATTTATTACTCAAAATACAATATCAAGATCTACTGAATTACCCATATTCAATATATGTTTTCTAGTACCACTGATAAACAACTTAGGGTTATTCAAGATAAAATTATTTCGAATATGTTCTGAAATTCTGTTAGACGATATCTCCTCTGTTCTTCCAACGTACGTGTTACACATGTTGCACAGAAAATGACAATTATGAAACTTCATTTATTTGTACAAATATGTATGAATGTGGATGAATTAGTAGAGCATATGATATGAAATGACTTTATTTCAGAATGTTCGTTATTCCTGATTTACAACAGTTCACTCTCTTGTTTGTAACAATAATAATTGTATTGAAAGACATTTTTATTATGTATTGACATTGACTAATGATCCACTAGAAACCAGAAAGCTCTGGACATCTATTTTGTTTAATATTGATTACATACGATCTCAGCGGGAACCAGGACTCAGGACCATCGTCTTTCGTGACGGGTATCATACGATTTATTGACTTGACTGTATGTCAACTAGTTGGTTATATTCCTTATTTTTCTTATTTTCGAGTAATTATCGATTATTGGCTAAGTTACATTAATTTAATTGAATGCTTTACAAATGAATGATAATTTCGTTATCCCAATATATTCATTCTGTTGAATGGTTGTTCTGTCTTGTGAAATTTGTTGTGGTTATGGTTTGGAAACTATATCTCACAAAAACGATAGTCACTTCGACAACCCTAGTTACTCGACTATTCGATTTTCTTCCTTAAAACATACTGAAGATGTGAAATGTAACTGGTAGATTGCGGCCCGAGAACACAATATCATGCTTGTTAGTAGATCCGAAAGTCTGAAATTTACTAGCACGTGATGTAATCGTGAAGTATGGAGAAGTTTTAAACCAGGACATAAAAGGGATTATGGATTCCTTGGTTTTCAGTATCACTCCTGTCGATGTTAGTTCATTATTCAAACCAGCGTTAAGTTGAATAATTCTCCACACAATCACATTAGTAATGTATTCTCTTTTTGTCTAAGAATGAGTAAGATCAAGTTTGTAATTATTCCTAAGGTGGCCAGTTTGTTACTCTTGACTTTTAGGATTAAGTTACATTTATTCTTCATCCTTTCATAAAATCGCTCATAAAATGCGGCCGAATAACTAATCATTACATTAATCGGTCAAAATTCAGCTAATTCACAACAAACTGACAAAATGCAAGCTAGAAAATTCTGTGATAAATTAACCCGACCGTTGCTGCTACCTTGACGTGATGGTCGAGCTTGTCTATCGTGATGAACCAATCGAGCTATACTGACTGGAACAATCATTCCTCAAGTTCCTACCATGACAGGCAGGTTGGTTGAAGAGCAGTAAAACTAAAAGCAGCAAACCCAAGGTCCGAAGGCGAAGTCCTACTGCTGACTGTACAGAGGTGTGACGGCAGTAAGGTGTTTCCTTCAGACAACCAGCATGACAGCGATGCTGCCTTCCCACAAGGAGGGGTAGGGTTAGAAAAGGTCGACCCTAAAAATGCACACCTCGTCTTATCCCATATATATCCTTCTCCGGTGGTAAGGTCCCAACAAGTACGGAGCTAACACAAAAATTACCCACAAAAAGGTCGTGTATCACCAACCTCAAGCAGTTGTCCCTTGGGCACTGCGGTCATGCTCTCAGGTCATTAAGACCACTTCTAACCCGATTTCGTTTTCAGGTACCTCTAGAAGAACCCTTCCACGGTGTGGGCAACCGGGAAGTGATAACTGCCCTCATACCTCTAACAGCACTCAAAGGATAAATTAAGTTACTTGTAGATTATATCAGTTACAATATGCAAATCTTTAACAATACTCTATTTTAATGTCAGATATTCCTTTTTTTAATCTTCGATACATTTCATAAAGGAGAGAAATGTATTTTATCCATTAGCTGAAACTAGCAGTCGACTTTATTTCGCTTTGAAAGATCTCATGAAAATTAATTATATGTATCAATTCAGTTTAAACAGCTTTCTATATCTCTACCAACGTGCTCTCTCTATGCCACATGTAAGTAATTTGAAATGATCTAATATTTTCTTATTACTATGTTGAATGTTGACGTTCATTCTAATGAGTACATTTGATGATGATTTAAAAGGTTCTAGTGAGAAAGTGTAGCCGGTGGATTTCACTCATGTTGGGAGTGAGACGGGCATAACCATGGGTTGACGTATAATGTTGGGAAATGTCTGAAGTTAAAAATATGAACCTTCTAAGTAGTCTGAATGTAATATTTTTGATGGGTAACCCAAATTTTATAGGTTCAACTCCACGTTGAATAGTGATAAAACATTACCTAGGAATATCATGAAAGGACTTAATAACCGTCCAATATTCCATCTAATATTCAGTGAGATCGTTCGGCTAAATTCGGTCCACGATTCAATTGATACGAAAAAGGCAAATCATCTGAATGTCCAGATTAACAGATGAACTGAAATTATTTTCTTTGATAGATGGACAAGAATTTTATACTGAACTTTACAATGTACTAACACAGAAAATTAGTTAAAATGTATTGGATCGTTTATTTGTCAGGGTTTGACAACGACTATATATATGTTTATTTACTCTAAAAATAGTTTTCATCACTATGTTGCCTCAAGTAAACAATCATTGGCAACCAAGGAGCATTCGGCAATTGTTTCATTCTAACAAAGCAAATTGACTGAGGTAGAAAACGTGAATTATTGAATTTTATTAGTTGTGGTTGTTGTAGCTGGATCGGAATGTATTGTGTTTTGATTCTGTGTAGAATTATAAGGGTAAACTTGAGTTTAGGTTCGGGCTAGAATGCAAAGGAAGTAATACTCATTGAGTAGAATCAAAAACAGGGTTATTTATCTTGAAACTCGAAATGGGATTGATCATTTAGATGGGATATATTTGTCAACATGTCCAACTATTATTTTGACAAAACAAACGCTACGTATTCCAAATGGATAACTGAAGAAAAGCTACTTAACATCACAAACTATTGCGAGTTTCTACGACACAATTACAAAGTTCCATTACTGAAATAACGCTTGTATTTCTGGGATATTAAATTGCTTAGAACGAACAGTGAATGATTTATCTGTATACAATTCGCTCGATATATACTAGATACCCAGCCAGCACTATTCTACCAGACTTCAACACAACCCACATCAACAATACGTGATTCGCCTGACTAGTACGCTTAGTAACCAAAAATCAACAGCCGACAATCCAGTAGGTACAAGGGGTATGTTTATATGACACATCAAATACTTGTCAGACTATCTACCAATCTGTCTAGGAAACAACCAATCACTACTTCCTCTCGCTCACATAACAATTACCTATGGGTTTCAAACTTGGTACAGTCGTCAATAAGTTTGTCTTGTTCATTACTAAAGAACGATGGCCACTGTCTATAAAGCGAAAGATTGGTTTTAAAACACTGTGGAATGATTTGTAAATCAAAAAATTGACTAAAAATAATTGTTGAAATTAACGAAAATCTAATTTGAATTCGCCATTACAAAGTTTAGTATGTTTTACTTACCTACCTATGAAGTATAAACAAGTTGTTTTACAGCAAACATTTGTTACATAAATACTCAATTGATCAGTGATGGGGCCTTACCTACCATGGATATTTGAATTTCGCGGATGAAAATTGTTATGTATATATGTAGACATTAAAGTGATGAGGTTGGTGCTAGAAAACCACTGACCTGGTAGTTTAAGCACGGCTTTTAACCAGTTAATCTCATGTCTGAATCCCATTTTCAATCGGGTGGTATCATAAGTCTGCTTGGAAATTGTGCAGCTCAAAAACGAGTATATAAACCTGTATTTGATTATATGAGTTACAATAATTGATTGGGTACTAAAAAGGATGCATACAACATAAGTCTTCTTTTAAACAGGCACATTTTGGATCTCTTTACCTATATGAAATTGCTAAATTGTTGTATTAGTAGTAGTTTCCTATCACACCATATCTTTCGTGTTTAGAATATTCTGCAATTTATAAGTCAATCATATATATATGGTGCATGCTACATATGTTTGCAGATATGAGTAGCACGTAACACCAGTCAGAAGTGGGATGTTTACGAGGAAAAGGTTGGGAATATTTAAATGAGGAGAAGAGAGAAGGAAATTGAAAGCAATCAAGATAAAAGCAAGAATGAAGGAACAATGAAGCTTGTAAGCGACAGTCCAAAGATGTACAAATAATAAATATGATGTATCGTTTTCGTATACATATAGTCAAATTTTTATGATCTATGCGGTTTAATTAAGAAGCTTACTGACGTCCTAGTTTGTGACTCGTTATCTTTGTAGGTTTCATTGTCTTATGGATAGAAACAAATTGATTTATGATGCGTAGAATAACTAAGAAATCCGCTTCTGCATAACTTATGCTCTGATAATGTTGTTCAGGAAGACAATAAAAGCTCTTCAAGTAAACAATTCAGCTCATAGAACCTAACTAAACTAAACTCACCGAATGCATTCACCTTATCTGTAAATCTCCACCTTTCAGTAATTGTATGTAAATTTCGTTTTCTTGTGTCTTTAAAAAGAAAACGGGACTGAAGACAACGGAACGTATTCAATCATTGCAAAAACATGTAGAACAATTAGTTTATGAAACTGTCTGTCGAGCATTATTTAAACCAGATCGTTTAATGTTTGCATTACACATGGTTCGTACAATGCGTCCACAATCATTGACAGATGAAGTATGATAACCAATTTTTTGGAGTAATTTTTTTCTCTTAGATTAATGATGAGTTCGTGTGTGTGTGTGTGTGTGTGTTTACAATTATCTGTTACCCCTTCTGTATTTACATTCTATTGAAAAGGAGGGATTAATTTAAAACAAAAATGTATTGTTGATTTCAACGCAGATGACTACTGGAAATATAGTTATGCATATCATTACCTTGATAAATTATCTAATGAGATAGTTTAGTTTTATATAAATTGGACGCCCAAAGAATGATGAATGCAAAGTAGATTGATAATTACATGAAGAGATAATAGAAGAGATAAATGCGACTTATCGTAATCAGAACCCGTGTGGGCCTGTGGCGCAATGGATAACGCGCCTGACTACGGATCAGGAGATTCCAGGTTCGAATCCTGGCAGGCTCGGATGCTATTGCACTTAAAATCCCACTACTGTACCATAACTGTGATGTAGGGCAGGGCAGTTGATAAACTGGCTATCACAACTCTGAACTATACCTGATAACCACTCAACTCTGAGACTCTGTAAAACCCTACGTGTAAAGCGCAGTTAAAATCGTGTATGACCTACGTAACCGTATTGATTACTGCAACGACATAACAACAAGGAACAATATTATACTAGTCTTTCAGAAGTAATTTTATGTTCGAAAGTGCAAATGCTTGGCGATCTTGCGGGTTTTATATAGTTTTAACTCCAGTGAGTTTTACTCGTCAGAGCAAAACCATTTTGAGAAATGTATATTAGTATTATTCAAAGTATTTAAAGATTGTTCGGACGGTGGTTTACATCCTAGACCGACTGCAACTGTCAACCACGTATCCAGTCTACAATTAGTATAATCTCGGTCACCGGTTTTATTACTGTATTAAAGTAGCATATTGTCACAAACAGAGAGGATTTCTATTATACCTTAAATCCATTATAATATGATAATGGAAACGGATTTATAATGACAGTACACTGATCCTCAACAAATTTAATTACTAAGCAATGAAACCTCATACCCCACTGATCCACTGAACATCAGAAAACAAACCTTGTCAATGACCACGAATAATTCATTAATTGTTTTAACATGAGACTCTATGTGAAATATGAAATTGCTATGAAGTGATTAGCTGGCTAGTCTTGATTAGTTCAACAATAGAATAAGTTGTTCGATATGGCATGGATCGTATGAATCAAGATATGGAGTTGGAAATTTACGGCTTTACTGATCACAAACAAAATAAAGTGTTGATTTGCGCTCCAATCACATGTTTAAACTGCTGATAAAAAGAACACCGACGACAAATTCTACGTGTGGTTTGTATTATCACTTTATCCTTACTTTTCTTTAGTGTATATATTAAACATATACTACTGACTAATATTCAGTAACTTATATCATTCACAATCATTTTTGAGCATATAGTGTAAAATGTTTCTTTGTTATGTGTCATGATTGTATTCACATGAATCATTGACATTTAATTTACTCATTACTATAACTGTAGTTTCTTAACTTTCTTAATGGTTGCCTTTGTTACTTATGACTTTGTTGAACATGTATGTATTTGTAACCATTTCCATCATTTATATGTATAATTCTTGTCAAAAGGGGTTTTGTGGAGATTTCAGTATTTTCATAGTTGAAAGCATGAGTCCATCGAAGCTAGACTACCACAATAGGACGAAACGGCCATCCAGTGCTTACAGGTTTTCCTTGGTGGTCTAGCTTCAATTAACTCATGCTTTCAACTATAATTCTTGTTCCAATCTGTTAGTTACCTCTAGTGAATTAACACAGTTACTTAGTGCTACCAAATTAATCTTATACTTTTCTGAATAATTCCGATATGACTATTATAGAAAGGATTTCTTTGATTAGATCATGACATACATAAAGTAAACTTTTATCAACAATGGTACTGTTTTATAGATAAGGCCTTTGTTTTTATTTCGGATTTTACGCGTGACTCAATCGATTAGCCTGAATCCTCGAAAAGATTTAATTTTAACTTGCGTCAGCCTACATCTAATTTGTAGTCAGTCAATTTTTACTTTTTTCACATCTACTAATAAACGACACTTGTTAGTAGTATTTAACAAGTAACGATATAATCTGTTATATTTCACTGTTTTCAATAACTTCTCCTCTATTAAATATTTGAAATGATTTTATTATTTCTTTTGAATACAAGGAATGGCTGTTTTTTATTGGATTAAATGTAATAGAATCATGTCATACTAATGAGAACCATTTCAATTGGTTGGATACTGAACGAGCTCGTAACTTGATGAAGCTTAAAGTAATTTCTCAAAAACTTTTTTAAAGCCTACTTCTTGCGATATAAATTTCATTTCATTCGTTTGCAGATTTTAACTGTATACGAGTTCATTGGTTATATAATACACATTTATTGAATATTTATGTAACGCTCAACCATTTGATTCGAGTAAGAAGTAGTAGTTATGAGTTGTGAGTTAAAAACTAATCTATATTTGAAGACATATCGCCTTATAAACTTTCGTAAGCTATAAAATCGGGTAGACAGCTACTCCGCCCTCGTTTAGAACTTCGTAGTAATGTGGACATAAGATCTCACATAAGGTAAAACCTATCACAATCAGAACTTTGACTTGAAATAATACTGTTTGATTAATAAGTTGAGATCCTCTGGTCCATATTTTCAACCTTATTCCATTAATGATAAGAACCGACCATCATCTAATGTCATCTATATGAGTAACTGTTTTAACCCGTATATGCTTAGTATATTAGTTTTTGCTTAGAACTTCTTGAAATCCGTCTTCATGTTAATCAACCGCCAGTAAGAACATCTTATTACTTTAATTCAGTTGTCTGAAATGGTAAATAGACAAAAATATATTAATTCATATGAAGTGTACTTTATATTGATTAATCGTTAAAATTAAGTTTTAGAGGCCAAATCTACTTGTAAAATAATCTGCTTACAATTGAATTCATAAATTATAGTTTCCAACTTCATTTGTTGCTGACGATATCCTGTTATCCAATGTATTTGTAATGAGATCAAAAAGATCTGTATGGTATTTTCCTTTTGTTAGATATTCTGTTTTGAGTTATTATTATTATAAATGTAATAATTTTTTTTTATTTAAACACATAAATATTGATACAAGGAGGCACCAGATATATATGCGCCACACAAATCTAATTTGATTTGTGTGAGGGCTGTGATACTGCCCAGCTGCCCAAACTGAAGCAGATGGTTTTCTTAGGGGACCACACCCCGAGGCCTCAACCTAAAGGTCTGATCCACAAAGCAGTGGAGCATCGTGAAGAGATGCAGTTACATGGTAGCCGGTGACCAACGACTGATTCATACTTCATTTGTTCCCTCAGGATACTGGAGACCATGTGCACCATTGATTTGGAATCAGGGTTTTTCTAGAAAAAAAGAAACTAAGATAGATTCGTACTACAGCGTGAAATTTCCCTAAATATTTCATGCGATATTCATAAAATTTCATGATTAGCTTTAGAGACTGAAACTAATCTCCAAGTTTTAAACATCCAACAAGTATAACATACTCAACAGTTCCAGTCATATTTTTCCTTTCATTTAAATAATATGATTACTGTATTATTACAGTATCATATTCATTGAACTTATCATTTCAAGATGCTGGAGTTATTTATATATGTATGTTATATTGTGGTGTGGTCTACTTATGTCCACATAAGTAGTATATGGTGATGGTCAGTCATAGAATGTATTTTGGCAGAAGATCGATAAGGAACGAACAGGAATGAAGCGCAATCGGTACGAAAATGCATGAACAATGAAATCAGAGAAGATGGACTGATATTTGTGGAAGGAACAGTTAAGATTGAGACAATTGTTATTTTGCAAATTAACTGCTTACTGTATGGTTATCAGAATTTAATAATTATCCAGTACTGTATGTTGACTTTTAAATCACCAATTAATCATGTTCGTTAAATATTTAAGTATTGAATGTTGAAAGGGAAGTAACAAATCATATGTGAATCACTAGGTGATTTTTAATAATTATTTTAAATTGCTAGAACTTCTAATACGATACTTACTTACGCCTGTCACCCCTCATGGAAGAGCATAGTCAGCACACCAACACTCTCCATCCAACCCTGTCCTGGCCAATCCTTTACAGTTGCTACTCATCCTTTTGAAATCTACTGCCTATTCTCGGCATAGTGTGTTCTTTGGTTTTCCTCCTTTCTGTTTTCCTTCAAGATTCCAAGTTAGCGCTTGTCTCGTGATGTAGTTTGATGATTTCCGCAATGTATATCCTGTCCACTTCCAGAGTCTTTTCCTAATTTCATCTTCAAGTGGAAACTGGTTCGTTCTCTCCCACAGTAAACTGTTGTTGATAATATCCGATCAACGGACATTCAGTATCTTACGTAGACAGTTGTTTATAAATACTTGAACCCTTTTGATGATGGTTGTGGTAGTTCTCCACATTTCACTTCCATATAGTACGACTGTCTTGACGTTCGTATTGAAGATTCTGAATTTGATGTTGGTTGACAGTTGTTTTGAGTCCCATATGTTCTCCAGCTGTAGGAATGCCCCCCTTTCTTTACTAATCCTCGCCTTTACGTTTGCATCAAATCCTCCTTAATCATCGATGATGCAACCCAGATACGCGAATGCTTCCACCTCTCCCAGAGTTTCTCCATCAAGTATGATTGGCTGGGCGTTCTCTGTGTTGTATTTGAGAATCTTGCTTTTTCTCATGTGTATGTTGTTTAGACCTATTGATGCAGAGGCTGCTGGTACACTAGTTGCCTTCGTCTGCATTTGTTCGTGTGTATGGGATAGGAGAGCTAGGTTGCAGTATCGGTTGCTATGTTAAGCTCATATGCCTTATTCTAACTTTTGGACAAGTCAATTCACCTATCCATCATGAGTCATGTTTCCACCTTGTTAATTTTTCACTCATTAACCCCGACTATTTTTTATACGAGCGTAGGTGTGCATACACTTCTTATCCTATTTATCACATGTATGTCATTTATTCTTTTCTGACTATAAATATTGACTAGCGCTCGGTCAAAGTGAGTTGTATTACATGTCTTCTCCACGGTGCGTCATTTATGTTTCACTGGCTGATATTTGTTCATGTGCTTATAACTTTCTGGCCTGCGTCATTTGTTAATAAAACTGTAGCTGCCGCTTCTCTTTGCCTTCTGATTTTATGCACCGTTAAGATTTGTATTATTACTGTTATCGAGGTGAACGATTAGTGAAGCATGGCACTACAAGGTCACCTGCGAAATCTAAATCGCCTAATTGATTCTGAGATGTCCATTCTATGCTTCCCCTCAAATGTCGAGGTCTCCATAATCCAGTCAATCATCGGAGGAAAGAGGAAGAGGAGGCAGTAGACAGCCTTGTCTGATTCCTATCCTTACTGGAAATGCATCTTTCAGTTGTCCTCCATACATGACTTTGCAGTGTAGTCCGTCGTATGAGTTCCGGATGATGTTGACAATTTTCTCAGGAACTCCAGTAGTTTGATGAGCAATAACAAAATCGATCGGAATGTGAATTTAGTCTGTTAGTTAAATCTTTTGGTTATAGGTGCATAATTGTATGTTGTTGTAAATGTATTCACACAGTAGGTTATTTGTTAATTTAAAGCAATCAGTCTCTTTGATAAATTTCGATAATGTAATAAGAAGACGAAGACTATCAGAACTATGTGATATATTAGCGTAATACATTTCGAACAATCTGATCACACATACACTTGTTAAGAACATTTATATATAAAAATAAAAGGTCAACTAGACTGGAAATGGAGGGGGGATAAGAGTAGACAAGGATAATAATGATAAAAATAATATGAAAACAATTTGACACCTAATCACTCTGGATAATAATCTAATATTACCAGGGTAGGTTTAAGGTGAAAACAAACTGTTTTTAAATACACAAAGGGGGCTCGAATTTTCGTATGGCTGAGGCTTCAATAAACCTCAGTATACGCCATTTTACACTTTTAAATATTTGTTAATTGATTTTAAATACTACTTAATTTAATTAATATAAATCGGATTGTTAATCTGACTGCAAATAAATCATATAAAAAAATTAGTGTATCCATGACTCATTTTGATGTATTTATGAAGTGGAATAGATCCTTATTTATTGTCTTCGTGTTATTACTTATGTCAATAATTCATGATATTCAGAAACGAGTGCTAAATCAGTTTAGTTTTTCATGGGCACAACTTCACACTAGATGAAATAGCTTTTCTTCAAGTAAACAGTTAGCACTTCACAAATAACAGTTCTTGGTATATCAGTTTCTCAACGATAAATGCTCAGATTAAAGTACTTCACATAGTCCCTTCAATTTTGATGTTTTATGAAAATTCTCTCGTTTTACTTTTTGTGTCCAATTTTCATGTCGTTTAAATTAATTCCTTATTATAGGCTGCACTTCCCAATATTTATGATAATCTATGTTTTGAAGATTCTCAATTTTGGACAAATTGGTTACATGAGAATGATGTTGAAATGAAACCAATGCCTAAGAATCTACAATCCAAATCATTGACAGCTTTTCATTTTACAGTTCTCGCAGTTCAAGCTCTTCGACCTGATCGTTTATATTCCGCTATGTCACAGTTTGCTAGTCGAACATTAGGTAAATATACAATTTTAAAAACATATTCGACATAATCTTTTTAGTCATTAGTTGAACTGATAGTTTAATAACCATTTTTCAATCGAAAAGCAAGATACACTAGTGTTTTTGAACAGTATAATAGAGTGTTGTGTCTAGGTAATCCTTTCAGGACCACTTACAGCAACAAAAACAGGTCAGTTACAGGCCTAAATATTAACAGTCAAAAAGTGCACACTCTTACTAATCCCTTCATATTCGTTGGAAAAAAACTAGTAGCTATATTGATTCAGGTGATTAGTGGATAATGAACTAGGGGTTTGATGCTAAAGTACTGGGTTCGAGTTTTAATTTGAACATCAACACTGGGATGCAAGTATATCCGGTTGATGAGTAGAAATCAGGACGAAACGCGTGTCCAGGATTCCAGTGCCACACGGATACCAAATATACTGAGAGTTGTTGAATAACTTAAACCGTGTCTTTGTCATCATTTTAAATTCAGTCACCACTCTAAAGCTTGATCAAAATCTATATAATCGTTTCACGGACAGTATCAGCTTATGATATTTATTTATCTTCAAATATTAATTATACTATTGAACAAAGAGAAAAGCTGTAATCCACTGTTTATGTCACCAGTATTTGACAGCTAAACGGGAGTGATTTATTCGTTTACCAGATACTCGCTCGAAAAGAAACGTTTATGTAGATTGATTCAAGACAGGAATGAATCTCCTAGAGTCTAGCAAACTATAAGAGAGGTTTGATCTAACTGTCCTTATTTCTTAGTTATATATACGGCATACCATTCCTACTTTTATTCTCGATGTTGTCAGTCAATTAACTACTGTAACTCATTTATCAAGTGTAAGTTTATTTTGATAATGCAATGATAAGCCGAAGTTTATCACAACTATGTATGATAAACTAGTGCAATGCATTTCGAGTAACCATCTGATCCATCATTTACTTTTTAAGATATACATAGAATGTAGAAGGTTAACGAGACTAATTGGAAGATAAGAAAATTAAGGATAACAAGGAAACCACACTACTCTGAATAATTAATCAATATTAGCAGTTTAGGGTTAGTGTTAGTAAAAATTGTTTTTGAACACACAGAGGAAGTGTTTATTATAACTTTCGTATGACTAAGGCCTACAACCGACCTAAGCGTTCGCATTAAACAATATTTATACAAAATCACAAAGGCTAGGTTAAGATTCATCTTCAACTGTTTGGCAATCGAACAAGATGAGTGTAACAGAACGGATATTATGGAAGTTGAAACTCTCGGCGCTATTTCTCGGATTATTATTACTTGCATTTTTATTATGTAATAAGTAAATGACTGTAGAGCTATATTTATATATTACTCTCATTGTAAGCTTTCATTGGATACATGGGCTGTTATTATTCGTTTTACTACACTTCAGTTATTACTAAGTATTTACGTACTGTTTGCCCGGCTCTCTACCGCATATAGTATGATTGTGCCTAAAGTGTGACCTTCCACTCGCTTTGCTGTGTGGCCAAGTAGTATCAGTACATTATTGTACGAGTTTTGAGTCATCACATTCTGATTGACTACTAGGTTAAAAAGGGGTTCGAGGACCAATAAGCGTTAAGGTCTATCTTGTTGTTGATTAGTTATTGTGTAAATTCGTGAAATATGTCACAGGTCCGACTGGCAATATATTACGCGTTATCTATCAGTATCTCGAGGCACACAATTTATGTGAAACCTAGTGATATCATCGGGGTGTCCAGATCGAAGTACATAAAATAGAGTGTGAACTTAAAGACCAAATGGTTGAAAGTTGAATACCATATCCATGACAATATCTCTCAACTTATCATTTACTATAATGACGCTATATGGACGACAGATTTCGTTTTTAGACACTAATAAACGAAACTGATACAAAATTCTAACAACTGAGTTCCGCCCAATCAGATAATTATCATATTACATTTTTCTACGTACTGCTCTAACACTTTGTATCTGTATTCACTATGTAATAAATAGGCTTCGCAGACTCTCATGTTTCCAAATCTCTAATTAAAACATCAAAAATTTAAATTAATAATTCTATTTAATTATTATTAAGTGAAATAGATGATTACAATGTACCGTAATTTATAATTCTCAAATGGATTACATAACTAGGACTTTTATAAGTCAAGTTCGACCTACAGATTTATAGTTCATTGATGTGTAACTTCTGAGTAGTAAAAGATATAGTAGTATTTTTCATAGTTGAAATCATGAGTCAATTGAAGCTAGACCACCAGGAAAAACCTGGAAGCACTGGACGGCCGTTTCGTTCTAATACACGACTCCTCAGCAGTGCGCATCCACGATCCCGCACTCGCGAGATTCAAAACCAGGACCTACCAGTCTCGCGCCATAATAGGACGAAACGGACATCCAGTGCTTCCAGGTTTTCCATGGTGGCCTAGCTTCAATTGACTCATGATTTCAACTATGAAAAATACTGAAATCTCCACAAAACCCCTTCTGATATAGTAGTAATTAATTAATGAGTCAGTTTAACGTTTTCACTGTACAAAAAATCGTAAAAACAACTATATCATGTGTAAGAATAACCATCTGTTTTCACTATTAAATAGAAATGTGATATCTGGCACTTGTGAGCATTATCCGTAAAAGAACAAAGCAACATGTACTCACCCATTGTGTACTTTCAAGACTTCAGTTAAATGTCTTTATACACTTGCCAATCTAAATAACTGTATGTAATCTGATCAATTAAAAAAGTAATTTTTTGATCTATATAATTTCTCTATTTTTAGATTTACATCAATTAAGTCCATCAACTTTGAATTTACACAAATTATTTGAAACTGAAACAAGATCAACAGAACCTATACTAATATTAATTAGTCCAGGAGCTGATCCATCACAAGAATTATCTGAAGCAGCTACACTTCATTTTTCACGTAAATTATTTAATAAAACATCAGAGACAACTTCAACACATTATCGTCAAATTGCTATGGGTCAAGGTCAGACTGATTTAGCTTTAAAAGAACTACATTTAGCTGCAAAACAAGGTGATTGGTTATGTATGAAAAATTTACACCTTGTTATACATTGGTTACCAGTACTGGAGAAAGAAATTAACACTTTACTGTTGAATAGCAATAAGAAAAGTTCAATTAGTCCTAGCAACGATGGTGATAAAGATGATAATTGTACAATTAATACATCTATTGATACTGAACATTGTGTACATGAAGATTTTAGATTGTGGTTAACAGCAGAACCACGTACCACATTTCCATCTACATTATTACAAGGTTGCCTTAAAATAGCTTATGAAGTAAGTTGAAAAATTTGTTCCATTGTCTTATTGTGAATAATTCTTTCCCATAGTTGAAAGCATGAGTCAATTGAAGCTAGACCACCATGGAAAACCTGGAAGCACTGGACGGCCGTCTCGTGGATTGGTTGGTGTTAGACATAAACACCATCGAATACCGTCTCAGTGGTCTATCGGTTAAGTGCTCTGGTGCGAGACTGGTAGGACCTGGGTTCGAATCTCGCTTGCGAGGCGAGGTCGTGGATGCGCATTGCCGAGGAGTCCCGCCATAGGACGAAACGACCGTACAGTGCTTCCAGGTTTTCCCTGGTGGTCTAGCTTCAATTGACTCACGCTTTCAACTATGAAAATTCTAAATCTCCACAAAACCCCTTCTGATAATAATAATTCTTTTTTCCAATGGTGACACAATTTACATGATGATCTGATTTTAACTAGGTAATTATTAAAAAATGGTCAAGCATTAAAAAATTTCTTTGTCCTGGTACAGGAATTCACAAATAGTATTCGCCTTTTGTTTACTAACTATATCATATGTATGGACAAAAATGGCTTCGATAATGTTGCATTTTTTGAGGCAAATGGTTCAATTATGAAATTATCGTTTTCCTTTTGTAAGCTAATCTCCGGCATGTGGTTCATGTAAACTGTTGATGTTGTCCTGTGACGTCCTTGATCTGTCTACCCACTTTCGTGCCGTAGATAACTTGTTCAATGTAGATTAAGATCTTGATGGGGTAGGCTGACTGACTTAACCTTGAGGTTAGTATGCGTGAGTTCGAAAGTGAGATCAACTGCTTAGGGTAGAGAGGCGAAAACTATTCTATCACCTGATTGGCTGACAGGCACGCAAGAGAGAAAGAGAGAAGACAAAACAAGTGGAACACTACTTCAGTTATTCCCAATTCCGATCTGGTACCAGATATCCGATTAGTGTAAAATGGTTCATGAATAAATAGATGACCAACCCAACCACAACGTACAACAATTAGGAAAATACAATTATGTCCAAAACTGGGGGATTAGAGTAGAAAATAGAGTACAAAAGATTACGTCTAAATTACAATAGCTTTGGAACAGAAAATGCTATGTCAGTGAATCATACATCAAACGAAAACTTATGATCTGTAGAATAGACTAAGGACAAAAGTAAATGTTACTGTTTTACAATCTTTGAGTTAAATGAAATAACGTCCCAAAAATAGCTTCTGTAGTTTGTCTAGGCTTCTTGTTTCTCTGTTCACACCAGTCCAGAAAGACAGTAAGACGGAATAAGATCATTAGGTAAATCATTAAAAGTTAGGTAGTATTTGGGAGCTGTTTTACCATCGTTTAGCATTCCTTAGAAGTGGACACCAATAAATCCTTACTGGATTGAACTCAGTAATGATAGATCTTGTTACAATCTTGTTTTTCTTATATCAATCCATGATATTACCCAATTAGCTGTTTATCTTTATGTCTAAGTGCTGACGAACTTATTGGAATTGATAATACTACACAGATGTAATGAACCGACCTTATCTACATAATTACAAAAAAAAGATTAAGATAAATTCCAATGCATCCTAATATTCAATAAATTTTATTTCTTCATAGGCTCCACCTGGATTGAAACGAAATTTACAAAGAACTTATGAAACTTGGCCAAGAAATTATATATCTCAAGGAAATTCAAAGACCCGGGCAACTCTACTTGCATGTCTAGCTTGGTTTCATGCTGTTGTGCAAGAGAGACGAACTTATATTCCACAGGTAAGTATTCTTTTTTGAACACATTTTAATACTTTAAAACATCTTACGAAATCGCTAGCTCATGTTTGTATATTCAACTATATGTAAACAGAGTATGGGTTAATTACTCAATTGAAGATACAAATTAATCACGTGTATATCTTAGCAACTAGTAAGCTATTTCGAAGATTGTTCTATAGTTTTATAAAGGTGGTTGTGGTTATTGGTTTAATTTGTAAGTGACATTCGTCACCGAACCTTAGATTGGGTATCAAGGTTGCTAAGATGGAATAATCAATGTTGGATTGTTACTAAAACAAAATTTGTTGGTGTTTATAAGCGTTATTATTATTATTATTAGCTTTATTCAATATTACATTTTTGGTACAATATAGAATTCTCAGCACAAAGTACTTCAACAAGTTTCCGTTTCTTACTTCTTCGTCCTTCCTGACGATAAATATTGAGTGATCGCCAGTTAGAAGTTAGCAGCCCAGTCAATGGACATCTGAATAATGTATATTCTTTTCGCAGCATAAAGCCAGCAACCACGATATCTCTGATTAGACCTTCTGTAACCTTTACAGTGAAAGGTTGTACACTCTTCAGAAACGCACCTGAATAGATCGTGCAATTATTATCCATAATGATGTATTAAAACAAACAAAATTAGATAACTTGTTGAAATATCTAGATGACAGGAACAGGTAGCCCAGATGTTTAAACAGGCCGCCAATTCCAAATAAGTTCTGTGTAATGTGTAGCTAAGTTAGTTTGTAAGTCAAACAAAACGATTTGATAATAATCAAAGAAGGGTGAGGGAAATAATTGCAAAACTAATAACTACATTACTTGTTAGTGACTATGTAACTCACTAAGTGTTATGAAATCAATTAAGGATAGTATAACTGAGTGTGTGTTAACTAATTTGTTCAAATACTTAAGAGCGATATAGTTAAAGTAGATCTATAAATCAGATAAATTTATCTTGCGAACACTAGAAGAGGGAATGTGTACTTTCAGCGAATTAAGTTACCATTTAATAAAGGTTATTGACTTATGGAATCTAATCATTTTGAGTGCAGAGTTCCGAGTTTTTTCTAAACTGCATAGCTGACACTATTTTAAAGGTTTGGAGGCTGTTTACTTTCTGGGACATTCCTTCAAACAGTGTAGATTGTTGAAAATGAATAGTAAATTTTTTTTCATATGGTACTTCTGGACTGAATAAGGTTAAACTAAAAACTATCTTAAATACACATCTGCCTAATCAGTTTGTTATATGTTTACGAGAACATAAATTTAAATTTCCAATGTGATTGATTCCTCAGGAGGAGATGCTAGGTTAGGTATTCCTTCTAGGTATCGCCATCGGATACTTAGGAAACACTAATTGTATTCCAATTAAATTGAACCTTCTTTGCAATGTTGTCTAATCTTCTAATTAATATTGGTTTATGTTTTCGAATATGGTATTATGTGATCATGAACACCCAACTTCATAAGTCTTCTTTTTCTTAAAACGTATTTGCCTCAACTTGGACTATTTCTTACCGCAAACTAACGAGAATTTCTGGAAAAGTACTCTTCGTTCGCCTATTCATGTATTTTCAATTGGTAAAAAATTTCTAATAATTGAAATATAACTTGAAGATGGTTGACATCACAGAAGGACCTGAGTCAGAAAGTTATTCTAAGCTGGGGAGCAGTAAACATCTGTTTCTCTGTATTTCGACACTCATAAACAGTGCATATTCAAAACCCTACCGGGGATCAAACCGAAGACATTCGAGTCTCTCTGTAAGGGTGTTGCAACTCAATGATTCGCAATTCCAGCATCAAGCAATTCATGTTACAATTCAATCTACATCTACTGCCATTGTTGATAGCTGTCTTAATAATGACGTGAATGAAATTGTAATATTACCATTTTATAGTGATCAAATTTCATACCCTTGTTATTCAACTGTAAAATAGCTTGTTTTAACATCAACAACTACGTACATATTTCAAATTGTTTGGTTTTTCGAAAATAGGTCTAAAATCAGATAAATTTCATTAAATAAATAATGTTTGAGGTTCTTTCATGTTTATTATAGAATGAATTATATGCTGGTATTATACCAATTGATCACTAAGCAGTAGTTATTAACGTCATATTTTCTAATCCTTGGTACAAATCCAATCATAACTATCAGATTGCAATGAAGTCTAAAGTCTGATCAACTCTAAGTTGACGATGCAGCCTGTTTTAGATTTGAATGGTTTAAAGCTGTCATCTGGAATCTCTGTACTTAAGTGTTGTGCTATTTGACACCTATTTGCAATATTTGTTCATAGGCTGTAGTTTATTTATTTATTTAAACACATAGATATCGGTACAAGGGGGGAACCAGATACATATGCGCCACACAAATCTCATTTCATTTGTATGAGGGCTGTGATACTGCCCAGGTGCCCAGACTGAAGCAGGTGGTTTTCTTAGGTGGCCACACCCCGAGCCTTTGACCTGAAGGTCTAGTCCACAAGGCAGTGGAGCATCGTAAGGAGATGCAGTTCCATGGTAGCCGGTGACCAACAATAGGTTCATACGCCATTCATTCCACCAGGATACTGGAGCCCATATGCACCATTGGTTTGGAATCAGGGTTTTCCAACTCCCCACCGGGGGAACTTCCGTGTCCACCAACCCGGTTGAAGCGCCAGACATTCGCTTTTCGTCCTCTCACTTTCGTAAACAACAGTAATGCCACGAGAAGGTAGTGAGTAGGACTTCCCTGGCAGAGGCTATTTATTCGCGTGGCCATGTGAGAGCATTTGGGGGCCGTCAGATTCTAACTTAATTCACACAATACATATTCTGGTATTATTAAGAAGTATGAAGGAAAAGAATTTTTCATATTGATAAAAAATCACTTAACAAAGTAGGAAACTTTCTAAATTACTTTTTTTTTTCTCTATTTAGGGATGGACGAAATTTTACGAGTTTACATTTGCTGATCTTCGTGCTGCAGCCGACGTAATCGATCGGTTATTATTGAAAGATCATAGTCAAATATCTAGAACAACTGAAGATATTTGGTCATGGATCTATGGTTTATTTGGTGAATCAATTTACGGTGGTCGTATGGATAATACAGTGGACTTAAATGTATTAAATTCTTATCTAACTTCAATATTTAATGATGATACAGTGAGAAATCGTCAACTTGGTCCTTTCAAACTACCTGGTACAACTGAATTAAAAGTATGAATTATTGATTATCTATTTTTTCTTTTTAATTTTTCTTTTTTCGGGTATTGATAGTTAAAGTAGAATGAATAGTCCAACTTCTTAACCCCATAGGTACTTGATCTCATCTCCTGTACAGGTAGGTATCCGGTTTCTTATTGAAGTCCATAGGTATTCTACAAACTATACATATAATTTATTTTTAAAAAAACCTATTCATTTTAATAAGAACTGAATTAGCAATCACCATAAAATGGTAGACTATTACTTCTTGCATTTTCCAGGGAAATGTTAACCAAGTTAGCATATTGGATTAAACTGAAAAATTCTTTTTTCCACGGTTATTATAAATCCACCAATCCTATAGGGAACACGGCCATTCGTATTTACCTCAAACATTAAGCTGCTGTTATATTTCTCTACTTGTGAAAATTGGAGCATTAGTTTGTGAGGTTTTCTTTCATTTGGATATCAATTCCTTAACGAATGTTAGCTCCATAAAAATTTGATGATTATTATCTAATGAGATTACTGGGGAACTTATTCTTCTCCTAGATGTTGCTAAAACTCTTTCTTCTCATTGCACACTTACACAGTATTTTATATAGAATAAAACAATAGTAATTTTATTTTATTTCTAATTTACTGTTATGACAACTAGTCTTTTTATCTTCACAATATCCTTATCAATTTAGACATCCAACTATATCCGTTCACTGGTACCTTCTACCTGTGTTACTATGATTAGTAATGTTAATATCATCACTAATATGATTCATTCATTAATGGTTTCTTTTGATAATTGCTATCAATTTTATTACTTTTGTTTATCATAATCATAAGAATTTGCATATGTTTCGTATATCCGATTGCATAATAATCTCTCCATCTCTGGTTTAATTCATTCATCTATTTTTCATAGTAGAAAGCATGAGGAGTCCCATAATAGGACGAAACGGCCGTCCAGTGTTTCCAGGTTTCCCATGGTGGTCTAGCTTCAATTGGCTCATGCTTTCTACTATGAAAAATACTAAATCTCCACAAAACCCCTTCATTCATCTATTTCGATGGTGTAATAAGATGAAGATTATCAGAACTATGTGATGTATCAGCGCAATACATTTCGGACAATCTGATCACAAATAATATACTTGTTAAGAACATTTATATATAAAAATAAAAGGTCAACTAGACTGGAAATAGGGGGGTAGGAAATGACAAAGATAATAATAATAATAATAATAATAATAATAATAATAATAATGTGAAAACAGTTTGGATATTCATAGGAATATCCCAAAATTATCTCGAAAGTAAAGTCGTATGTTTTCACTCTTCACATATGTCGCATGTTATTTTCTATTGGCCATTATTTACAGTTGTCCTAACTATGACTCTCACGTGTCGTTTTCCTATTGGTCAATTTTGAGTTGTCCTAATTATAACCTTTACGTGTCCTTTCTTTCCATTGGTTACTGTTCATAGTCATTTTAACTGTATAAATATGCCTTGTCTGTAAACCATTTTTGACCTGCCTCTGACCCCATAAACAATTATTATTTAACGGCTGTGTTCTGATTTATTGGAGTTGGGGAACAGTATTGGGGTCGAACTAGGATATCTGAATTTGGTCAATCGGTAGAATTTCGTGTAGTCCTATCGCAATACGTAATATTTGAGCGATTTATATTATTTGGCGACGGAGATTTTGCAATCAAGTTGCTGACTAGCTATGGATCCAGTTAAATTAGAAGAATTGTTCAAACAACAGCTGAAGCTGATGGAGATGCTCACTCAGACGCAGATTTCTTCTCGAGTCTCATGTACACCAACAATCCTTCAATCAGTCGACGGTATTACCAGTGGTATTTCAGAGTTTCTTTATGATCCTGATGCCAATATTACATTTGATACCTGGTTCAGATGTTATGAAGATCTTTTTAAAGTCGACCTTGCTGACAGAGATGATTCGTGGAAGATGCGTCTTCTCCTTCGGAAACTTGGTCCATCAGAGCTTGATAAGTATTACTACTTCATTCTACCGCAGAACCCACGAGACCGTTCCTTCGATGCCACTGTTAAAACTCTCAGTCAACTTTTTGGTGACCATCATTCACTGTTCAATACGCGTTATCGCTGTTTAAAACTGGTCATGAACGAGTCCGATGACTTCTTAACCCATGTTTTCATTGTCAACCGTGAGTGCGAACGGTTCAAACTCAAATCCCTTACCGACGACCAATTCGAATCCCTCGTATTCATATGTAGTCTTCAGTCACCCGAATTCTCCGACATCAGAACTCGATTGCTGAACCGCCTTGAACAAGATCCAACGCCGACACTTAATGCAATCACCGACGAGTATCAACGCATTGTCAACTTGCAGCGTGACACCACTTTGGTCCAATCTGGGGGCCAGGGTGGTTCCGAAGTTCACGCTATTCAACGTCAGAACAAATCTTCGAGATCGACAACCTATGGTCCTTCGAAAGCCAGTGCTCCTTCTTTCTCTAGTCACTCCAGACCGGTTCAGAAGAAGCGGTTAATAATTTCAACTTTTTCTTTGGCATCTCTTGGCCGTAGTTGATTATAATGCCTGGTCCAGATCTCTTGGTTCACTTCAACATCATACATGACGTTACCTTGTCTCTTCGTGATTTCGCCCTTTATCCATCTACCATATCCATGTCTATAGTCCCGCACATACACTTTCGCACCGACTTTGTAGGGAATTCGAGTGTTCTGCATTCGAGGACTCTGCCGGGTTACTCGCCTGGGTGCCATCGCACTATGGACTGTTCGTAGCTTCCGCCCCACAAGCACTTCCGCAGGGGATTTGAAGTCGGGCAATAAATCATGCGGAGTCGTCCGGTACACAATTAGAAATCGTTCTATAATACCGTGTGTTGTCCCCTCCCCTCTTGCCTTAAGCATGGCTCGTTTGAATGTATCGAGGAAGCGTTCAGCTTGTCCATTGGATTGTGGGTGGTAGGGCGGAGAACGAACATGATTGATCGAGTTTTGCAAGCAAAATTCTCGAAACTGACTGGATGTGAACTGCGAACCATTGTCTGTAACTATTGTTTCTGGGAGACCATGCTGGGCGAAGATCTGATTAAGGAGTTGGATGGTTCGAGTTGTAGAGGGTGGTGCAATCGGCAATATCTCCGGCCATTTGGAGAAAGAGTCAACCAGGATCAGATATGTGGCACTATCTAGGGGTCCAGTGAAATCAATGTGTACTACTACTAATAATAATGTGAAAACAATTCGAAACCTAATAATTCTGGATAAGCTAATCTTACCAGGGTAGGTTAAGGTGAGAACAAACCGTTTTTGAATACACAAAGAGGGTTTGAATTGAGCTATTATATCACATAGTTCTGATAATCTTCGTCTTCTGCTGAGGAATCCCACAATAGGACGAAAGGGCCGTCCAGTGCTTCCAGGTTTTCCTTGGTGGTCTAGCTTCAATTGACTCACGCTTGCAACTTCGTCTTCTTATCGAAATTTATCAAATGGACTAATTGCTTTAAAATTTATTCATCTGTTATTGAATTTTTAAAGATCTCCATCATATTAAAAGACTAATATTTGAACGAAGAATATTCTTTTCGATAAATTCTCCTCAGATTCTACAATTATATATCCAAATTAATAATCCGAAAATTGGCTAGGTTAAGGGCCTCGTTAAGTGCATCGTTTAAAGTTATAGCATGTGAATTTGGGGTTGTCAAAACAAAATTGTTTATGTTGATATGACTCACATAGAATGTTAACTTGAATCAGCTTATATGTTGAGTGAAAATTTTAGCATCCATGATCAGAATAAATATGGGTCAGATAGGGTGAGAGAGATATGATAGTGCAATTACAATTCGATCAAATGTTTAGTGGAAGACTGTTGTGTGAAAAATTAGTAAGATGGTAATATGGTAGTGGGATGAACGCGAAGTGAATGAATCATGTATTGGGGAGATTAATAATGATGTTTAACCAGTAATAATAATGATAACAATAATACAAAGATTTGTGAATAAAGGTAACAGAGACAATTACGTTTGACTACGAAAGGTCGTAAGTATAATAGTCAAATTCAGTCATTACTATTGATTAATTGGATTTGAGGTTGGTCAGGGAAGAAGCGGTTGAAGATATTTCTTTTGGATGTATAGCTCCGGTTCTTCATTCGGTTGGCTACTACTTCAGCCGTTTGAAGGACTTGAAGTCTAACAAACCTTGGCAAAAAATTACTGACCCTATAAATAATTGAAAAGGATTCGTTTATACTGGCACTATGACCAGTTTGCATTAAATGAGCCAATATCGAGTTGCTCACTTTCTTCATCAGACCTTTGATTAGCCACGCTAAGAGGTGTTCGCGAGCACGAAATTGTAAATTCCTAGAAATCCGATTAATATAAATTTCTCTGCAAGGGCAGTAGAACTGATAAATACAAAATGAGGTGGTCATTCTAGGTAACTCATCTTTTAACCTAGGTATCACCACTGGGCACGTAGAAAACACTAATTATAGTTCTCCAGCGTTAAAAATGTTTTGGATTGTTCTGAGCAATTTTTGAGTTAATATTTCGCTAGGCACATCTCATCTGAATTGTAGGCGCATGTAATTGTACGAATATGGAATGTACTTATCATCTCACTAGTGAACTAAATGAGTTTTGAAATATAAGACAAAGGAGCTAACCTGAAAGACAGATTTTTCTTATGCAATAAAATGACAAAATAAACATGATCAAATATCACAGATGATGGACGAAAATTTATTTGTAATTCACTCATTCTCCAATCAATTATTAATACCTAACCATTAGTTTTAACTTTTACTCTTACCGATGCCCTTCTGGAGTTAATGCCAGTCCCAAGTCCGGGTAAAGGAAGAGGGTTGAGCATAGAGCTGGCAACCCCGTCCCGTAGAAAAAATCTTGCTAAAAAAACACACCTGAAAAAAATAATTTAAACCACTTAAACTTTGTGTTGTGACTTTATAAAAAATAAAATAGAGCGTACGACAATTCGTTCTTGATTTTTATGTCCGGCTTTTATCACATGAATTATCCACCAATCGAAGTACGACTTTTCCAATCTTAACACCGTGACAAATCAATGACGTTCGACCAGTATGAGTAGTCTAGCGTCCTTATTGGTCCTTTGTCCGCCTAACCCTTCCAATTGAGTCCAGAACACCAATTGTCGCTTCTGCTATACGAATCTATGCGAATCATTTATTTTAAGCATACTCGGCTTATATACCAGACAGACAGACCGCATCACACCATCAAATAGAAAATAATACTTGTACAAGATCAAGCCAAGTGTGGCTGTGAACGTGGGAGACAATAATCAATAAACTGAGTATAATTTAGGAACAGTAAAACGTACAGTAATAATTCATAGATCAAAATTAAGCTTATAATAAGATGAACATAGATATACACAATCGAATTACTCGATAGTTAAACAATAAGAATATATATAGAATAATAGTCTATTAATAGGTCCTGGGAATTACCCGTACTTATGTCTTCACTGGGATATAACACTTTGCTCTAGAAGTTGAAGGGTCTTTATACAAAAGAGTTCGAGAGCTGAGAAAGACAAACTTAAAACAGTCACGATTAAATTCGTTTGGAATTGTTGTATGAATCTTTTCAATAATGTTTAAGACTTTAATTGATCAATCCCTTTTGTGATGTTTGTCGAGTTTTTAAGTGAACATCTTCAATTTTTATCTTATATTACAGGATTATATTATTCAAATCAATGCATTACCTGATCACGATCTTCCTATATATTTTAATTTATCATCGAATATTGAAAATAGTATACAAAGAAATGAAGCCAATCGTGTTATTACTCAACTTAGATTACTTAATCGACCATTAATGGATATAAAGCATAAATTTGATAAAAATTTATGGAGTAAAGAATTAGGACCAATATTGATATTATGGAAGAAACTTAATCAAGGTTTAAATTTATTACAGGTAAACTGATGTATATAATGAATGAATGAGTTCTATTTTTGATAAGTCTTGCTGATTGATGCGCTATACTTGTATCCTAAGCTAGTCTTGTCACCCCCCAAGCTAGAACTACACAGAGACTTGAACACGAGAGAAAAAGCGCAAAATATATAAGAGAAGCACTTTACTCCAAAGGTTTCTTCATGTACAGAAAATATAGGGCTTTTATAGTATTTTAGAAGTCCTTAGGTTTTCCTGAAGATTCTGGGATGCTACTGAACATAGTAGCAGCATAGTAATAAGCCAATTAGAACGTGTACATGTGACTTTTCATTTTCGTGATATTTCTAGCAAAATTTCTAATCAAACGCTGATTGGATAAAATGCTTCTTAATGTTCCCTGAGCTTGTCATGTTTATTGCGAGAAATTTTCGGGATCGCCCCAACAGTTTTCTAACTTTTGAGATATTACACATCATTTACAAATCAGATAACTTTATCTTATTCTACTGGGTTCACCTTCATGTCACCAATTGAACTGTACACTATCCATCCAATAAATATGAGAACTAAAATGATAAAAACTATTTTAAAAATCTAGAGTAGATGAATTTTACTGTTTTCAAATTTCTTCTTATTTGTATAAGCACACTGGGTCTATCTTCGGCTTCATATCTGAAAGTCATCAGAAGTTAAACTTTTTAGGTTCCTGTTCTAGCAAACGTCTTCCTTCAAAATATGTTACATCGAAGGACATCAGGGTAGTCTTCACAAGGTCTACAAGTCATTTGATCACTGGGATTTATTCGCCGATCGACATACGACTTATACAATCTTAGTACTGTGCCAAACCAATAGTGTGCCATCGGTATGAGCAGCTTAACGTCTCTATTGGTCCTTTTCCCCTCTAACCCTTCCAGTTGAGATCAGAACACCAACACCAGCTTCCACTATGCGAATCATTTATTGCAAACATACTTGGTTTATATACCAGACAAACAGACTGCATCACATCATAAAATAGGAAATAACATTTATACAAGATCAAGCCAAAAAGTGGCTATGAATGTGAGAGACGGCTATCAATAAACTGAACATAATTTATGAACAGGAAATTGTATAATAATTATCTATAGGTCAAAATAAAGCTTATAATAAGAGGAACACACTTAATATAGTTACTGAATAGTTATAGAATAGGAATATATATAGAATAATAGTCCATTAATAGTTCTCAGAAGTTATCCATAATTTAATCTTCACTACGATCTAACAGAAATAAACTAAATTACTAAACCAATGAGCCAGCATCCAACGGTGTTAATGTCTAATTTCATCATCATCATCATCATCATCATCATCATCATCATCATCATCATCATCATCATCATCATCATCATATGCTCACTAGTGACTGGCTCCATAAGGTATTTCCTGCAATTCTAGTGGGAAGCAAAGACCAGTGGAGTTCAACCAGGTCCGTTGTGAGATATCAACTCACTGAAGACATTGGTGAATGGTTGCTCAATTTCATGGATTGGTTGAAGTTAGACGTTAACACCGTTGGATGCCGGCTCAGTTGTCTAGTGGTTAAGTGCTCTGGCGCGAGACTGATGAGTCCTAGGTTCGAGTCGCGCGTGGCGGGATCGTGGATGCGCACTGCTGAGGAGTCTCACAATAGGACGAGACGACCGTCCAGTGTTCCCACGTTTTCCATGTTGGTCTAGCTTCAATTGATTCATGATTTCAACTATAAAATTACTAAAACTATCAAAGCTACAAATTTCACACCGAATTAATGCAAAGAATTTTTTAAAAAGTATCACATTGGAGATGAAACAGAAACTACACCAAGCAATCATATTCAGTTATAAACGGAAACTGTTGAACAGTAATTACAATGACTTTAAAACGTAATTTTACATTTTTATCCCATAATATCACTTTCCTCTCCTAGTCGGAATCGGTTGAAGACTTGGGGATGGGTGTAAATTAGGGGGTTTCAGTAACAAGTAAAAGTCAGTTAAGCATTCTACGGAAATAGTAGCAAACGTCTTAACTGTTATTTACTTTACTATATGAATTTTTTAAGTAAAACAGTGCGTAGCTTTTTGGCTGGTGACTACTTTTGTATTATTACTCTTTCTCTCAGTCTCGAACATCAAACAAAACTAACAAATCTGCCGTGTCCAAATCAGGAGACGATGTCAGTTTTGAGAACAAATCAACAACTGAAAGTCCGATTCGAGAATTTTTACATTTAGAATTATATAATGCTCTTCAGCTTATTCAACATGTGCATTCGAGTTTAGCTAGTATTGCACGAGCATGTAAAGGGACTCAGTTAGTAACTGGAGTAATGCATCAATTAGCTAAAAGTTTATTACATGGTGAAACACCTGATTCATGGTTATTACAATGGCCTGAAGGACCGAATGAGGTAGTCCCTTTCCTACGAGAACTAGTTGTTAAATCAAATGCTGTACAAGTAAGTTATTCATATTTTGTGGGATGATATTTCTCCCTATTTCATTTAAATTATAGAGATTGCATTATCACATACTACATTCAGTCTGTCAGTCACCATTAATTTAGCAACTGGTACGCATGTATATCGACTCAGTTCCCTATTTCTTACTGATAAGTATTCAAGTTTAACATTGTATAAAAAGGACTTTTACTGCTTAACTAGCAGCAGTAAATAACTCTTTAAAATAAAATACATTTCTAACCAATCAGCATTAATATTTAAAGGGTCAGTTCTAAAGAACACTTCTAGTTGAAGGCTCTCGACCAAAAATCGTAGCCAGGTACATGTCACTTATAACTCCTCACATTTTTTAGATAGTTAAATCATTAAAGTAGTGTTTAAAGGGACTAATATCTATATGGGATCTGAAATGTGTATTAAAGCTCTCATTTTCATTAAAACCGAAAACAGTCCTTATTAGCAGAACAAGTTTATCATTTTGAGTTTTCACTAGGATACCCAGAATTTAATAAATTTTGACTACGTTTAGAAACATGAGTTTACTTCTGCTTACCAACACATTTTCATTTCGAGTGTCATCAAAATCGAAGAAACTAAGAGAATCAATCATCATAACACTATTTATAAGATTTATGCACCAACACATTTTCTATCGAAATACATATATCTAGAGTTTGAAGTGATCTATATATGTCAAATGTGTGTGAGTGAGAAATTTGCAATTAGGTCATGTGTTAGTTAGTAGATTACAAAATACATAAGGTTATACACATTAGTAGTGAAGTTGTTTTTCTAAATTTATGGAAAGATAAGTGGTTAATCTTGATCGTGGCTTAGCTTTAATCGATTCACGAATTCAACTAGTAAATTACTACAATCTGCACAAAACCCCGTTTCTGATAATAATAATAATAATAATCTTGATTAGGTTAAGTTGAATTATCAACGAATGGAAGGAGATATGTATACTAAATCTATTAATTATTTCACTATGATACACAATTTAATTGGGGGTGATTTAGGAATTACTGAACTTAAAGCTGATCAAGACAGTGAAAAAGATAGGATGTTTTGTCTTTACAACCAATACAATTAAATTTTTTGGTGTGACATTGCTAATGCTTAATCGATTTGGAAGATTAGAATCTGGATAACCTTTGGCTGGTTGTTTGAAACACGGTAGTCATAGATCGGGTGTTGTTTGCTGATATTTTGTGGATCATAGGAACAAGAAGTATGGGAAGGAGGTGATCGTATTTATTTCCTATTTTTATGTTTTCAACGTATATCCCTTCTTATCATCCATCATATTAATTCGTACAGTCATACCGGTCAACTATTACAAGCTTTGTGTCACTTAGATTCAACCATTTATTACCAAACAATGTATATGAAAATGTAATTAGTGCCAATTATATTATTGTGATCTGTACATTATTTTCGTTTAGGATCGATATCAGTTGTGGTACCATGGAGAACCACTGAGCACTGGAGAGCTGTTTCGTCTTCATCGAGGAGTTACTAGCAGTGCGTACTCAGTCAGGGATCTCATCTAAGTGATAAGCGTCTAAGTTTGAGTTACTTGTTTGGAATTCAATGGTTCATTTTTCTTAAGTCTTACTAATCCATGACAAAAATCATTTATAAATCAAACTAGCTTCTATATAAGCACTTAATCAAAATGTTAGCATGACCATTGTTAATCGAAACTTGCTAATAGAGATCATAACGAATGAACTTATTCCTTACTTCAATCGATTTGTTCTATATATTTTCTTAATTTCCATTAGACGTGGACCAAACAGGTAGAAAATAATCAGTTTTCCAATGAACAAAATGTACAATGTTTAGACTTAGCTAATCTATTTCATCCGGCCACCTTTTTAAATGCTTTACGTCAACAAAGTGCAAGACGCTTGAATGTACCAATTGACACACTTAAACTATCATGTCAATGGCTGGAACCGAATGATCGTAGGACTATTTCCTCTAGTAATAATCAATCATTACCAATACGTATTACGAATTTAAAATTGGAGGGTGCCAATTTCCGAAATGGTCAACTTAGTCAAAGTTGCCAAAATGATCCAAGTCTAGTTCAACTACCAGATATTTTATTAAAATGGACTCAAAAAGTAATAATTATTTTGTTTAAACCATTTAATTCATTATCATTTGTTCGATGATCGATATATTTCAGTCTTCATACCATAATACCAGGAAATGGTAGACTTCAGATAACTTTTGACTCACTAGATGTTGTATAATTGACTGCAACCAAAAACCCTTGGATAAAGGATATACTTAAAAGTACAACAGTTTGATTTTAAATGGCATGGAAGTTTTACCTGTGATTGGTGAAAACTTTTATTTGCCAGGCAAAACAACATGGCACTTAGTAAGAATGTGGGTACTTTTCGATTGTGAGATAGTTGGCAATTTTTATTGAAACTGGTTAATTAATTCATTTAGTCACAAAGCATTCTCAACAAAATTATTGGACCAATCATGTCTGATTTGAGAAAGTTACCCACAAAAGACAACGCTAATTGGTTTCTCAATATCGTGATTTCATCGAAGTTAGACTTGTACGCCATTGGATGCCGGCTTAGTTGTCTAGAGGTTAAGCGCCCGCGAGGAAGGTCGAAGGTACGTACTTCTGATGAGTTTCATACTGACGAAATGCCCGTCCAGTTCTCCCAGGTTTTAAGTTATCTACACTGGATTGGTTCTTGCTCTCAGTAAAACAAAGTTTTTGAACGTAAGACTTATGTTTTAAACGGTAGTCTACTCGAAAGAAATAAAGCTGCTAACTACCCAAACAAATACATTCAACCTAGCAGTTTAATCCATAGAATCAAAGTGAGACTAAGGACTAAACAAGCATAACATTATTCAAAATTCAGTGATTAGTAAGTACTAGGATCTCATCCACAAAGTAGGTCATTTATGACTTAAACAGCTCGATGGTTACACACCAGGCTCGAAACCTACAAACAACATTTTCGTTATGGTTGGTATAACACCTAACTGGAGAATACCAATCAAGCACTATATTTGTCAAAGTTTCTGATATGGCAAGTAATAGCTTAATCGATTAGAATGAGAATAACATTTGAAATTCACTTTTGTTTCCGACAGTATATGACATGTATCTGAAGAAGGTTTATAGATGCTTTACTGTATAATATTGTAAACATTTGTGTTCACACAGTAAGTTATCAAATTATAATTGTTAAATACAATTTATTTCAAATTACACGAATTGGACTGTAAATAAATCATATAAAATATGATGTATTTCTAAATCATCTCGATTTATTTTGGGAGTCACATATATCCTTATCACCAGTCTTCGCACCAACACCAGCTTCCACTATGCGAATCATTTATTGCAAACATACTTGATTTATATACCAGACAAACAGACTGCATCACATCATAAAATAGGAAATAACATTTATACAAGATCAAGCCAAAAAATGGCTATGAATGTGAGAGACGGCTATCAATAAACTTAACATAATTTATGAACAGGAAATTGTATAATAATAATAATCTATAGGTCAAAATAAAGCTTATAATAAGAGGAACACACTTAATATAGTTACTGAATAGTTATAGAATAGGAATATATATAGAATAATAGTCCATTAATAGTTCTCAGAAGTTATCCATAATTTAATCTTCACTACGATCTAACAGAAATAAACTAAATTACTAAACCAATGAGCCAGCATCCAACGGTGTTAATGTCTAATTTCATCATCATCATCATCATATGCTCACTAGTGACTGGCTCCATAAGGTATTTCCTGCAATTCTAGTGGGAAGCAAAGACCAGTGGAGTTCAACCAGGTCTATTGTGAGATATCAACTCACTGAAGACAATGGTGAACGGTTGCTCAATTTCATGGATTGGTTGAAGTTAGACGTTAACACCGTTGGATGCCGGCTCAGTTGTCTAGTGGTTAAGTGCTCTGGCGCGAGACTGATGAGTCCTAGGTTCGAGTCGCGCGTGGCGGGATCGTGGATGCGCACTGCTGAGGAATCTCACAATAGGACGAGACGGCCGTCCAGTGTTTCCAGGTTTTTCATGGTGGTCTAGCTTCAATTGACTCATGATCTCAACTCTACAAAAAATAACTACCATATATTAAATTATTCAATTGTATCTGTTAGTGTCAGTGAAATATGAATCAGTAACTTGACTTAGTTTCACTTCTATTAATAAAGATATCTATGTCAATGTGACCCATTGTATCCAGGTTTAGTAACGACAACATGATATTTTTAAAAACCTAAAATTACACTAGAAACATTATGATTTGTTTGTCAAAATGATTAACAGATGAATAAAGATAGACACATTCAACTACAATATATATATACGAGACTACATAACACCGTAAATTCGTTCGATTGTTAATTGTACTTGAATTTCACCCTGTATTGATTACTATGTATCTTATGTTAATAAACTAGTTGCCTAGTCTACTATGATGGTCCTTGATTACTAACCGAATAATTCAGTCAAGTATATGACATGGGATTGTATTGTGATTTAGTGCCCCACCCAATAGTGATCTATTATGAGATAAGATGGTGGTTGGAGGTGGTCAACAGGAAACCCTGGACCCGAGTTTCGTGCTACTTGGCACTCGTCAGCAAGGTGTACCTGTAATCTTGAGGGAGCTGGTACTCCCTGACGGATTCGACCCCGTATCACCCAGCTTCACAGTCAGAGACGTTACCACTGAGCTATTCGGGCCGCGACCGACCTGCTGTAGGACTGAGATGTAATCACAATTGATTGATCACTGGGTGGTGATCAATGTCATGTGTGTCAAGCCCTTCTTAGTGCTGATCTAATCCGTCAGGAGCATCAGTTCCCTCAAGATTACAGGTACACCTTGCTGACGAGTGCCAATTAGCACGAAACCCGGGTCCAGGGTCCCCTGTTGACCACCTCCAACCACCATCTTACCTCAATATATATAGTGCAGGCAGTGTCGAGCCACCTAGACTTGTGGCCACATTGCAACTTGATCGATAGCATTCGATCAGCACTAAGAAGGACTTGACATGCATGACATTGATCACTACCCAGTGATCAATCAATAGTGATCTATTATCTAATGTTCTAGAAGTAGGATTACAAACCAGAAATCATAATTTTTCCACATTATATCACATTACGATGTTGATTCATTTATTATTATGTTTGTAACCATATATCTTAATTTATACTTAGTATAACACTTATTATTAATTATGTAATTTATTTCTTTAATATGTATATTTAAGGATGAACAAGATCCATTGAATGAAAGCAATTCCATTCATTTACCAATTTACACAAATAATACTCGTGAACATTTAGTGACATTTATTCGAGTCCCCTGTCCTTCAGGTAGTCAAAATCGATGGATTCAAGCTGGAACAGCTTTATTACTTCATTGTTTGTAATGAATAACTGTGATTGGTTGAATCATCTATTTATGTTCATTTCTTTCATGGATTACATAGGAATAAACACATTTTGATTATTATTATTATCAGTTATGTGAATATGAATTGTTTATTGTGCTTTATTACATTCTCTGATTAATATCGTATTATATTGGTAAAACTGATATGATTTTCTTAATGTAATATCTTGTATGTTTGAGTCTTTTTTCATTACTGTGACCAACAATGCAATTGTAAAACACAACAATAAGGAGGAGGAATGAGTGTTTTTATTGCGAGAAGTTACAAAGTATTTACATAATACATATACATAGCCTTCAGTCGTCCATTCGCATCTTTCGGTGTGTTCTGATATCCGAACTGTCTTCTTGTCTAGTTTCCAAGTGTTTTACCAACGCCATGATTTCGATGCACTGAAACGCTTCACTCCGTCTGACAATTGTAGCAGCTTTGAGGTCACGTTCCGCTACACATTAATTTAGGAACAATCTTGCAATTTGTGTCCACTACGGATTTTTAGGATGAGTTTCTTCTTTTTTAAATAATGTTCCCTAAAGACTGGTCTGCGTCATAGCCTAGACTAATTACAGAAAGTGAAATAGGTAGGCGCGCCAGCCACTTCAGCTATCTTGAAAGTCTTATCCATGATTGTGGATTGGTTTCTGACGAAGTATTAACACGGATTCTGAAAGTTTGATTAGATTTTGTCAACTTGTGTTGATGATGCGCCTGTTTGTCATATAAAAGATGAGTATATTACGCAACAGTTTACTGTGTTATGTGAAACGTTGCCTTTAAAAGTTGAAGATATACGTAGATTACTGGTATTTAATCATAGACATTTTCAAAGCACATTGGGCGAACCGAGTTGAGATCAAGGGCAGAGCAACAAGCTACGGTTTTACGTGAATAAAAAATTATCAACAATGTTAAAATTATGCAACTCCGGCTGCAGCTCTTCTAGGGTTATTGCCGGTCACATGTCCGGCTAAAGGAGGAGAATTGGGCATGGGATCAGCAACATCATCTCGTAGGAAACAACTTTACTAACCAGAATAAACAAATAAACCTGGTAGTTGAAGGAAGAATTGTTAAGCCCCATGGTAAAAGCTGGGATTCTTCGTAAGTTACAAGGTCGATGCCCTTCCGACAACCAAATCAACAATTAATATAGCTACACGGAATGTACAGACAATGTGGGAAACCGGAGGGTGTCAGTCAAATAGCGACGGAAATGAAGAATAAGTAAACCTCACTAGACGCAAGCTGAACAGAAAAGATTAGATTTGGGAGAGATACTATTGTACCCTGGCTGACAGGTACATTTCCAGTAAGGACCGGAGTCAGACAAGGCTGCTTACTCTCCTCCTTCATCTCTCTTCTGATGACTGACTGGATTATGAAGACCTCGACATCTGAGAGAAAGTACTGAACACAATGGACAGCTCGAAATCAACTAGACAGTTAAGACTTAGCAGATGACCTGACCATCCTATCTTAAACGCAGCAACAGATGCAGCTGAAGACAATTAGTGTAGCAGAAGCCTATGCATCAATAGGCCTCCACACACATAATGGAAAAGCAAGATCCTCCAAAACAACACAAAGAACACTAACTTAGTCACACCTGATGGAGAAACTCTGGGAGAGGTGGAAGCATTTGCGTATCTGGATAGTATCATCGATGATTAAGGAGGATCTGATGCAGACGTAAAGACCAGGATTGGTAAAGAAAGAGGGCATTCCTACAGCTGAAGAACATATGGGACTCAAAACAACTATCAACCAACATCAAATTCAGAATCTTCAATACGAACGTCAAGACAGTCCTACTATATGGAGCTGAAATCTGGAGAACTACCACAACCATCATCAAAAGGGTTCAAGTATTTATAAACAACTGTCTACGTAAGATACTGAATGTCCGTTGATCGGATATTATCAACAACAGTTTACTGTGGGAGAGAACGAACCAGTTTCCACTTGAAGATGAAATTAGGAAAAGACTCTGGAAGTGGACAGGATATACATTGCGGAAATCATCAAACTGCATCACGAGACAAGCGCTAACTTGGAATCCAGAAGGAAAACCAAAGAACACACTATGCCGAGAATAGGCAGTAGATTTCAAAAGGATGAGTAGCAACTGAAAAGGAAAATACTAGTGGGCTGCTTATGCTCCTCCACGAGTGGTGACAAGCATAAGTAAGTAAATATAAGTAACACAAAGAAAAATTAGAACATGTTATTATCAGTCCAACTGTAGATGGATTAGTAAAAAACAATGAAAACTTTCAGATTTAGTGCTTATCACCACGATTGTTTACAGAATATGATGTGACACGAATCTAATAGAGTCTAAAGAGATCAACTATTACTTACTAATCAACAATCCGTTCAAAGTGAGCAGTAAGACAATAGTAAAAGTTATTCATACTCAACCAAAAAGAAATATTACATGACTAAACCCTTTTTCCATATAGTTGGTTTTCTGTTAAGGTTTAAAACTGTTAAAAATTAGGGGAAAAGTGAAAATATAAAACACTGAAAACTATTTTTTTTTCCAGTGAATTCGTTATTTATATACAGATAGATAATCGATACATATATAAGTAGAGAAAAAGATTTGAGGCTTTTCAGTGAATGAAGTATTTTTCTACATGACATTTTCTTAACCTATACAATCGTATTTATAGGTAGCTTTTTACATGGTCCCCATTGCACAATCCAATTATTATTTGAACTTATTAGCTTAGTCGACAATGCGATGTTTGGAGTTAAACAGTATTGGGTTTCTGTCTCTGAATAAACATCATGTCTGGGATGCAGCAACTTCCAACTGATGAGTCCTAAATAGAGTCCTGGATTCCACGCTAGCCACCATTCATCTCTACTTATAATGTATTTTAGATTGTTCGGGGTGTTACATAAAACTGTTGAGTTAATTTATTGGGTTAGAAATATAGGTGAGAATACTTTTATTATGATATTTAAACTTCCTAGTTTTCAGATCCTGATTAAAGATATATTATGACGTAAATTGTTTCCTGATGTCTTTTGAAGTTTTTCCTATAAAGTTTTACCATAGTGAAATAGGGGTGGTTCCACAAAATTATCATGGATAATCAAACTTATTCACGCATCAAATGTTAAAGTTAATTTTAATGTTAATGTTTTAATGTTAATTTTGAATTACTCTTCTATTTTACTATAAACTACTCTATGTAAACAATTACCTATAAATACGATTGTACAACATCAGAAAATTGTATCATCAGAACAAATTTCCTTCGTTTTGTTTTAAAAGTGAGACTTATTAAATAATCAGTTCATAATATTTTAAGATTGTCCTAATTGTAATCTTTTATTTAACCTTGTTAATGGTGGCTAGATCTAATATCGTTCATACACTACATTTGCTCCAATATGGATCTATCATCAGTACAGGGTTATGCAAACTGTTGGGTTTTTATTGACATCATGAACGATCAATGTTATACTCAAAGGTCTAGAGATGAAGCGTTCGTGCCCAAAAACTAATGGTCCTGGGCTCTATTACCGCGAAACAGATCGTCGATGCGCGCCATCGATGAGTCTTATACTAAGACGAAACGCCCGTCCAGTGCTTCCAGGTTCTTAATGGTAGTCTAACATTGATCGGTTCATAAACTCAATAAAAAATCTAATAATCATTGTTAAGAGTATGCAGGTGAATGCATGATAAAAATGTGGATGCCCTAGTTTCGATCCCTTATGAGGTCTTGGATAGCTACTATTGAGAAGTCCAATCCTAGGATGAATCAGTTATCCATTATCGTTTCAATTCCAATAGTTGTACAAGTATGAAATTTGACAATCTCTACAAATCACTTACACTAATATAAAGATTAGTCAATCATGATTTTTACTTTATTTAAACACATAAATATCGGTACAATAAAGCACCAAATAGATATGCACCGCACAAATCTCATTTGATTTGTGTGAGAGCTGTGATAATGCACAGGTGCCCAAACCGAAGCAGGTGATTTTCTTAGGGGGCCACACCCGGAGCCTTCGACCTAAAGGTCTGGTCCACAAGGTAGGGGAGCATCGTGAAGAGATGTAGTCCCATGGTAGCCTGCGATCAACAATTGGTTCATACGACATTTGTCCCCTCAGGATACTGGAGCCCATGTGTACCATTGATTTGGAATCAGGGTTTTCCAACTCCTCTAGGTAGACTTTCCGTGTCCACCAACCCAGTAAATGCGCCGGACATTCGCTTTTCATCTTCTCAATTTCGTAAACAACAGTAATTCCACGAGAAGGCAGTGAGTTGACCATCAATACAGTAAGAAATGCATATTTTCAACTGTTTGCTTTTGTTTAAAAGAATCAACGTGTTTAGTTTACACATCATGTATGCAGTCAGTCAGTATTTTAATCGAATAATCTAATTCTGATTTGACATCATGTGCTGTATGTTACTGTAGTAGTTTTTTTTCTCTCAAAATAAGCAAACATTCCTATCATTAATAAAATAGCAAAGTTTTAATGTGATAGATTTTTGTGGAATGAAATAAATTACATGTGATAACATCAATCAACTTGCAGTCAATAATTCCATTACTATAAGCCTGAAAATAGGTGACTCTTTCCAAGTTTTTATGTAATGTTTATCGTTAAGGTCTGTAATTGATCAGTATCTATTAGCATCTATACATTCTGACAAATTTGCAAAACAACTTATAACTAAACTGAAATATCTAGACAATTCATACAGAATGTACATATACGAATAGAGGTTGATCATTTATAGTTTATAACATTAACAATGTGAAAATATAAACTCTTACAAAATAAAACTATTACTCGTTATACAAGCTAATGATTATCTGAATTCAATAGTTCAGTGAATGAGACATTGGCGTTTGGAATGAGGACTACTGTAACTATAAAACTGGAATGCTGGTATATCCGATTGAAGAGTCCTGAATACGACGAAACACGCATATTGATATTTCAATAATAGCTGCTGCATAACTTTCATAAGAAGAGACAAAATGATAATAACTTGGAAGAAAAAGTAGATCAAATGTGTAAATAATACAGAATTAAAAAGTGTAATCAAACAATCATTCTTTGCTAAATTAACTGAGATAAGTCTTCAACTAATCAATTATGATTTTCTAGAAATTACTCTTCTAAATAATCTGAATGCTCCAATTCACATCACTAAACAAAGAGATGGGTCTTTTCTCTGTCAATTAAGGAGGAGATTCAACATTGTCATCTGTACAATACAATAACTTAAATTAATCTGATTAACGATTAATTACAAATGATAATGAACACCAAAAAATAATGTGTAATAAAGCTTCACTTCTGTTCATTTCATTGAAAATCCAATAGTGATGACGCGATACATTTGTCTGGGCATGCTGATAAGGAGTTGACTGAAACAACAACCATTTACATTAAACGATCGATTGTCCAGTTAAAATTCTTGCCAAAATTAGAAGATCAAGAGGCTCAGTCAAGTATCTTATTATTATTTCTTATCATTATAATCGAACTTGGAAATTTACGTGTTTATACTCAGAAATCTCATTATTCTTATAACTAGGACATTTGCAGTACAAATTTGAACAACAAGTTTATTATTGTTTGACTTATTGTAATTTGTGAAGGGTAACAGATGACTGAGACGGTTAATGAGTTAAGCAAAAGCTTACAATTAGGACAGTATTAAAGTACTATGAATCGATCCGTTGGTTAATACAGATTACCTAAATGACTAAGTGGCCAGGTGACCTTCTTACTTGGAAATCTTAGATGATAGATGAAAGCTTCACAGAAGGGTAGTACATTTCAGATAACAAATTAAAGAGAACTAATATACAAATATTTTAATTATTAGAAGAATGGAACAGATTGAGATTAAAGGGGAAAGATTTGGTAAATCGAAAGAAATTTCACTTCCCCAAAGGTTAATTTTTATAAGTAGTGTAGTGAACAAGAACACGAGTGGGGACAACCGAATGTATTTAAGCACAAATTACAATCTGATAACCATACAGTAAACAGTTAATTTGCAAAATAACAATCAATTGTCTCAATCTTGACTGTTCCTTCTGCAAATATCAGTCCATATTCTCTGATCTCATTGTTCATGCATTTTCATACCGGTTGCGATTCCTTCTTGTTCTTTTCTTAACGATCTTCTGCCAAAATATATTCTATGCCTGGCCCTCACCATATACTACTTATGTGGATACAAGTAACCCACACCATAGTAGAATAATTATACATAGTCCTAATAAACTACCTCTCATTATTACCTAACTAAATTACTGTGAAAATAAACATTAATTTATAAAAGCACTTAAATGAGTAAAGTGTATAACTTCATGTACATATTGATATGTACGAATAAGAGTAAATTTAGATCCTCTAAGTAGTGTTACATTTATTGTCCACAAAAAATTATTTAATCTGCAAAAGTGCAAATGGTATGGGAATACATAGTCAAAAAAATATTGGCCGAATTTATCCACAACGATTTAGATGTTCACTAGGTATGTTATACACTGAACTTCCAGTCACTTTTCCATTCCTTTCTTGAGTGAATGTTGTACATCAGAGTGTAATTTCGATTAAAGTGTTATTTCAAGTCCAAATGTTTAGTGTTTGTGTTCTTTTTGCGTCACCCTCCATCGACATGTTCAAGACAGACAGTTGTAAATAAATTCTAACACTTGAAATTAAATCTTTAAGAAAAATGACACTTTAATGTCCAGCATTCATTCACTAAATAAACGAGAAAATAAGTTAAGGTGGTACGTATCACCCACTTAGTAAACATTGAAAATATTAACATGAATCATACTAATTTTACATTTCAGGCGTTAGGAAAAGTGATAGCATTTCTTTTCTATTCTGAATACATGTTACTTTATCCTAATCCCTATCAGTTCCTTAATTTGAAGAACTATGCATTAAAAGGGTTACAACATGTTAAACGAATTAACTGACTATTGTTAGATGAGCTTTTTAAAGACAGTTGAAGGTATTCTCAAGCAAAGTGTGACACATAATAGAATATAGTTTATGAGTCATATTTGCAATGATGTTGAATAGATGCACCAGTGATTTATTTATGGCTTCGAATATGCGACATACTGGCAGTGTTATTGGAATATAATTCAAATTAATGTTAACTTCAAATTCAGATAAGCTCTCGCTTTACTACAATTGTAAAATAAACTGGTAACCTTTGGTTCAATCTACACACTTCATCGCTGATTATTGCGTAAAACGCATGACTGATTGAGTTTTGCATAAGTAGGCATATACTAAAATGATAATTTTATTAATTAACAATTGAACATAGCTAATTAAACCGATTTTGACATTTTGTTAACATATATGTTTTGGTGATAACGATCTAAAGTAGATATAATTATCGAATATATAAAGGTAGATATCTACAGAATCTTAGTATCTTTATAACTGGAAAATGAAAGGATTGTTGTTTACTGACTACATTATTGCATGAATACTACGATTATCTATAAGTCTTACAGTTAACTTGATTTTCGTACTACATAATCATGTGTTAGTGTTTTTCAGAATGGCGAATTTAAGATAATTTGAAAAATTCAGGGTAATCGAACAGCACTAAATTAGGTGGTGTCTACAAACGATGAACGTATAATTAGTGATATCATATAGAACCAGGTGATGATCAACTGAAAGAACACAGCGTTTGGGGAGGAATGATTAGTCAGTCATCGGTTGGATGGTGAGTGAATACATGAGTGATATGAGGGACTTAACAGTCGGAATGTTTCAGTTGGGTGTAAAACACAAGAGTTTGTTTTGTACAAATGTGAGAGGTAGAGTAGGATGTAGATATGAATTATTCATCCGCTACCATAGGACTGTTTCTCATGAAATTGTTCCACTCCCTTTTAGATTAGGCTTCTAGGCGAAAGGCTCGGGGAGTGGCTCCTCAAGAAAGCCACCTGTTTCGGTCTACGCGCCTCGACCGATACACTAATGTCAGTGAATAATTGTGAAGAAACTGATCTATTCTTTTTGCTTAGTTGCTTACTTACACGTTACTCACAATAACGGTAACAAACATGAATTTATTTTACGCTGTTTTAACTGTTTATCACATTTTATTTCCATTCGGTGTATACTTTAGTATCCCAACTTAATATGTAAGGTTTATTCAGCCGATACATTTTATTTCACAGTAGCAAGGTGAATTGATAAAAACATAAAACGAATGGGAATTAAAACAGGCAAGTTCATTATATCCACACAGAATATTCTGAAGCTTATGAAATTCACCCAAAGTTTAGTTACAAAAAGAAAACAATTTAAACGGACAATAGTTTTGTTCCCTCTATAAGTAGTATATAGACAATTAGCTAATTTTTTCTTACAAATATCAGTCTATAACTCTTTTAATAAAAATAAGTTTATCGAAAAAAAAGTGAAACTCTACTTTGAAATTCAGTTTACAGTAGTATATATGCTTTTTTTTCTCCTAAATGATGAAGAATTCTGTACAGGAATGTAACTTTAAATAAGGATTTTATTTGAATACGAAATTAGCTTTATAAGTCTATTGACCTTCCCTATTCTATCTATATGAACAATTAGTTCGTCGACATCTACCTGAATATAAACGATTAGTAATTGAATTTATACTAGAACTTCTTGGTAATCCACTAATTAATGGTAATTGTTTATTGAAATGTTTTAATCGTTGAATAATTGATTCCCCGCTTAACTCAATAGTATCTAAATTTTGCTTGATATGTGGATTAAAATGATATGATTTTGGACATTGACATTTATCAGTTTGGGATGCAAATGTAGGTCGAATAACACGTTCAATTAAATCGTTTTCTTGTTTTTTATCATGTAATTGAAGAGTTTTATCAATTGAATAATTATTAACTACACCTAGAGGAGTTTTTAAAGATGAATTTTGATCGCATAAAACACATACTCCACGACTTTTCAACTTACTAGAAGTAGTCGGTCGTGTTATTCGATCAAGTTTATGATTGATTTGTTGAAAAGTTTCCCACTGATTAATATATTGAATTGGTTTAAAATGACCTCTTTGATCAAATAAACTAGACCTTGATTCTGGATTAGTGATTTTTTGCATTTTAATATTTTCGGTAAAATAATTAGTCGAATGATCGATATGTCGTTTTGACAATGTAGATAATAATGCTTGACTTTCTTTTTGACGTGCAATAGATCCAGCTGTTCCTGAACTATGAAGTCGTCGAACAATTTTATTAATTCTATTCCATTCAACTGGTTTTTGAATAGTAGTATGTCGATTATGTACATTAGAGCAAGCGCTAGAACAATGACAATGTGTGCTCATTATCCAATTTTCATTATCTTCTTTCAGCAATAATTCACCACGAGCACATGCACATGGTGGTAAGAGTGGATTAGTTTTTCCAGTTCTATTCCATATTTCCGCTAATTTATTCAGTCTATCCGAAACTATTTCATAATCATCAATTGATCTCAAGTCGACCAAACGACTTGAACAATTCGATGGTGATAACGATGACAACGATAGTGGCGATGAAATCCCTCGATTAGTTAATGTTTCACCATCATAATACTCTATAGGATTAACACCATTACTTTCATTATTGAATTTTGGATTTTGACTGTCTAATGTTTGATGATGACTTCGACTAGATAAACTGGTTAATTGAGCTTGAATAATTGAAATTGTTGGTTTACTAAGACGTTCTATTAATTTTTTCTCCTCTTCTACGCTAATACTTTTATATCCATAAAATTTCGGAGATGGTAAATACTCAGGACGAGATTTATATAAACTACTCGCCATTGAATCAAATACTGATCACAATCATTAACAAGAATATATGTGAGTAAAAAATTATATCACACCAATTATGGTTTTGTTAAAACAGTTGAGAGAAAAATAATATTCAATATTACAATTAAATGTTTGATTTTTTTTTCAACTAACCCTCCTATCGTGAAATCTCATAATGTCAAGGTGAAGGTCGTCACCGTGGTGCTATTAACTCATTAACTAATAAACTTGGTAGAATTCGATATGACCTAAACACGTTTACATAAAAACTATATAACCATTCAAGAAAAATTTAATATATTATGATCAAATCGAACATATGAAGAACTCATTAACATTGATACTTACATTACAGTTCATGAATTAGAATAAAATACTAACTGATAACAGAATAAAACATGAAAATTATAATGAATATGTACATTTCCTTGTTTACAAGAATGGGACATTAAATGTAAGTAAAATTTAATGTTAATTCTCATATTATTATTATAAGGGATTTTGTGGAGATTTAGTATTTTCATACTTGAAAGCGTGAGTCAATTGAAGCTAGACCATCAGGGAAAACCTGGAAGCACTGGGCGACCAACTCGTTTTATTATGGGACTCCTCAGCAGTGCGTATCCACAACCTCGCCTCGCGAGATTCGAACCCAGGACCTACCGGTCTTGCGCCAGAGCACTTAACCGATAGACCACTGAGCCGGCATCCGATGGTGTTTATGTCTAACTCCGACCAATCCACGAAGGTGCACTGGAGTGAGACTGGTAGGTCCTTGGTCCGAATCTAGTGAGGCGAGGTCGTGGATGCGCACTGCTGAGGAGTCCTACAATAAGACGAAACAGCCGTCCAGTGCCTCCAGGTTGTCCCTGGTGGTCTAGCTTCGATTGATTCACGCTTTCAACTATGAAAATTCTCATATTCATTTATGATTTGTTAGAACTCATTTACCAATGATTTTCAAGTCAGTAAGATGTTAAGTCCATAAAGTTTATAAACTTATATAACTAGAATTATTTATTCATCAGTTATTAATAGAGACTAGGTTTGTATTTCGATCACAATCTCTAAACTACGCCCTGATAAGCAAAAAATGAATAGTGGCTGGCAGTGGAATTCAGGACGCGCGTTTCGTCCTATTTAGGACTCGTCAGCTGAATGTACCTACATCGGAGTTGATGTTCATTCTGGGACTCGAACCCAGTACCATTCGCTTCAAACGTCACCCACTCAGCTACTGAGTCCTGATAGCCACTTGTTTGTGCAATAGGGTGAAGTTTAAATTTACTTGGTATTGTTTACTTAGATTTCACCGCTAGCCACTATCCATCTTGGTCTAGAATGCTGGTGAAGTAAGGCAACATCGAGGCAATACGCACATATGCCAATAAGAGATTAATCAATTGCAGTCCTAAACATCAATGGGAAGATTCAAGTAAACAATACCAAATGATTTTACGCCCTGACAAGATTAACCAAAAAACCTACCATACGTAAAATTTATTTTGATGATGGTTTTTAGTAAGAATTTTATGTTGATTGAATAACCATTGCAAATAACAAAATATTATAACCTATGTAACCTGGAAGTAGTTTAATATAATGCAAATTTAATCATACTTTAGAACGAGTTCAACGTATCTTAGAAATGATGATAAATGAACGTTCTATCTCAATGAATAGGCATATTTCCATATGAATAACGGAGTGAAAATGGTGAATTTAAGAGTGATTGAGACATATAGTAATAGGCGAAATATCACATATGGTGCAGCTAACAGATTTCCAACAAAAGAAAAAAACAGCAGGAGTCAAGAGAAATGCTAAGACTTTACTCTTCTTATTGCCAGATCTAAATTCCAGAAGCAGGCAGTGACTCCTTAAGGTAACCTATCAATTTTATTTCGGAAGTTTGGTAATTAACAACACTTAGGGAATTTATGACAAGAAACGAAGAAATTACACAATCTACTTGATGTGCTACAAAGCACATAAGCACCACTTATATTATTTTAGACATGTTATTTTCGTGCGAGAATCATGTGATTAGCATTGTTCTTCCTTCGGATCCCTTTTATTGTTTTTATGGAATGATAACTGATAGAGGTCAGAGCACATTTAGATCGTCTTATATTACCCTCCTACAAGTTAATTTCTGATTCGTCTAGACTAATTTCCTTTAAGTAATATGTTTTGTTCAAGTTCCCCTGAATGCTTGCACTTAATACAAACGGAATTATAGACAATTCAGACTAAGATATTGAATAATCTCACCATCGGTGAATTTTTGCACTCGAAGATTTGTGAATTCCAGTATATCTCTGTAAATGGTTTACTCACTAATTAGTTCAAGAGCCGTTTGATTACATTATATTTGATAGATGTTAATGTCGCAAACACGTCAGAACTCCACTACTCGATTAGATACTTGTTCACAATCAGTGAGTTGTCTGGCTAAAAGATACAGCAAAGACATAAATCAGCTAGTAACGAGAACAACTCTTTTTTTATTTTTGAAAAACATCCTGGATGATTTAAATTCAAATAAGTGACCTATGTTGAAAAGTGTACTGGACGGATATCACGGGGTATAAATGCTCAGACATATAAACACTTATTAGGAATTGGTTATAAATTGAAAAATAAGAAACATTATCTGTTTTGTATTAACGTAAACCTAGGTTTGGTAAATATGAACTGAAATCAGTAACTAATACGCAACTTGATGTCTAATCTCCATGATTCTAGTTTGAAGGTGAATATATTATATTACAATTAACTGATATTAGTGTAAACAGAAATATGAATTTTAAGTCAGTTGCAACGTAGAAAATGGTACGTATGTACATCGGTTGAAGTTGTCAAATCCCATTACCACAGAAAAATGAAATTGTTACAGTCAATCCCAGAATAATACAGGTAGTAACAGTATTAGTGGTAATGGAGGAGACTAGGGATCGAATATGCGACTCAATGGAATATAAATTACTGAAACAAAAAGAAATATATGGGAATCAGAAGCTTAGAATCTGGGGTAAGATAAATAGTGGATGTACCTGTACTATTTCAAAAGATTTTGAGCTGTCATTCAAAGTCGATAACCATTGGTTATGATATTCACGCGGTAATATATACCTATTGACATGGTCAAGTTCAGTTGTCAGTGACTTCAAGGACTGATGCCATGATTTGTTTTGGCCGCCCTTAGTGGTCTTCGGGCCTACTCTTGTACCAGAAAACACGGTCCGTCAAGGTAGGCAGCGGTTCGATATACGTAACACATGTCCCAACTACCTAAGTTGAAGATTTACTACCCCTTCAATCGATTTGTCACTTTTACCTAGTACTCGATTCCTAATCCAGGGATTGGCTACTCGGTGGTCCCAAAATACACGAGCAATGCTTCAAAGACACTTACGATCGAGTACCATTGACTTATAAATATCTTCTAGTGTTTCTGATGTCTGTTTGAATGTTGAATACGTTGATATACATCAAACCTGTCTTTGACTTTAGTTTTTAACACATTGGGTCGATTAGAAGTCAGACAAATGGGAAGTGTGTGTAACTGGTCAAGAAATAGCCCAAACTTCGTAGGGATGGGGCAAATAACATTAGTGGCTTAATTTCCTAAGGGATATGCATATCGATTCCGTTGGTCAGAGAACTTCCTTCCTCACTCTGTCTTTTCACTCAGATAGTCGGCTGGGTTCGTACATAAAATTACGTATCACTACCAAATTTCGGACATTGACGTATAAATTTCCTTGATGTTTTGACAAGTATTCTACTAAAAAACAGGATATTTTCAGGTTGTTTTACTTTCGGAATTGCATTGGATAGTCAGCACACTATTCCTTATAAAATCTATGATAAAGCTTGCGTAGATACTATGAGTCACCACGTGGAACTGAAAGGCAAGTATTAACTATGTTCGTTAAATTTATGAAGATTCTTTCTAAACCATTAAAAGTAAGAAGCACAGTTTCACTGAGACAAATTGAGTGAAAGATTGACAAATAGTTAACAATTCTTAAAAGTATGCGTTGTCGGGCTCACTATCCCAAGGAATGTAGTTTATTAAGCATATTAACAATACTGACTAGTGTCCACCTTTGGTACAAATAAAAACACTGGTGATCAACTGGATTATGAAGAAGTTAACATCTAGAGGGAAGCACGGGATATAGTGGACAGCTAGGATGCAACGGGACGATTTAGAATTCGCAGATGATCTGGCTCTTCTATCACACACGCAACAACAAATGCAGGAGAAAACGACCAGTGTAGCAACAGTAGGTCTAAATATACACGAAGGGAAAAGCAAGACTCTCCGATACAACACAACATGCATCAATCGAATCACACTTGACGGAGAAACTATGGAAGATGTAAAAACCTTTACATATCTGGGCAGCATCATTGGTGGACACGTTGCATCTGATGCAGATATGAAGGCGAGGATCGGAAAAACAATAGCGGTGTATCCATAATTTAAGAACATCTGGAGATCAACTCAACAACTACCAACCAACACCAAAGTCAATTTTCAATACAAGTGTCAAGACAGTTCTACTGTATGGGGCGGAAACTTGGAGAACTAAGAAAGCCATCATCCAGAAGATACAGGTGTTTATTAACAGTTGTCTACGCAAAATACTTCAGATCCGATGGTCAGAAACTATCAGCAATAACCTACTGTGGGGGAGAATAAACCAGATTCGAACGGAGGAAGAAATCAGAAAGAAACACTGGAAGTGGATAGGACACACATTGAGGAAATCACCCAACTGAGTCACAAGGCAAGCCGTCACTTGGAATCCTTAAGGCCAGAGGAGAAGAGGAAGACCAAGGAACACATTACTCCGAGACATGGAAACAGATATGAGAAAAATGAACAACTGGATAGAACTAGAAAGGAAGGCCCAGGACAGAATAGGTTGGAGAATGCTGGTCGGCGGCCTATGCTCTATTGGGGGTAACAGGCGTAAGTTAGTAAGTATGCAAATAAAGCGACCTGAGTTATGTGTACGTACACTATTGTGAATGACTTTCTACTGGATTTTAAGGATATATTTTGCGTATATATCAATAAAAATTCTTCATGTTCTTGAACACTCAGTTCTCTAGAGCTTAAAAAAAGATTTAGATTCATAGCTTTTGAAAGTTTTTTAACTTTCGGTAATGCTAAAGGCAAACAAATACTTATTCGGATGGTATTTTCCAATCACGTGGTAGAAATGATCAAGTCGATTTATATGATATGCAACGAATAATGAAATTAGTTACCTACTAGTGCAGAAATAATTTGCAAAGGCACAAACGAATAAACAAGTACACATACATATCATTTCCTTGGCTGCTACCATGAAACACTTACTCTTTTAGGTCTTACTATTCCAGGGAGGTTGGCTGGAGGGCGAAAATAACTGAAAGCAGCAAACTTATGGTTCGAGAGCGATGCCTACTGCCGACTGTAAAAGGGTATGAGGGTAGTAAGGATCTGCAGAGATGTGGCCTCCTCACAATGGGAGAGGTTAGAAAAATTTACGATCAATACAAATCTTTATTAGTTAATTGCATCCAGATATTAGAAACGGGAAACTAACGAGTTCCCAAGTACTATTTTGTCAGTCAAAAGGTTAGTTCAACTAACAAAACATTATTAATAACATATTTGTGCAAATTTCTAAACAGAAAAACAACTTTGAGTAAATTACTATACATTAAAATATGAGCATATACAAGACTTAATGAGGCATTTAGAAAACATACTATTTTGGTATTGTGGACTTCATCAATCACAAACCTTCAGCAGCTTAATATATAGTTTTATCTGCCGATTTCTAATTATTCTAAGCAGAAAAGGTAGTCAATTTCACCAGTTTAGATCTGGATAGCTTCAATCCACAAATTCTGTGACTGTTGATCTGTGCTATTAGTGCAGATCACATGTTTGGAGGCCAGATCATCGTGAATGGCGGTTGAATACATTGAATAATATGGCTCAGAATCGATCGCAATAGTTCAGGAACATTCTTTCTCTTCCCTTAGATACTGAGCCTCAAGATTTTTTAGTAGCTACTTATTCTTGAATTATATTTTTCATGCTTAATGTTTTTGCTACCATTGAACTTACCACATTGATATTCATCTTGATAGCTTCACCTCGCCGTGTTGATTTGGTGTGGCAACTTGGCCCGATCCACGTGTGCCGGGTTCTATGTTGTTTCTGAGTCACAGAGTTCTAAATAGCTGGATACTCCTGCAAAAGTCTAATATTACACGGGAGCTCCCTAATTGTTTTCACAAGGTGACGATTTCGAAAAAAACAATTACCGATGGAGTGTCTTTGGAAACGACTGATGATGTTGAAACCTGTTGGTGGTTACGTTTCAATCCAATTATCTGTACTGAAGGTAAATGTAATTCAGTGAAAGGTTTTATACGTTTCAGTAAGTATATTGCCAAATAGTCTCTAGTTACAAGTGTAGAACACACAATAGCTGAGATGAAGTCCTTGTATGTGTGTGTCATTTCAAAAACAATTGTTTTGTGAGACGGCACTTTTCAGACCTGTGGATTTCAGCTCAGCGATGGTTAGAAAGATGATTTCAATAAGCTTGGTACACAAGATTACAAGGACGGAGTCAACACTATTTGGATAGACTTCGATAAAAAGACAGTGTCTTTTAAGATGAATGGCGAAAAAGACTGAGAAGTACACAAGATCCTTTCAATTGAAATGTGATCAATACATTCTAACAATCCAAATAACGAAGAAATATTTGTTCGCTCCACATAAGACATCTAGCATTTTATTATTAAATTAGTTGAAAATAGGAGTATTATGCTTGAGACAACGTTGATCAGAACTCAAATAAACGGTAAAGTGCTCAATGGTATTTTTAAACACATCATCGAGTTCATCTGTGTTTTCAAGAGAATACTAGGAACCTTAAAGACTAAGTGATATGTTTTCAAAACAAGGGGTTTCCAGCTCAACTGAGATACACTTACTTTGAATTAAAAAAGCTGGTTGAAAGGTATAGGAGTACGAGCACGACAAAAAAACTTGATATTCTCCAATAAAAAATGCTGATATTTTGCAATATATAATGAGAAAATGGAAAATAACCGGAATAACTTCTAACTTGAAAGGCATAATAAAATCGGTAGTTGATGGAAATGGAAAAATTTAAGATAGAGTAATCAACAACAAGAAAAAGATAAGTGACGTCTCATTCTGTTTCTTCAAGCCTGGCACGTAAACGAGCGGCATAACCAGTAGAGCGTAAGTGGTAAGTTAATTTTCGAGATTGTCTTTTAGACGTTACAAGTGTTTTCTCTGAGTAATGACGAATAGGTAATGCATTTAATGATTGTTTAGATTTAGACAGTGGGGCATCTGATTTTATATTGATAGAAGAGTGTGATCTCTTAATGAATTCTGATTTATCTTGTAAGCTCTTTCCAGTGTTTGTTGTTCTAACTGAACTTGGGGCATTTGAATGTGTTTCATTTTTAAGCAAATCAATGACAGGAATAGTTGTTGGTACCTTTTGATATACAATATTTGGAGCAGATACTGGTAAACGTATCATCTCACTTGCAATACCTATTACGTGTTCATAAATTTCAGCTAATTTTTGCAATTTCATTGCGAATTCAGCGTTTAACTTTGGAATACGATAAAGGCGAGGAAGCCAATAGCGTAAAGTTAAACGATATCTATCATCTGGTTTAAGTGATTCTATATCAATCGCAAGACTATGAAATAAATGTCCAGATGGAAAGAACATCCATGACGGAAGAAAGCCTAAACAATTGGATTTTCGATCAGATGGTAACAATTCATCAATTAAATATGTCAACGATCGTAAATAGTTATATACAGTGTGAATTGAAGTAAAATGATGAACAATAGACGAATCAACAGACAATGATGATGATGATATTCGATCAGACAACTTTTTCTGTAGGAATTTAATCAGAACACCATAATGTTCAACTGTTTTTTCATCTGATTCCATAACATTGAAATAATTGGTGACAGCAATTGCTACAGTTGCTAGAACAATAGGAGAATTCCGTAGATCATCAACTGAATTGATCTTATTTTTTGTAGTAGCATGAAACCAAAATGCCAAGGTCAGTGCTAAACTTACTAACCATTTTCTTTCAATATTAAAATTAGAAAATGAAAATCCAACTATACTTGAAAGCATTTCATCTGTTGTATTTTCATGTTGATTTAAAATTAGAGGGTCAACCTGAATTTGATATGTTGTTAATGTACCACCGACACGATGATATTCCAAAATATAAGGATTTAAACCGATTAGTTTTTGTTTTTGTGATAGGTTATGTTCAATACCACATAACAAACGATAGTGCATCCATCTTAAAGGTAGCGAAATTTCATAGGCTGACAATTCAATATTGGGATTTTCAATTAATAAAGGCAGAACAACGCCACCTTGACAATAGATAGGAGTTAAAATGAATGGTGCAAGTTTATGTTTAAAATATAATTGTGATAAATTTGTTGACCATCTTTGTGTAAAATCCATACTTCCTAGGATAATAGTCGACTGACCTTTTAATAAATCACTAAGACGTCTTTGCCATAATACAGTTTGTGTTGTGGAATTAGCTTCCTGTGGGCTATATACAAAAATTGGAGAATTCAACTGATTTCCAGTTGATACTGGAGTTTCTTGATGAAGAGAAACAGATAATTTCTGACCTAGATATAAGTTTGGAAAGTATCCCGCCAGTGATTCTGTGAGCATTTTTAAGAGCTTACCTCTTTCTTTGGAAGAGTAGCATTTTAGGATTTCATCAATTGGGGTCTGTGAATCAGTGCCAAATTGGGAAAACCATGAAACTAGAGTAAGAAAGCGTCGAAATTTGTAGCTTTTTTTCTCTATGCTGTTTATGATCGAGTACAAGTAGTTGGGGAGTTTTGTCTGAGGCATTGAGTCTGTACCAAGTAACAAGCCAATCAATGGTCGACATTTTGGATGAACTGAAGATGGTTGAGGAATAAATTCATGGACTGTTAAGAAACGACATGGAGTTTGGATGGATTGGGATTCTGCATCTATTGATTCACAATAACAACTTTCTTTGAATTCCAAACATTGAAATTTCATGAGTGATAATGGGATAAAACAAGGAGATGTATCAGATGACATCTGGTGAGTACCGATTAAAAAATATTCGGGAGAACTAGCAATGATTGGATGGTGAAGATAGGTAGCTAATGAGACACAACTTCGTATACGAGGATAAGGAGATTTCAAAAATTTTATTTCCATATCACTGAGAACATCTGTTAACATACTCTGGAGAAATATATGGTAAGGCATAGGCGATGCATTTTTCTTTTGTGTACTACCTGAAGAAGATAGTAATTTTATTCTTGATTCCATTGCTTGAAGTTGACTGGAAAGTTGGAAACCCTGAGATTCCAAAAAAACAGTAGACACGAACAAGCTAATTTTAGAAGAGCTGATAAAAGTTACATAATAGTATTATGAATTTGGTAAAAAGACATCTTACGGAATTTTATGTCATACTTTAATTACTGACCATTATAAGGCAAATAAGAATCACGAATTGTTCAAATCGGACAATGTTTAATTAAATAACACAATATCACAATTAAGTATTAAAAATCAACCAATGACGTGGGAGTTCCATACCCATAGTTCCCTTTATCTCGAACGGGGTGAAAACAAACATTTGAGCAGGACAACATGAATTTGCTTTGTTCTATTAAATTGTCCAGTTGCTTACGACCCATAATATGTCAAAATTATCATAGAAATTGACATAGTTATAAATGTGAATTTGATTAGAAGCGAATAGATATTATGGCAGATCGAAGACCCCAAAATAAGACCTAATAAGAACGTAAAGATGGTTAAAATAAATGCAGTGTGAGTGGGAAAGTTCCAGAACATCAAAACGTTAGCTAAAGGTCACAGATCTTGAATTTTCGGTAGGTTACGTAGTAAAGTAATTGAACACAGATTCATTTCAATAACAAATAGCATTGATCGAGACTAGTCCGCTAGAAGTAAAACTATAAATTCAAAGAAATGAAAATGGTGTTATTACGGTGTGAGGAATAGTCGAAATAAGGGATGATGTAATAAAGTGAGGTTAACGTGGTAACAACCACGGTAAAGATTTTTCACCGTTTGTCATGGCCTTAGATGATTCCAGAAGACGAGGGGCTCGATTGTTTATTAGGCACCTTAAACGACTTCAATGTATAAACTTGATGTCCTATGTCAAGGAAATATCTTGAAATACCAGCACTAGAACCCTCTATTCTGTCTGACCTCAAACGTTTTGCAATATATTCGTTGAATTGAACGTAAGATCCTCTTCATGTCTTAGCAGTGTAACTGCTTTGGCAAATACATATAAGTGAAGTGGGAGTTGATGATACAATTTATTCCAAATAAATCTATTCCTCCGTTCCAGAATGACAATATTCCCTTATTTGGTGTTTTCCTTGATGTTGTCATAAATTATGATTACTTGATGTGAATTAGAAGTCAGGCAGTCAAATTCAGAGCAATATTTTTATCCTTAAGGCGTAAATTTCCACAAAGGCATGAAAAAAAATCAAAAACTAGGTCTAGTGTACTTCATGTTTTTTCTTAGTTAAATATGTCAAAATACATGAAACCACTTGTTTTGGTGATGATTTAAGTATTGATAAAAATGGCCGGGTTCGTAACCATTAGTGAAATACTTTAGCTGAGACCATAAGTATTTCCTACCCTAACATTGGATGGGCAACTGTTTAATTTGTAATACGGTAAGAATCGACTGAGAAAATAACATTTATGTTTATAGATTATAGTACTCGACCTTTTATATGGTTATAAAACTTGTACACGTACCAGTATATTCCAGTTTCTGAATTGCTCGAGTACCGCCATGGAATCACATAAATTACACGAGAATGTATGATGACGGTAGTTGGTAAACACTCAATGTCTTAGGGTGAATAGATTACTTACGTTACTAAAACCCCACAAAAATGTTGTGTGATGTCTCAAGCAGTTGCCCAGTGGGCGGTGCATGCAAGATCCTGGGCCGCTAAGACCGACACTAATCCACCTTTTAGGTCCCTCAAATAATATCCTTCTACAATGTGTGGAATTAGGAAGCGACAGTCATCCTTATACCTATAATAGGAGTTGAAACGTTATATATCTGCCTTATATCTACTTATTTTCTATTTGTAATTAATTTAAATATTCGTTTAAATTTTTACTGCCATTAAAAGCGTAACTAACTAGTGTAATATTTTACGTTGCTAGATTTCCGATGATCCCTGAAGCGTTTAGATAAGATAAAAAAAATTAAGGTTTAAAATATTCAAGTTCTTTATAATCGAGAATCTGTTCAGACTCTGAAAATTTAGGATGGAGACTTCAAATAAATACTCCCACCAAAATGAAAACTTACGACTCTTTCACAATCGGAACCAAACAGAAAAGATGGATAAATCTTGCATTGTTTAATTTCATTCAAAAACTGTTTAATCTGTACAATATAAGATAAATATTCGCCACCATATTTTATAGGTAATTTTAAATGTTCATAAAAATATCCACTAAAGTCCTCCCCATCAATAATGACAGGGTTATTGTGCAACTGCGATACTTTGAAATTCACAAACTCTTGAAGCAATATATTAGACAACTCCGGGATAGGCATTATTACAAATAATGAGGGCCCGTTTAATAACGGGCAAAAGACAAGACGTTGATCAAAAAGCAGTAGATAACAATCTAAAATGTAAAAAAGAAACTTGTGAGATAATACTAATTTGGAGAGTTGACTTGGAACCAAGCAAGTTTAAACAATTAACTCTCAATTATTAAAATACTACTTAAAACGTTGACTGACACGCCTTATTACCTATTAAATAACAAAGATGGCTATATATCGTATTTGGTAAGTATACTAGTGGAGCGATGGCTCAGTGGTCGAGACATTCCACTTTTACCCACTATATCCTAGGTTTGGAACCCACCTAACTCGGTTTGAGCAACCGGATAGTAACATCACCCTTCATAATTAGAGCGCGGCTTATACCCAGATAACTGGTGAATGAGCTAATTGATATTTAATAAGTACACTAGTATCTCTTCAGAAATATGTACTAATTTTGGTAAATTATAAGGCTAGTCACATCAGATGCCTATGCTCGGTCGTCAGAGTTTAAATTGTTTTTGATTTGCTCAAAATACTGATTTAAAAACACTACTGAAGTACTTCACAAGACTTTTAGTCTCCGAGTAACAACCGACCAAATAATATGGAAGGTGAATGTATTATAACTTATACAAGGCAAAATATATTTTCATACACTTGGGATAGAACTCATTGGGGCCTCGCGACATCACGTAGAAGTTTCCAAATCCCAGAATGGCTAGCTTTTCTGTGACGACAATTAATTTTATCGAGGTGATACGATTTGGATAGGAAGCATCCAATGATTGGAGATAAAGTAAGAGTATAATGAACATCGCTTGAATGTAAACTCACGACTGTTATATTACATAAGACGAAAGATTTTTTGTTCTCCTTACAATATATCAATTAACCGATAAAATGCAAAAACAGGTGCAAACATCTCTATCCATAACTGTATACAATGGCAAACTCCATGGCGATATTAACACATCTTCACCCCCATTAGTCCTGTTCCAGAGCCCGAAATGGATGTGGTCCAAGGTTTCTAGAGCTGGGTCCCATAGTACACAAATTCAAGTATGATAGGACTAGAAACTGACTAGAAACAGTAGGGACACAACAACGGTATTCTAATCTAATCCACCGAAAGTTCCTTGCCTAAAACAAAAGAGATACGCACTTATTATCTTTAGCACTCCTATTTCTGTAAGTTTAATATACAATTAATTACTACATAAGTGTTTATACTTAGGTGAAATATTAGTGAGAAACAAGTGTGCAATATGACTAGTTCGAATGTGCCGGGACAAAAGCCTTACGAGTTAACCGAGCACACTTGACCAATGTTAGGATAACCGGCGACCCTCAACCAGTAAGGTCATCAGAGATTCAAATTGATCTTCGGTCTCTTTCTCAACAATCATCCTCTGTAAATTTACATAAAAGTAAACGATCTAGGAGAATTTCAAGTAGCCGTTCTTCAGTCGTTGGAAGCCCTATAATAATAGCTTTTGCTAATGGAATGGTGATCCACCAATTTCCTAGATAGAGGTGCTAGGCCAGTGAAATGTCACTGAGTCCTTGCCAAATCATCCGGCAGTTGTGTCACGGAATATTGAGCAGATCATTGATCCCTGTCAACGTCAAGGACAACCAACACGCATCAGTTAATCGTACTACATGGGCTGATCCATGTGTTTGTAGTGCAACACTTCGCTAAATTTTCAACTCAGTAACCGTTATAATACAAATCTCAGCGGTGCATGAAATCGGAAGGTAAAGCGAAGCTACAACTACAGTTTATTATCAAATGACGCCAGCCACAAAGTTGTTAGCACATGAGTAATTATCAGCGGGCAAGTGCAGGCGATTATAATCGAATTGTATAAGGGCGCAGCAAGACAAAGCAAAAGCTAATAATAGGATTTGAGTGCATACGTATATGGGGAGGAGGATGAATCATCGAGAGATACTTAAGCAATCAACGTTTTGGCTATAGTCTGTCATGTGCTATAGTGATCATAACAGTACAAAGAAATATGCAAGTTGTTACTATCCAAATGACAATGTCTGTCAAGTAAGTTAATAAAAAAGGGTTAAACAAAATTAACCATAATCAAAATTGGATGGAGGATAGTTGGTATAAGTTGGTGATCATACTTTCGTTTGTGCCTATTGTGGCCGTGAATAAATCCCTAGAATCAACAGCTCTGCAAGTGTTCGACATTAAATGCTGACCACATTAGTTTTGATGGACTCACCTAGATGAAGGTACTTGGTCATGCACCTGCACCAGATCACGAGTGGGAACACCGCGCTCAACTTCTACTACAATCGCTAGCCAGTTTAGATCAGTCACTTCTCGATATATTGGCAATCTATCAAATATATCTTCGAACCTCCCCGCTTTCAAATTTTGACTTCATTGGTTGGGCACGATTCAATTGTAGAAAATGCTTCTGGTCAAAGTGTTGTCAAACTACAATACCTGTGGCAACTCTAATTGGTTAGCCCGATATGGTCTGGTAAACAAACCTACAAATTGTGGGTCTGTTCCTTCTTGGAACTTCATAAATCATTGGCTTACTTTATTTTTTTATATGTTGTGGTATATTTTGGTATTTTCGCATAGTTTTCCTGCTTTCATCCATATACTTTTAATCCGTCATGACATAACAGACTTCTAAGCTACTTAAGATCATGACTCTGTGGTTAGTCTTGAGTCGCGATTGAGTATGATCACCATTACAAGAAGATTACGTGCAAGAAATCTAGTTGAATCCCTCGGTAAGCCAGAAACCAGAAGGCTGTTGACGGTTGAAGCAAGATATATATGTCGGCTATCTCGTGGTATCTAAAGAATAACGAGACGAGCCAAAGTTTGCAAACGGAACTACCGAGCGTACTCGGGTTTGTGCAAGGTCACAGGCAATGGAAGCAACGGAAGCAAAGTGTGTCTTTGGTACACTAAACAAACGAGTACAGCAAAACAATCACTTTTACAATTGGTTATAATAATAATTGTTTCCATTATATCGATCTTGTTCTCGTCACAACTCTTACACCACCCGCGTTTCAGCAAATACCCTTTTGCCCGGATAATATCTGGGCTTGGTTCTGCTAAGCATCGGCCGACTTCTACGAGGACGGGATGACAGATCCACGCGGTAGATAAGGCACTACCACGCGAATTCAGCATGCACGTCATACCTAGTATGTTTACTAGTGATGTTGTGGAACCTTACAAAACTCTAAAACGGTCGATTCTGAAATGCAGATATCGAACCGATCGACAAAGCTGAGATCAGCTCTCTAATAATATTGACCCGCAACACGGTTCTGTGACATACATGTTGCTAAGAATGAGAGAGGTAATTGGCAAAAAAACTTTCGATGATGGCATATTCAGACAAATTTTCTTGTCTAAACTTCCTCAACAGGTGCAATCAGTACTTGTCTTGTTTCAAAAAACGCTGTAGACAAGCTGACTGCATCTGGCCGCATCCTGAAAATCACGAAGTCTTTTAATGCCACGGTGTTTTCAGTCAAGGAAAAACCTCAAACGACCCAGAATGACATTACAGAACTATGTCATACACTAACACGCTACCTTAGATTTTGTAATGACCGTGAACAGTCATATACTCCGCTAAGAAGCACTTCACGTAGGTGATCTGTCTACAGACGACGAAAGGCGGATAACCCCGACTGGTGCTAGTATCATAACCAGTATGAAAAGTATTCCCTAACTTTCAAAAAATCCTGCAATCATCCGAACCCAAAATCGCCCGACACGAAAAAGAGTTCAGGAAACTCCCCAGCCAGCACGCTCTAACGGCAACCTTAGTCGTCTGTTACACGTCACAGATTTGATCACGAAATTTCGCTACCTCGTCGATACTGTCGCAGAAGTTAGTCTTCTGTCTGCGATCTACAAATACCGGCTTTACGAATCTGTCTTAAACTCACAGCTGGCAAACGGAAAGCCGATCGCCACATATGGTAAAAGGTACGTCTATTTCAACGTGGTTTTACTCAAACCCATTCACTGGATCTTCTTCGTTGCAGATATTCCTATGCCAGTCACTGTTATAAACCTCCATCAACATCACAATCTACTCATCGAGGCTAGTAGACGGAAACACTAATTTATCTATTTGCGTAACCTCTTTTCCGAGTTGCGAATTATCCTCAGTCACAATTGAGCACACAATAGACCCATTTTATCAACCACTGCTCGATAAGTACTCTGGTACATACCAACCGCAACCGAAATTGCCGCGTGTAACCAGCAATGTTAGACATCACATCATGATTACAGAACCACCTGTATTCTCGAAAGCACGCCGACTGGCTCCCGAAAAGCTGAGATTGGCCAAAGACGAATTCAACCACATGATATAGTTAGGGATCATTGGACCGTCAAACAGCCAACGGGTATCTCCCTTAAGAAATGCTGCCCGGACCTTCCAAAGGTTCATAGATGACGTTTCTCGAGGTCTCGAATTCGTACATGCGTATGTTGATGACCGCCTGATAGCAAGTCCGGACAGAGAATGACATCTCCAGCATCTAAACATTGTGTTCGAAAGACTGCAAAAGCATGAAATTACTGTAAACATTAAGAAATGCCAAATCGGAGCCAACTACTTACATTTCCTAGAACACACCATTGATGAGCAAGGCATCCGACCTTTTAGAAGCAAGGTGGTGGTCATTCTGGATTACACAGAATCGACCACCATTAGGCAATTGAGAACATTTAACAGTTTTGTAGGTTTCTGTAGACAGTTTATGCTAAAATGCCCGTTTCTTATGAAATCTCTAACCGAACAACTTCGGGGAAGTGCGAAATGCATCAATTTGGACGACAACGCGCGAAAAGCATTCTCCATAATTAAAGAACTTATTCCAAAGGCGGCCTTGCTAGTATATCAGGACACTCAAGCGCCTATTAGTATCGCAGTAGACGCATCCGACTCAGCAATCAGGGGAGTCTTACAACAATGGGTTAACCACTTTTGGTAACCTTTAGGATTTTAATCGAGACGGTTGTTAGACAATGAATCGAGCTACAGTACTTTCGGTAGGGAGCTCCTAGATATGTTTTGTGCTGTACAGCATTTTCAACACTCTATCAAAGGCAGAGAATTCACTCTTTTTACCGATCACAAACCTCTTACTTTCTCTTTTAGCTCATCTTCAGACAAGTACTCACCTCGAGAGTCTCGACAACTGGACTAAATTTCGCAGTTTACTTCAGATACACAACACATTTCTGGAGCAAACAATGAGTCGCAGACGCTTTGTCCCATATAAATTCCTTGAACAGTGTCTAAGGAATTGACCTTCTTGAAATCGCCAAGCTTCAAAAAGAAGGCACTGATCTTCAGCACGAGTTATCTTCTACAGCCTTGAAATTGTGCATCAAAAAGACAGGAACAATCAGAGAAACTTTGCTGTGTGACACATTCACAGGTAGGGACCGTACAGTCGTGCCGCAACATTATGGATGCAACGTCCTCAATACGCTGCAGACGCTTTCTCATTCAGGTTTCGTGCAACTATCAAGCTTATAGCAGAACGATTTTGCTGGCCTGATGTAAATAAAGACTTGAGGGATTGGGCACGCTCCTTTGCAAGCTGCCAAAAATCTAAGGTGATTGGAAACAACAAATGTCCCTTGGGTTCTTTCAAAGCACCTGGTGCCCGTTTCGACCATGTTCATCTGGATTGGGTAGGACCTTTACCAGATTCAAACGGGTACTCTTATCTTTTAACCTGCGTAGACCGTTTCACATGGTGGCCAGAAGCGGTATACATCAAGGACATTACTGCTGAAACGGTGGCTCGCACCTTCGTCGAACGGTGAGTAACAAAATTCGACTGCCCTTCAACTATCACTGTAGACCGCGGACGCCAGTTCGAATCTGGAATTTTCCGTTGTCTGACCACACTAATAGGAATCACTCGCTTCCGAACAACCGCCTACCACCCACAAGCAAACGGGTTGTTAGAACGTTTTCACCGACAACTAGAAGCTTCATTATCAGCTGCAAACGTTTCACAGTTGACAGACGCTCTTCCATTCGTCTTGCTAGGTATCAGCAATGCAGTGAAATCTGACATTCGATGCACTGCAGCTCAATTCATTTATGGAACGATACTCCGACTTCCAGGAGAATTCGTGGAACCTTCAACTTCTTCAATGAACATGGATCTAAACTCGTACACTAGCAGGCTTACAAACGCAATGCGTTCAATTAAACGTGTTTTTACTCGACCTCAATCAACTGATGTTTTTGTTCAACCTGACTTACGACATAGTACACATGTCTTCATACGTCGAGACTCAGTTTGATGATCTCTCGAAACAGCATGCGAAGGACCCTTCAAAGTTCTTCAGCTCAAACCTAAGTACTATATATTCGATAAGAAATGTACTAACGATAGCGTCAGCATCGATCTCATCAAAGCAGCTACGTAGAAGGAAACCATACTCATGTCGATTTTCCTTCAGTACTATAGAACGACACGCCTCCTACACTTGTAATATCTCGTCCGACAGCCAACATGCACTTTGGCGGTATCTGACAACAGACTAAAAACAACGCGCTCTGGAAGAAGACTAAGGTTTCCAGAACACATAGACGATTGCTGCACGCAAGACACTAAATAACATTTTGTTTCGTCTCGACTCTGCTTTGTGTTGTGTAAAAAAGACTCTTTTTAATATACTTTTATATATATTCCAAAAAACGATTTTTGTTAATATGCTCACTAATATGTTGATATTTGATTTTTTTTCTAAAAAGCAACAAATAATCGTCATGCGAAAATTGTTTTCACGCTATCGCATGTTTACGAAGCCTATGTATATGAGTTTATTTTTTCCTTTTTTGTATGTTTACGCACATACGATTGTAATTCAATATAGACTCACACATATTTTTTTCTTTTTCGGGACGACTGGAAACGAAAAAACAAGCGAAGTTCAAGATACCACAGGTATTTATAGTTTGACAACACTTTGACCAGAAGCATTTTCTACAATTGAATCGTGCCCAACCAATGAAGTCAAAATTTGAAAGCGGGGAGGTTCGAAGATATATTTGATAGATTGCCAATATATCGAGAAGTGACTGATCTAAACTGGCTAGCGATTGTAGTAGAAGTTGAGCGCGGTGTTCCCACTCGTGATCTGGTGCAGGTGCATGACCAAGTACCTTCATCTAGGTGAGTCCATCAAAACTAATGTGGTCAGCATTTAATGTCGAACACTTGCAGAGCTGTTGATTCTAGGGATTTATTAACCGCTATGAAGTTTGAAATGAATCGAAATTCGCATTGTACCTGTTTTTCATTACTATATTGAACCACACGGTTCCTTATGGTAAGGAAGGACAACCAGACGCTGCTGAACATGGTAATCTATCAGAAGAGTGTGTACCAACGACAAACTCGTTAGGTTTGAACTTCCGGCTGGCCACGTCTTAGGGTCATCACCACTCCATTATGAGGAGAGTGATCTGTAGTGGTAAAAAAGTACTCAAAATCAATAGCTCTGTAAGTGTTCGACATTGCATACTGACCACACTAGTTTTAATGGACTCACATAGGTGAAGGTGCTTGGTCATGCATCTGCACGAGATCGCGAGCGGGTATGTCGTGCTTCATATCTCTTACGACCGCTAGCCAGCTTAAGTTGATCACTTCTCAATATATCTATAGCCTATCAAATATATCTTCGAAGCTCTTAGCTTCTGACTTCTGATTTGAATGGGTTGACACATTTTGCTTAAAAGAGATGTTACTGGTTAAGGCATTTTTAGATTATGTACCAATGCATGTGAACTGTGTTGATTATTGTTGGCCTACTTAAGTTGGTTATTCCCTAATGTGGCATACCCTTTGGTCATATCCAGAGGCTATGGCTGCTTTGATGACCGTACAACACAAACGACTTTACTACGGGAATATATTAATGAGAGTAGGGACAAGGAACAGAGTGAGAACACCACAGCATCACCCTTTCCATGACGTGTAATTAGCTGGTGTGCGTTGGTTGTTATTGACCTTAGCGAGGATAAGTGAACTTTTCGACAATCAGTTACTCGACTATCGAATGACTCGGCTAGGGTCTAACGGCATTTCAGTGGCTCTACAGGTGTTAAAAGTGAATATGCAATATGATTTTTTGTACTGTCCGTATGTTCTCAAATCGAAACAGACCACATTTCAAAAATAATATCCTGTAAATTTAGCGAGATAATAGTCACTCTGATGACCATTTCACTCTTAGGCATGAAATACGATTTTTTGAAAGTAGTACTGGTAACACCTAATTAATCGTTACATAGAAATTTGTCACATATTTCTAGATCACTAGAACCACATGGGATTGGAATCCTATTTCATTATAGTCTATCCACAATACACCTCCAGTGTTCTTTCAAAGAACTCATTCAAAATGTTGTGGAATCCTTTAAACATTGGTTTTCAACGACTAACAAGTGCCTGCAGATTGAAGTTTTTGAGGCGCGCTCATCAAAAGTGGGCTTGCAGATGGCTGCCCTTAAGTTGTCAGCTTTAAGTGTGTTAGGCCCTAGAAATTGTAGTCGCATTACAGCTGCTTTGACTCCACATGTAAAGAGACATATATGTACTACTATCCCAATGCATATGGAGTTGAATGAAATGAAACACATACTAAAGGAAAACAATATCCCGGAAGCTGATAAAAGACAAATAGAGAAAGAAGTTGAAGAAATGACGAAGGTTAGTCAAGATTTCGAACACTTCTTATGGTCTGTCTAAAGGATTGGATTAGCACGGGTTATCACCAAACTGACAAGAACGAAGATATTTCCCTATCACAGCTTGTACCTTTTGCTCTTCTTACACTCTGGATTTTCCCGCTGTTTTTGTATTTGTATTACTCTCCTAATCGTAGGTAAGTACTGTCAGTTTGTTTGTGTTCAGCTTCCGTCTTTTAAGCCTAATTCTCCATAATTTTTACATGTACTCGTGAAACATCGAGTACTTCGATGAAATCCTACAATAAAATTCTCGAAGCGTTTCATAATTAGATGTGAAGTCAAACACTCATAAGCAGTGTCTTGAAGGATCTAAAATCATTTGCTTTGTGCGGTACTTTGTCACCGGCTCAGTGTCTCTCTACTCTGGAGAATTCGTTTTTTAACCGTATTTGAATATATGTTATGGCTGTATTAGTGTTTTGTACATTGACCAGTAAATTTGAAATTGCAGTTGAGCTGTGTGAAGTTTCTCAGTTACTGTAAATTTAATTTAATCACATTTACCTGATGACTATTTAGGGAGTATTTTGTTGGACACATTGGGTACATATGGTTTCAAAGATTAGTTTAGAGAGAAAATCTTTGTTTCTGTGTATTTTTTGGTCGAAAATACACTGAAAAGCCTTAAGATCAACAAATGCAATTCCTTGGAGTAGTAATTTTCAAGTCCTTCATCTTCATTGTACTGAACCTTGCAAATAAGAGTACTTTTGCAATTATTTTATTTAAACACATAAATATTGGTACAAAGAGGCACCAGATATATATGCGCCACACAAATCTCATTTGATTTGTGTGAGGGCTGTGATACTGCCCAGGTGCCCAAACCGTAGCAGGTGGTTTTCTTAGGGGGCCACACCGAGAGCCTTTGACCTAAAGATCTGATCCACAAGGCAGTAGAGCATCATGGGGTACCTAGCCTGTCGTATGCCCTGATGGTGTTCTCGTGACTTTCGGGTTGCCTGATCTGCCAAGGGCGATGGGACAGTGCATGGCAATATTGTTGTGTGCTAGGTTCAAAGAGAATTGTTTGCTATATGCATGCAAGTCCTCCCCGTTATTGTTCCTATTTGCCCCCAAATGCCCTGGTACGACCGAGAGTGGGGAGAGTCTACTCTCCCTCTCGAAATGCTCTCACATGGCCAGCGAATATATAGCCTCTGCCAGGGAAGTCCTACTCACTGCCTTCTCGTGGCGGGGGTGTTGTTTACGAAAGTGAGAGGACGAAAAGCGAATGTCCGGTGCTTTAATCGGATTGGTGGACACAGAAAGTCCATCTAGGGGAGTTGGAAAACCCTGATTTCAAACCAGTGGTGCACATAAGCTCCAGTATCCTGATAAAACGAATGGCGGACGAACCTGTCATTGGTCAACGGTTACCATGGGACTGCATCTCCTCACGATGCTCCACTGCCTTGTGGATCAGACCTTTTGGTCAAAGGCTTGGGGTGTGGCCCCCTAAGAAAACCACCTGCTTCGGTTTGGGCACCCGGGCAGTATCACAGCCCACACATAAATAAATGAAATGACGAACTCTATTGACGATACTATCCCTGCTCATACTAGAAACAAGACAATTTACATTATTATTATTACCTTTATTATTATTATTTACCATATCGCTAACTCACCCCCTTTTATCCCCAATTTGTGTAACCTTACTTTTCAACTTATGCAGCAGCTCGCCCATGGTGGAAAATCTGTCCTATCTAAACGATCTCCAGTCACTGTCTGGTTGAAAGTGAATGCTTCCACCGATTATGAATACTGAAGCAGTCTTTCTGAAACCACGTACGCCGTTCAAGCTGGCTTCCTTCAACGTTCGCACACTAATGCAGATCAGACAACAGATAGGGCTGGCTGTGTCTTTGGAAGGTCTTAATGTTGACGTTTGTTGTCTATCCGAGACCCGTATTCAAGACTCTAGTGAAGTACTACAAATCCGCTCTCCATCTGTCGCCTCGAAAAGCTTGTTCCACGTGCGCTTATCCGGGGACCCTGTGGCATCTTCGTCTGGTCTTGCTGGCGTTGGTGTCGCACTAAGCGCTAGGGCTGAGGCAGCAATAATCGATTGGATCCCCATTAACAGTCGTTTATGTGCTGTTAGATTAGAAAGTTCCATCAAAGTGAGAAGAAATCGGCGTGGGAAACGGTGTCTTTTCGTCATCTCCGCCTATGCCCCGACAGATTGCAGCCCGGATGCAATCAAGGATGAGTTTTACCATCAGTTAACAGTTCTTCTCCAGAAAGCGCGTTCGACAGATATTGTAGTACTAGCCGGAGACTTGAATGCACAGGTCGGGCGTCTAGGCACAGAAGAGAGTCGTTTAGGTGGCCGATGGGGACTTGTTGGTCGCAGGACAGATAACGGGTACCGTTTGCTGCAACTGTGCACAGACCACAACCTGTTTCTGTCTAGCACTAACTTCCGGCACAGTCATCGCCGGTGTGCCACCTGGCGTCCCCCCTCTGCATCCCCAGCCTGGACTCAGATTGATCACATCGCGATCAGCTACCGCTGGCGTGGTTGTGTACAAGACTGCCGCTCCTTTTGGAGTACCTATCTGGAGTCTGATCATGCCCTGGTCTGCGCCAATCTCACCTTACTTTTCAGTGGCCAAAGGATTGACCGCCATCAACGAATCGATGTTAGTAAACTGGCTGCAACTTCTGTTGCAAGTAAGTATCGAGCGGAGCTACCCTCTAGGCTAGCTACCACCCCACCGAAAAGTATAGATGAGCATTGGTTGCTCCTTCACGACGCCATGAAAATGGCGAGTAAAGCCGCTTGCAGCTTCGCGAAACGTCCCGCTTACAAGCACTGGGTTTCTTCTGGCTCCTTACAACTGATGGAAGCCCGTCGGTCTACTCCGGGTGACCGTGAGTTTGACCACAAACGAAGGCTGTTACGTAATGAAATCGGGCAAGGCTTGCGTAAGGACCGTGAAGCCTGGTGGTTGGAGCGTGCTAATGAGATGGAAGCAGCAGCTGGATCTGGTAATTACCGGAAGCTCTTCCAACTCATCCGAGCCACTGGCAGCAAGAAGTCTGGTGTGAGTGAAACAATCTACGAGGATGACGGGATGCCAATCACTAACATCTGTCGACGTCTTGGACGATGGGTGGAATTCTTCGAACGGGGGCAGTTCAACTGGCCTGCTGCTCCGGCAACATCAACCAGTTTGTTCTGCCCCCCCCATGGCCGGTGACGACTGATCCACCAAACGAGGCGGAAGTCCGCAAGGAACTCCAACCCTTGAAACGTTACAAATCACCGGGCCCAGATGACTTACCTCCGGCTCTTTTTAAAGATGGTGGTGACCTTCTGACTAAGGAACTGACTGTGTTGTTTGGAAAGGTTTGGGAGCAAGAAGGTGTTCCAACATCATGGAATGAGTCAATAGTCGTCCCTATCTTTAAAAAGGGTTCACGTTGTTCCTGCAATAACTACCGCGGGATAAGTCTACTTTCGATTGCGTCCGAACTATTGGCTTCTATCATTCTTCGTAGGTTGTTTAAAACCCGAGAACGATTGACTCGCGAGGAGCAGGCTGGTTTTCGTTCTGGTCGAGGATGCATCGATCACATCTTCACCCTCCGCCAAATGTTAGAACACCGTCATACTTATCGCAGGCCAACAATCGAAGTGTTTCTTGATATCAGGGCGGCCTTCGATTTGTTGGACAGGACTGTTCTCTGGGATTGTCTATTGAAGAAGGGTGTGCCTGAGAAGTTCATTAACATCTTAAAGGCCCTGTATACGAACACTTCAGGCAGAGTGAGGGCATACAATCACCTTTCTCCCTTGTTCCATTCGATCAGTGGGGTTAGGCAGGGTTGCCCGATCTCACCATTCCTCTTCAACTTTACTATCGACGACATCCTGGAAACAGCTCTGGTGGATGTAAGTAATGGCGGTGTGGATATGTTGCCTGGAGAACGACTTCTCGACCTCGAGTATGCGGATGATATTGTCTTACTGTGCGATAATGCTCAAGCCATGCAATCAGCACTTAATCAGTTGGCAATCAGTGTCCGCAGGTACGGCATGTGCTTTGCACCCTCCAAGTGCAAAGTACTCCTACAAGACTGGCAGGATTCTCATCCTGTACTCACCCTGGATGGTGAGCAGATTGAAGTAGTTGAGAAGTTCGTGTATCTAGGTAGCTATATAAGTGCTGGTGGTGGCGTGAGTGATGAGATTGATGCACGTATGATGAAAGCCAGAGCGGCTTATGCCAATCTGGGCCATCTTTGGCGCCTTCGTGATGTTAGTCTGGCTGTAAAAGGTCGGATCTACAACGCGTCGGTGAGAGCAGTTTTGTTCGATCATCGTTGTCTCTGAAGGATTTCTGACATCCAGTGGCAACACCATGTTAGTAATGCAGAGGTTCGGCATCGTGTGTTCGGGCGCCGAGACGATAATTCAATTGGTGTCACCATCTTGAAACACCGACTTCGGTGGCTTGGACATGTTTTACGAATGTCGTCCCAGAGACTTCCACGTCGTGCATTATTTGCCGACCCTGGGACTGGTTGGAAAAAGCGGAGGAGGTCAGTGTATGACATGAAAGAAAGCTGCAAAGGGCTAGCTTCTGTTGGTCCTTCACGACTCCCTGGCTGGGGTCCGAGAGATGGTGCAACACAGTGGCTAGAGACGTTATCAGATATGGCTCAGAATAGAAGCCAGTGGCGATCCTGCTGCAACCTTCTTTTACTTTCTACATAAAGAATGGTTCTAACTTTCCTAACTGAAAGAGTCTTCTGGCTGTACATTTCAGTCCGCCTTATCTTTTCATCCCTTCTCTTCCTACTTTCATTATTTTGTGTGGCGCATATGTACCTGGTGCCCTTTTGTACCAATATATATGTGTTTAAATAAAATAAAATAAAAAAGAGCATTGTGAAGAGATGCAGTCCCATGGTAGCCAGTGACCAACGATTAATTCATACGCCATTTATTCCCTCAGGTTACTCGAGCCCATGTACACCATTGGTTTAGAATCACGGTTTTCCAACTCCCCTAGGTGGACTTTCTGTGTTCACCAACCCGGTTAATGCTCCGGACATTCGCTTTTGGTCTTCTCAATTTCGTAAACAAAACCTGTGGTACGAAAAGGCAGTGAGTGCGGCTTTCCTAGCAATGGTCTCCGTCATCTCGTAAACCTAAAGACATAATCTGCTAGTTTGAGTAGTTAAATACTTAATTGCTTGTTTCATTTCTTACGGGAATATCGCCCAAATGTCTCAAAAAACGGGAAAAATGTTTATATTATAGGCATAAAGGTAAATGATTTATATTAGTTTAAGTGCTCCACCAACATTCACATGATTAGTGGTTGAAAGTTGGTCTTGCTTCAGTTATGTGATCAAAGTTCCAATAAATAGTAGTTCCTTTCTTCATCACACTCTTGAGTGCCATGTTATTGATGTCGGTTGGTAATGTTGGTAATGTCACAAGTTTCAATACATGGGTTCCCTCACCCTGTTATTACATGTCATAAACAACGTCAACCTTCTTATGAGTTGACTTTTCCGTGACGTTTTTATTCCCTACATTTGTTTCCAGTTATTGTCTACTGTTGAAATAATTTATTTCCTTTCAGCTAGTTTTTCATCTTAATATTTATTGATTGATTTTTATCAAACTGCTTTTAGTTTTTCTGACTGGACTTGGAGAGAAGCATATTTGGAGATAGAAAGACGAAGAAGAGATGGCCTGCCTCTTGTAGATAAAGATCTAATCCCTGCTTCCCGTGTTCAGCTGCCTCCGGTTGATCAACTCGACCCTGATTTTAAGATTATTATATAAATATTTATAGTTTAGGAATTTATACTTCCTATATAGTTCAGCCAGTTGATTTTAGTTTTTATTTATTGACAGTGTAAATAACTAAATAAAATAGGAAAAAATACCATTGTATTTTTTTTTGAGGTGAATTAGTGGAAGTTCTTGCTTTTTTTCTATTCAACCATAACATCTATTCCCAACTTGTTTTGAACGTGATCTGAAGGGATGTGTAAAATTGAAGATCTCTTAGAGTTCGTGTTTAATGCGACGTATACTGTCTGTATCATCTGGTAATGTAATATGTCATAATGTGTTTTCACTTGGAGTACTATGGCCCCACCGTTTAAATGAATGACTGACTTCTACCATACTGAGAATGTTATTGAATTATCTTTGTGGGTTATTCGATTTCCTATCCGGACAAATATGTTTTTAAGTATTTCGACCAGTGTCCTGCCATAATACTGCGACACTAAGGTCTTATTAGAATGTAATTGGAATCACCTTCACTAGGTAATTCATGAGATTATATTTAACTATGAAGCAAGTATTATTATCAAAATGACCGAATATTTAGATATTTTTAATGTTCGTTGGCTTTTCTCACTACAGACAGTCAAAAAATCGCACTTAGGAATTTTGTTGGTAATGCTCCAGTTGATCAGTAGCTATTATTGTACATTATAATATAATCAGTATTTGCTAGAAAATAACTGGCGATTTATACAAAGGAGAGCATTATGAACCAGCAATATCTGTCACCTATACAAACGGCTCTCAACATTTCTTTAAGCACTAAAGGCCGACCGAATGACAAAAGTTATCTAAACTCGCGTTTCAAAGTGATTTGCGGGTAGCCAAGATGATTTCGGAGGAATATTTGGGGTTTTGGATTTACCTTTGTTTAGGAATTTATGTGTTATGAGTAAAGCCATATCTTATGATTACTTATTATTTATTAAGTGCGGTTAGGCAACAAATACTTCCTGTATTTTTGTAAATCTTATTTTCGTTGAATTGTAACATTTCAGGTTTAATAAATTTGGAATGACTTTCATTTGTCTTATCATTACATTCTAAATGAGTAAATATGCCACTTTAACAACCCAGCCATTCTATTTAGCATTCCAATACATTGTATTCCTGAGACCACATATTACTTTCAGAAGTCTTATTTCATTTTACCTATATGCTATCGTTCACAAATACTGTATTTTAAATCAGATTTAAATATTAGGACCTTCTGTTCATACATGACGTTCCAGTCATTATAGCTGTGGAAACGGTCATTGGTAAGGATGATTTTCTACGGGTTACCTACATTTATATTGATTTTAATAGGAATCTTATGATTTTTAAGAGTGGCAGTGTTATTAAGTTCTTGAACAAAATTTATGCCACCAAAACATCCATCAGCTACGAATCCTCTGCCCAGCTGTAGATTTTGTTAGAAGTATATCCAACAAATCTCCTAACCATGACAAAGCATCTCACTGTTCTTAAATCTGTCAATGTACGAAGACATTTGAAATAGTCAAAAGTCTTCATTTGTCTGTTTGAGTATGGTTTCATGTCTACGTAAATTTCTTATGTACTTTTTTACTACTTTTAAGTAGCCAAAATAATTAAGTAATATAAAATCTTACCTTCAAAAGATGAGGGAAATATTTATCTACATGTTAGCAATTTATAAACACTGGTATCGAAAACTGTCAAAGGCAAATGGTAGTCTTTAAGTCATTCATCGTAAATTTCTATAATCCAATTAGACCATAAAGTTAAATCGGAAAACTAAACTACTTACCTCGATGGATTTCATGTTGAGCATTTTACTTAAGATAACGGGACATGATCGAGTAAATCCAAAATTAGCCATCGATTTTGACAGCACAATATATGCTTTTAACTGATTTATGAATATTAAGTAGGACTTCTGTACGACTGAGTATCGTTCCTAGGGTTCGCATTGTAGCATCACTTAAATATTGATGTCGGAATAACTTAAATGTGACTGTCTATCCAATTATACTAAATACAGGAGAATAGCTTACTTTTAAAATCAACTTCACTGACTCAACTTTCTGAACTTTATGTTAATCAACTACCATCCTCGTCTATTCTGGTTCTTCATGATCAATCGGATAACTGAATCACTTGATATAGCGTTACAGTATAGTCATCTATTGATCAAATGCTCAGTTTTGAGTTTAGTCCTACTGATCTAATTAACTGGTGCTGAAGCCCCAGAGGTGAAAGAAACTAAATTCTGTTTTCTTACCGTTACAACAAATATAGACTAGGAAATAGGAAGCATGAATCCCACTTCTGTGCTACTTTCCTCTTCAGATGGTTTACACATCCTTACGTGGTACTTACTGTATTGCTTCTTAGACAAAGATTACTGCATAGATGTAATCTACTATTGTTATGCGTCAATGATACAATATCTTAGTTAAATAATATTCAATTCTTAGGATAAAAATCTGTAATCTCTGTCAACTAACATGATCGTGTATGTTCTTCTATCTGGTACTTCTACAAGTCTTGTTAATTTCAAATCTACTGTTTATCTGAACTAAGTAAATAAAATCTTACATCAGTGTTTGAGTGGATTTATGTTTCTAAACTTAGTCCTGTTGCAAAGATTTTGAAAAGCTAGAACGGATAGTTTTCAATTTGCAACTTCATGATATATTGCTTAATTGACGAATCACTTGTACAGTATGTAGCCCACCATTTCATTCTGTTATTAACACTTCATACTAGAATTCATGTAGCAACACGAGTTAATCACTAGATTTATTTATTCCTCACATCTGGTAACGGTTTGACAATAAACAGCCAATTCCTCTAAGTGTTTTGACATACATTCAGTCCATACAGTTGTAGATCAACAACGTTGATTATTTCTGTCGAATGATCGGGGGGCCTACTAGAGTTAGACGGGAATGGTGTGTCCAACAACTAACTCCATAGTCACACCTCACGGTCAGCACCTTACATGGATTACTCTTTCATCGTATCAAGGTATTATAGATGCATTGAAGACTGTATAATACAAAGGACGTTATTAGAGAATTATATTAGTTAAAGTAGGGACAAACAAAAGTATGACCACCACCTCATGGGCCAGTTCATGGAGTACGATCAATCGATGCGCGTTGGTTGTCCTTGACTTTGACAGGGATCAATGATCTGCTCGATATTCAGTGACCCTACACAGTTACTGGTTGAAATAAACTATTTCAGTTGCAAGAATCGACGGATAAGTTCATGACATTTAGTGTATGTCATGAAAGTCAAACCCGTCTGTAGGTGTAGATCACTAGTAATAATTCATGATCACAATAAAGGACTTAGAATTCACTAAACTATAAGCAAGGAACCAGATGAAATGGCTGGTCAGCAGGATAATCATATGTTGGTTAAATCGTTTAGTAACAATCACTAAATAATCTATTGATTTGACTGTTGTTAACATTTATTGAGCTAACTGCCAAAATTGGGCATTAACAATCTACAGTTAGGCTAATCAGTCAAAATAGATTGCACTATTAACTTGTAAAAATGAAATCAGTGGAAATTTCAAAGAGTTTTTCTAGTAATATGGTTATAAAAAATGATCATTAGGTCATATAAAACCTTCACTGAATTTAAATATTTTTTTACTTTGAAAGACATTTACTAGGTGTAAGATAAAGTCATATATACTTTCTGTTACTGGATTATAATCCAACGCCCTAGTTACGAGTTAATTCCTAAAACTAAACGGCGAAACTTATCTGACAATACGGTACTTCAACAGAAAATAAGGTAAACACTGAAAACCGACAAACCTAAACTTTTGAGGCGCCTAGATGTCAGTTTCGTTGTCACAAAAATCAGGACTAAAGTAAGTGAATAAATGGTTACTTATTATACATCATATAAATCCGAAAACATGACCACATCGAAAGAGTATATCATTAACTAATAGAAATAAATTATAAACTTTTGGAGTTAGACAAAACTTGAAAGAGTACCGCCTTAAAGAAAATCTGACAAATTGAAGAAGAAAAAAATGTGCTGTTACAAGTGGAACCAAATATATAAAATAAACAGACGGTATGAGTAGTTCTTTCTTGGAAAAATACACAACAGCGTCAAAAATATGGCTAAAGATTATTTAAACTACTGAGTACTAATAAGTAGTGTAACGTAAGATACAATTAATTGTATAGATGTAGCTAAAAAGCAAAGAACATATCTAAAAGAGCATATAAGGCTAACATTTATAAAGTTAGTTGAATGACGTCTTATTGTTTGATAATAAAATATTTATGGGAAGCAAGGTTTCGTTTAAATCTGTCTGGATTTTGTTCGAGATGATGTTAATAGGGAAAAGAACAGATTGTTAAATTCTCATAAATTACACCGCGGACTCACCTTAGTTTGACGACCGTTAAAAACTAGAGGGCACTACACATATGTTTCATCCCTGTATGAGACACCTCAGAGGATTGCATCTACGAAGCCAGCACTAAGAATCGAACCCAGAACCTTTAGTATCGTGCACGAATGCCTAGCAACTAGACCACTGAGTTGGTATCCAGGGGTGTTCATATTTAACTTGAGTCAGTTTGTGATAATGAACAGCAATATTTCAATGGGTAAGGTGGTTAACTGCTTCACACCCAACATGGCTGGACTCTACTAGTCACGTCTCCTAATTAGAAACCCTAGAATTACCTTTCGAAATCAGTCGCTAGTGAGAACATGATAATTGTTAGTGTAGCGGATTGTAGATATTACTAAATTTTCATAGAATACATTATAGATTTTCCCCCCTGTTGATTCATCTTCTTGATTATATCCTATAGGGTATTTATGTTCTATTCTTTCAAATATTTTCAAATACTTTAGTATTTCAGATACTTTAGTTGCTTCTAGATGTCACAGACTAACTATGGATCATTTAACCTATTCAAAATTATGGAAAGCAAACTACATAAAGATACTAAAATCTAACATTGAATATATCTATTAGAATGTCACCTATTATTTAGCTGTTCACCTTAGTTGTTGATATACATTCCTCAGAGTATCAAGTATGTACTACACTTTAAAAAGTCATTGAAAATAAAAACCCTTAGTTCGTGGCAAGTATGCTTTCACTGACGAGTCAGTTTTACCAGCTGGGAAACCTTAAAATGATTCTGAAGAATAAATAAATACATTAATAAGATAATTAGGTCATCTATTAAATAAAACTAAGGATATTTCCATGGTACAAGTGAATTATAGTCTGCTATATTATCTCTATTAAGAGATTATTTATGAATGAATAAGTAAACTCAAAACAATCGATTCTAGTAGTATGGATCCTCGTACATCATTTTAAGGATAGTAAGTAAGAGTAATTCTGCCTATTATAATCAAGCCCTTAAAAAAATCAATACTTTTTTTCAGTAGTTGAGATCATGAGTCACTTGAAGTTAGATCAACATGGAAAATCTGGATGGCCGTTTCGTCCTATTGTGAGACTCCTCAGCAATGCGCCTATAGACTTATAACTTATGAAAAACTACAGAAAATAATAGAATACTAAACATTTACCTCTTAATGGATTATAACTCAACAATACATAACAGAGGAATTAATCTTTC